ATATAACTACCTTAGTTTATACAGTGGAACCTCACTTGTCACTAGAACTAACTACCTGTTTCGTAGCAAAAACAGTGGCAATGGAATGGCGATTTGTGATGGGTTTCTTTTATATTCTTTCAAAGTGTCTTGAAAATATAGAATTTTAATTCATTAGAATTATGCGTTGTAATGTTTCAGGTTATGGCACATTTCACTTAACATTAATTGTAATTCCTTTTTTTCTTTTTCTCAAGGAAAGAGATGCAGAGGTGTTTTGAAAATATATAACAGAATACCATTGTACCAAAGTAAAATATTTTTCTATTTGAATTTGAAATGGAAAAACTTTGCTAGGTGAAAGAGTTCAGTAAAACTGAAATTTGAGGCGAGATTTTCAATGTTTGAAATGAAATTTCAAAATTTGGAATATTTGGTAAAATTTTCTTCCCTGATTAATTGTATTGTTTTTCTTTTCGTATTTTAAAGCATTTAATTTATATGCTACCATCTGGTAAGGTAATTAAATTACGGCAACGAAGACATATGGTCTTTCGTTATTTTTGCAATTAATCCGTGAATTGTTTAAAATAATGCTATTAGTTGTGGAAAAAATGGAAAAGAATGAAATATACCGGTTGAATTCAATGCCGATTCATCCTATCCTGTTATGCGTCATTTCCTATCCATTCATAAGACTTCCGATATTGTGGGTCTCTTCTTTTTCATTCTTCCAACTAATTAATTTACTTTTCCTTTTACTTTGTTGACATACACACACATACACAATACATATATGTATGTATTAAAATTTTGTAGGTAATAAGAAATCTAAAAATGATACCAATTTTCATATTGGTAAATTGCACAATTGTTATATATCTTCGATAAATGTTGTATGAAATTTACAATATCAACCATATTATTGATTATATTATCAACAAATAGGAGAAAATTCAATATTATATTGGAGAAAGGGAAGAGAAGACATCCAATAAGAAATTCAATATAGGCAAAGAGGAAAAAAGAAAGAGAAGAAAAAATTCAATATGCAACTTATTTAAATTTATTAAATAAGCTTATCTAAGTTCTTTCCTATTAAATGCATTTGTTTTTTCTTGGAAGAAAATATAAATTAAAAACTATCTGTGTTATATCAATTAATATTTTAATTTTTATTTCTCTCTCACTTTCTTTTCTTTTCTTTCTTTCTTTTGAACTGAACTGAAATATTGAAGAATTTATTAGATTGTAAGAATTTCGATATATTTATGATATATTTTATAATTTGTTAATTTATTTGTTGTAATAATATTTTTGATGAATTGAAATAAAACTTTGTTATATATAAATAAAGCATTTCCATCGAAGATTTTCCCTCTTTTCTTTTCCTTTTGCTTTTCCATTGCAAGTTTTAAAATTACATTTATATTGAAGAAAATAATATATATGTTTTCTTGGCTATCACATACGATCACAACAATATCTATAGCATTAACATTGCAACTATCATTAAGCTCTCAAAAGAATAAGAATGAAGGAGAGAAAGGATGAGAAGGAGGGAGAAGAGAAAGTAGGAGAGAGGAGAGAAAAAAAGTGAGAGAAAAATCTTTTTGGCAAAATGAAATAAATTGATTTACTACAAAGAATTTTGATCTAAACAACTTTTTTTGTTAAGATGAATGCGTCATCAATTCGATTAAAACAAACATGGAATAAAAAGAATAACAAAGAGATTTAATTAACTAGCAAATCCCTCTCTCTCTCTCTCTTCCTCTCCCTCTCTTTCTTGCATTTTCTACTTCATGTTGTTATGGTTAGCATTGGTTGAATAATTTGTGTGGAAAATTGTTGAAATCATTACAGCAAAATGGAATTCATATATTTAACATAATTTCAAATTAGCATAACTTTTGTCATCTATTTAAAATATATTGTTAAAGGTAATTTTAAATTAGTAAATAAATTAGCAGAAATGTTTGCACATCCCAAAATTCACACAATTCAATAAATGCATTTTCGACAAATAAAAGAAATATTACACTTTATATAGGAAGAGAAAGAAAGATTAGGAGGAGATAGAGAATGAGAGCGAAAAAGGGAGATAAAGAGAATGTTTCCTCGTTTATACTTTCTTATCATTCTTATCTGTCAAGGATACAGTTCTTTTCCTTATTTAATCAAATATTAAATCAATTCTCTCGTAAATGTTTTCGGGAAAATGATTATTGCAATTGATTATTGGTATTTGATGATAATTTTTAAATATACAACTGATAAGCTAAATTCATTTCGTTTAACACTTTATCTTACTGTTAACAATGATAATCACATTTAGAATGATAGCCTTTTAGTGTTCGTTTTATTTGCAAAAAAAATTAGTTCAAATGAAATATCAAAAATTATTCAGTGATAAGAGTAAAACTATGCTTAATGTTTATAATTTACAAAGTTATTTCATAACAGTAAGGGAGCATGAATGCTTACAATCTCTTCTCTCTCTCTCTTTTGTTTCCTTTCTCTTTCCGTCTCTTTCTCTCTATATTCATACTTTTCGATCATTGAATTCAAATTTTCAATTTCATTTCTTTCGATCAAAATATATATCGTATATATGTGGATGCCAATATATATATATATATATCTAGCGGACAGTCAATAAAGTGAAGGATATTAGATAATTTAGAAGTGCGGAAGATAGGATTGCTGGTTGATTGAGAATAGTGGTACGACCCCCGGGGAATGATGAGGTGGACAAAAGGGAATAAGGGGAATAGATAAAAGGATGGTTGGTTAGTTTGGTTGTTTGGTACATATGTATATATATATTTATATGTATCGAATATATAGGTATATGTGTGTGTTAGCATCCTCTCTCTCCCTCTCTCTCTCTCTCTTCAATGTAATAAAAGATTTCTTTTCTTTTTAGGTCCCCATTTTTGAAATATTAAAGATCACCAACCTCTATCGGTTATCGTAAACATGGATGGATTGATATCCACGAAGTGTTGAAAAAGCTACAATTCAAATATTCCTCCTCTTTTTCATCCACTCTCCAACAATCCTCTCATATTTCTCTGCTCGTTACTATACATTATCTATTCATCAGAGAGAGAGAAAGAGAGAATGTGAAAAATAGACTTTAAGTTAAATTAAACAATATCTTAAAATTGAAAACAATTACTTTATAGTTTGAGTTTTCATCATTTTACATATGATTACAACAAATTTTAATGATACTATGTTATCATCCATTGCAGTGATGATAGCTACTAATAAATCGATAATTGTGATATAGTTTTGTGTATATTGTGAAGCTTATACATGAATAATTAGAGACGAGAAGTTAATTAATTAATTTGCTATGAATTAATCAGAGATGGAAGAAAGAGGGAGAAGGTAAGATAGATGCAATACATACGAGAAAGGAAGTGATGTATGAGTTTAAACTTTTCATACATACATCAATGGTTAGAATGTGTCAAGAACATTTTGTAACAAAACAAAACAAAACAATAATTGACAACCATATATTATTGAACTGTTTAAATCTATGACCTTGAAATTTAAAATATTCATATTTTAATAAGGGTAAAACCTTGCCAAAATTTTAAATCATAATAATCATCACTCTGAGATTACAACCACTTTTAACATTCTTTCGTTCTCTCTCCCCCTCTCTCCTTCTCTCTCAATTCCTACTACCGTTAGTGATTATTTTTATTACCATAACGGCTATTAGTTCATTAAACATCGGTAGATTATTTAAATCGTTTTAATTAATTAGGGCGATCGTGAAATTTTGTTTCCATTAAAGAAATTTTATGATTTATCGTTAGAAGTCTTTTTTTCCTTGTGTGTGTGATTAATTAATTTATTAATTGGAAAAGTGTGAATGGATTGAATTGAAAATGAAATTTGAAATATGAATAACATTTATATACTTACCCCAATTAAGATATATAAAAAATAATTTTTACAAATATGAAAGAAGCAAAAAAATGAGAATGTTAAAAGTTGAACAAGAAAATATATGAATTCAAATAAATATGACCAATGGTCAACAGAGATAGTGATAAATTAATTCTTATCACTGAATGATTTAAATTAAAGCAGCAAAATATTCTAATCATTTTTTAGTTTGCAGATTCCATATAGGGATGGACATGGACAATATTATGGATGGACATGGACAACATTATGGATGGACATGGACAATATAATGGTCAATTAAATGAAAGAGAGAGGGAGAGAGAGAGAAAGAAAAAGAAGAAGGAAGTAAGAAGTGATAATATGTCGTCGATTCATCAAATTTGCTCTACTTTTACATCATATTTTAAGAATTTAAATTAAATTAACTAAAATTAACTTTTTACATCATATTTAGAATTTAAATTAATTAATTAAATTAACAGAATTTAAATTAACTAAACTATATCTTGGAGATTTTCTGATCATCTCTTCCTCTATAAAATTTTCAAATAATTTTAACAAACATACATATAAAGATAACAATAAAAATTACAAATAGCAATCGATTTATTTATTGTAAAATTCGTATTATTGAAAAACTGTTATTATATGTATATATAAATAAAATGAATATGTGATTTAAATGTATGCAAATGATACATACAATAATTAATTATGCAATTTGTTTTTTCTTTTATTTGTAATAATTAATTTATAAAATTTTTGAAATCAATTTCTTCATTATTAATTGTATTTATTAATTAGAATGTTGAATGTTGAAATTATATTTTTGAATGTTTAATTTTATTTTAATTCATACTGGTAATTCTTATCTCCCAATTCTTCCTGATATAATAACAATAATGATGAGGTAGAGGGAAATTTGCACTCTACAAGAATAAAAATGCTGTGTTATTGAATTGAAATTTCACACTTATATATTTTCCTCTCCCTTTCCCTCTCTCTCTCTCTCTCTTTCTCTCTCTCTCTCTCTCTGTCTATCAGATTTGAGCGATAATTAAGCGATGTGAATTCAAGATGGATGACCTATGACATATTTTTCATCAATTACTATTATTCATTTTGCCGTTTTAACCAATTCAATTCGAAATCACCGACCATATCGACTGGATGGGTATGTACTATCATCATCAACAATAGCGCTAATACCATCAACATTGCCAACATTATCAACACTATCATTGCTATCATCACCATCACCATCACTACTATTTGTACAATCATCATCATCACCATAAAAAAGAATGAGAGAGAGAGAGAGAGAGAGAGAGAGGGACAAAAAGCGGAATATCTAGTGATGAAGATGAAAAAAAAAGTTCTTCACCGTATGTAACATTCACTGCTCCTTTTTTTCTTTTGTTTTTGATTGAAGTTAAAAAAATAGATAAAGGGGGGAGAAAGGGAGAGAGAGAGAGAGAGAGAGAGAGAGAGAGAGGTAAAAAGGATTCTTCTGTTTTTTGTTCATATTAAATGGCACCGGATAGTACCTTTCCGAAGTCATCATCCTTTTTTTTGTTCCTGTTTCCGTTGAAGCAGCATAATCAATATGTTTGAAATGGATGGGTTTCCTCCTTTAGCGATTATTTATCAGTAATACAAATTTTCACTGTAATACATTTATTATCATTATCATCTTTATCAATGATGATAAATCATTATTTCACATCATAAGTATTGTTAATTTTTCCCTAAATTATCATCCATTTAATAGTGAAAATTGGAATTTGAAAATTCTTTTCCTTTCAGATTTCGAATTTCAACTATGTTTATATGTTTATCTTCAGCTCATCTGAACAGGAGGAAAAAGAAAGAGTGTGAAGAGAAATGAGTATTATGAAGGATACTTCTCTCACTCCCTACCATATCTTGTCTACCTTATCTCACTGATATCATCCCATCCATTATTATTATCAAGATCATGGCATCTCCTAAATATGGTACCTGATTTAATTGATGTCAGGCTGAAAAGAGCAAAATAAGAATGGAGTGCGATAACTACATATACATCCAGCAATGATCATAATCAATGATTGGTATACCTTTATCCTGAAACTCATAATTTTTTTGCTTCATTTGGGAGAGCTGTTTTAAGTGTGGCGTATTTTGTCAGGTGTAGCTCATACTGTCAGGTGTGACTCATACTGTCATCATCAGCAGTAACCGAGAAAATGTACCTTAAATAGCCTCAACGCCTCGGATCCCCCGAAATAGTATACATCCCGCAATAGGGAAAGGCTATCATTTCTCCGGACTGTTGCATTACATACCTTCGTCAAAAGGAATGATAATATATAACTTTCTGCTCAGCCTATCTCTTCCCCAAAACTATTTCCCGTCTTCCGGCATATCCTAACAAAAAATATATCAGGTGCAAAGATAATATCCAACCAATGTGCACCTTTCATCAATGCTTGTCCATCCATGCATTTAGGTATGTGTGTGTCTGTCCGTCTGTCTATGAATGTGTGCATGTGTGTGCGCCATGTCTGTCAATGAATGGATGTGTGTGTATGTATGACACAGACAAACACGCGGACATACTTTGTTGCCAGATTTCGTTACATGCAGACAGGTCGCCGTCTAGTCGTCCTCCTCTAATATTCCTTCCCTGTTTCTCTCTTCTAATGTTATAAACAGGTGGTAGACATATATAGACGGATAGACATACAGGCAGACATGTATTGAACATACGTAGACAATCCAGACATATATATATGCATCCCGAATGTCTGGCAGAAAAGAGAAGGCGAGAGAGAGAAAAAATGAAATGAGTGATGGAAGTGGTCGTAGTTGCAGAGAAGGAGCATTTTAATATTTTTTCAATCTTTATTTCTTTATTTCTGTTGCATTCTTATAATATTTCCATGTAATGTTTGTAATGAAAAAGAAAGAAATAAGCACAGAAAGAAATAGGTGGAGAGAAGGGAGGAGTGGTAGTTGTAGGTAATATTGGTGTATGTCAATGTATGTCCACGTCTGTCAGTGTATGTCAGTGTGAACGGGATCAGTGTTGTGTGTGTCTCTCGACGGATAGCCGTCGTCATATGGCGCTTACCCTGTCATCGTCGTCGTTGTCGTTCTCAACAATCAAAATTGGTGGGACCGTTGAAGCAACAGCAGCAGCAGTGTCACAGGCAACAATAACATCAACAACAACATCAACAACAACAACAACAACAACAGTGGCGACAGTAACTGGATATGGTAGATCTGGAATTGTTGGTGTTAGCGACGGAAAAGAATGTGAAATGGATGGAAATTTAAAAATACCATCTCTTAGCAGTATAAATTTATCAGATTCGATAATGCGAACAACCGTTTCACCATTAGCTACAACTATAGCAGCAACAACAGAGGCGACAACGGTAGCAGTAGCGGTAACAGCAAATAATAATAATAATGATAATGATAATAATAATAGTAATAATAATAATATTCAGTTGGATTCAGTTGCTCAATTAACATCAGCGGATGATATTCTGCTTGATGAGTTATCATCACGTTTTCGTGGTGTATTGCCAGTTCAACCAAGCCCATTACTATTACCATCTGATCATATTTCATCATCACTTAAAAGCACCCGTTTAAATGGTCATTTAATCTATTGCTTTGTAATTGGTGGTGAATGCCGTTTATGCTTCCCGCAAATAATAAGCGTTGTACTACGTGGTGTTGCAATTAATGATATCAATGAATTATTTGTTGATTTAAATATTCATATATCGGTTGCAAGTCAACAACAATTGGATACATTGAAATTAGCTGGTGTTATGCCAATGACAGCTGATAGTTGTGGTTTGGTAACAAAAAGCGATGCAGAACGATTGGTTGCTAAATTATTACCACAATGTAATGGTTATCGTTTAACAACAGATATTGGATCATATGATACGGATGCTGTACCGGTTGTGCATGATTGCTTTGATGGTTGCACCGGTACATTGATACCAATGTTAGATACCGATGAACAAATTGAATGTACCCAATGCAAATTACTTTTTACTGGCGAAAAATTCGTCTCACATTCACACTCCATCCAACAAATTCGTCGCATTTGCCATTGGGGTTTTGATTCATCCAATTGGCGACATTATTTGCATTTACCGGAATCATACGAGGATGATTTGAAAGCGTTGAAAAAACTTGAATTATACAAATATCCACCGGTACGTCTCGGCAAACGTCCCGCATCACACGCTTTTACGGTAATGTTATAATTTTGAAATTTTCAGCGACAAAGTTTTTTTTCTTGTTCTGTTGAATTTGAGTTTGGATGAATATTAATGTAATATTTTCTAGCTTTTGTTCAAAGTTTGCTAATGTATGTCTGATTTTTTAAAAATATGATAAACTACCAGGGAAAATTAGTTGAATCAATGTATTCTCTTGCATTTTATGCACCTCTCTGTGGCTTGTAGGGAGAAGATATATTGAATTTTTCGAATTGGTTTGAAGCAGGCACTCACTCGTCTAATTGGTCATTTCTGTAGTTGCTGATCATTGATCATCGATCAGTGATCGTTGATCACTGATCGATGATCATTTACTATTAATAATTAACTGCCGTCATTAGCAACAACGATGATAAAATGAATGTAGATTGATTGACTCTTTATCTTATAATAGTAGTTTTCAATCGTTTTCCTAATTGCAATAGCTATAATTAAGGGATAAGAGGAGAATTTTAATTTCGAATTTATTTATGACTTTAAATTCTTAGTTTGGAATTCAGGAATTATTTTATCTCAAAAAAAAAAAGAATATAATGCTACCGTTTTATTCTATGATACACGATTAATTTTGCAAAGTATATTTTAGAAGGGTGCGATGAGTGAAATTATCATTGGGGAAATACTTCCATCCATTATTCATTTCTATCTGTTCGCTGATAACAGACGATAGGACGCTGTACAGATTGATAACAGAATTGTTTACATTTTCTATCTCCTTCATCATCATCATCATTATCATCATCGTTTCCTTATCGAATGAAAATGAAAATTTGAAGAGCAAAGGAGGAAAGAGGAAGGGAGAGGGAGAAGGATGAATAAGAAGCAATGATAGAGATAGGATGTAGAGAGTTGTTATTGTGATAGAAAGTTGTACTGGTTTTTCGTACTTTGCACTTTATTTTTGCATATGTTTTAAATGGCTGTTTTTTTCTCTTTTTCTCCCTTTTTTTATTGTTATTTGATGGATATGTAACAACACTCAGAAAAGTTCATGAAAATTGATCGTTTTTACTCTATTTGAAGTTTTCTTCTTTTTATAAATATTGAATGGTTGTAGTCAAAGTAAATAAATTAGCAAATAATTCAAAAAGGAAAAGTAAGCAAAAACAAAAGTGCAAAATTAGTTAACATATCCTTTCTCTTCTCTATTCTTATCTCTCTTCTCAATAATTCATAGTGCTATCTAGTTGTGTTAAAATAAAGGGATAGATAGAAAGTTAATCATTTGATGTATCATTTGGCATCATTACAGTGTAGAAATATGATTCCTATAAAGCTGAGGGTATACACGTCATATTCATATGCCTAACTGAAGAGTACAAGATTAGTATGTACTACGATAGGCATTAACGTTCAAATGGATAGAGAAAGTGAATTACGAAGAAATTTACACTATCATCATCATCATCATCACTATCACTTTTAATTACTACAATCACAACTCCTACTTAATGGGGTAAATTATCTCCTAGAAATAATGAACAAGAAGAGGGATACAATTATTCTATTCCTTTTTTTTACTGGATTTAGACAAAAATTATCATATGAAAATGAGAGAAAAATAAGACTGAAAGGATTAATGTCATCGTTATCGTAGGAATTGAAGTAGATTATTTGGAAAACATTTCAGTGATTAAATTTTCAAAAATCAAGTTGATTTTAAATATTTTAATATCACAACATTTTTAATATCATAAAAGCCTGTTATATTGGGCTTTAATATACTCTTAGAATGTATAGGAAAGAATAACATTTGAGCTATAGCCATATAATAATATGTTTTGTATAAAATAACATGGATTTAATGTTAATTATAGTAAACTTTGAGTTTTCAACTAATCAGCTTATGGTAAATAATAGTGGAGAATTTCCCATTATATGTGATTTCCTTCAGTATTGACTTTTGACAAATTTTTTTTTCAACTCATTCCGTTGTAAATTTTCGGATATCCCCCATAGGGAATTATTGTATTTTTGGGATTTCCGATTATCCTGTGGAAATTTCATTTTCATGATATTGCATTTAATGCATGAATATGGATTATTGCATGTAAACTTGCATTTCATTTCAATCTTAAGCTAAAATGATGAATCTTTCCTTTTTTTCAATTCTTTTCTTTCTTTTTTGTTGGAAGCAACACTTGGCACAAATAATTTAGAAACGACAGATGCGAAGCGGTGAGGGAAAATTTATCTAAATGATGAATGTTGGAAAAGATGAAAAAAAAAAGAAGAAAAGGCAAAATGTGTTATCACTGATATGAGGGAGATTTAATATAAGGTAAAGAGGGATGCGAAATAACATAACATGTGCGATTAAATAGGTGTGGGCTTTTTTTAAAATAAGGCAAACAATATAATCAATGATTTCGAAGAAAGGAAATATTGCAGTAAACACACATTCTTCATTTCCATCTTCTATTTCTTCACTTTCATTCTATTTCTCATCGTGCGATAATTAAGAAACTTAAAAAAAACAAGCAAACAAATTATATCATATTTGATTAAGAAAAAGAACAAATAAAATATGATGCTATCATAGATATTAGTATAGATAGGGCTAAAGCATTGATGTTAGATTGGTTACTAGTCCAGTATAGTGATGCCATTTAAAATTTCAAAATTAATTATTCAACTGAATTTAAATGATAGGATAGAGAAAAACAAATAATTATTAGTATTAATTTACCACGTAGTATCTATCCTCATTCTTGTCTAGGGAGGTAGCACTAAAGCATGATGATGGAGTCGATAGCTTGATTTAATGTTCTTAAAATTTAAAATCAATAAGTTAGCTAAATTTAGGTGATGGAATAAGGCAAACAGATAGTATTGAAATCATTGAAAAATGTGAACCGGGAAGAATAATTAGCTAGGGATACCTGGGAAGGATATGATATGTTATTTGCCCGAAAGAATTGGCTGATGACTATTGGATGGGCTTGAATCATTAATGGAAGCGTGTAATAAAATTTTGATATGATTAGCGGAAAATAGGGTACAAATTCAGTAGTGCTGCAAGTGTTATACTTTGTAATTTTTACGCAAAATTAACGGAAATAGAAGGAATTGGAGATTTAAAAAGAAATGAAAATTTCAAATAAAATTGTTTTTGATTTCACATTCTGTATTTTTATAATTTTAATTTTTATTTTTTAATTTTTTCAGGCAGTTGAGAATGGTAATTGCTCAAAATTGGCTAATCTGTCAACGACAACATCAACAAAATCTGTTGAAGTTAGAGTTGCCGAAGATGAAGTTGAAGCTGAAGCAGGAATTGGAATTAGAGTTGATCCAACAGTTTCTACATCGGTGCAATCATTGAATGACATCAACGAGCATATTTTGAAACTTTATAGTGCTGCTCAAGCGACAGCCGTTGCAGCAACAGCTTTAACCGCTGCCACATTAAAAGCTCCATTAACTACGGTAACGCAGGATTCGTCATTTCTCCCCTTACAGGTACCAGTGGTTGGTGCAAGCGGTTGCTGTACCGGTCAATCATCTGGAACACCATTGACAAGTCCTCAGTTACAGTCACTTCTTGCATTACAATTTATTACTTCACAACTACCTCTATCGGAACTCTGCAAACTACCTATCCTTACAAATCCTTCTTCTAATGTGACATCGGATATTCGATGGAAACCAGTTTATGAGACGCAGTCGTCTGCGCTCTCATCTGTACCAGTTGTTGACAGCAAATCAGTTACTAATATGAGACAACATATAGTCGCCAGCGATGAAGATTTTTCCAGTAAAGGTACGCCGATATCGTCTACTATCAATTCTGATATTCTAACATGTATGATTAGTAAAACAGGTATCGTGCTTAAACAATATCTGCTTTTCCTTTTAAAATTTCCAAAAAGATTTTTGAAAGCTGATTACGCCCTTAAAAAAACGAAAAAAGAAACGATTGGAAAAAGGGTGTGATATGCTTCTTTCATGTTACTGATGGATCTGTTTTTACCCTACCCATGTATAGTGGGATGTATATGCAATGTGTTTGTTTATATACGTGCAATGTCTGTGTGAGATGTATTTGAAAGAAAAAGGACGGCTTATTTTGCAGGAACGTCACTGGAGAGATTATTGGATCAAACATTGAAGGAACCCGTTTTGTCGGTTGCGAAGTTATTGGTTACGGAATTCCGGCGTGAGAAAGAATTATTACTTAACCAAAATGGACAATTGCGTCGTGAAAATGCTCTTTTACGCAGTGCACTCGCTAGTAGTACTGTTTTGGTTGGCCTGAAAGGATTGACTGCAGCGAATGTTCCAATTTCGTGAAAAAAGTGACGAAGAAAAAGGAATGAATGTTGTTTACTTTCTTCCATGTAATCACCACCTACAGGATTAATTTATCCAATTTTTGCTTTTCCCTCTTTCCATTTTTACAACTTAACCCTTAAGGGTCCTTTGTTTTCGTCTATGAAAAAAAGCTACTGCTATCGGGAAAAAGCTAGAAACAGTTAATGTCGTTGTCGATGAAAGGAATTTTTTCTTTTTTTTCACCTTTGTGTTAAATCGATCGATAAAGTGATTTCCTGTAACATGGAATAGAATTTAATTGACGGAAAAAGGGGTAGAGGTCTGGATTACTTAAAACAGAGAAATTAGCTGGAAGGATTGAGAATTTTGGTAATATACTTTTTGCGTTTTATTCGATTTAGACATCCATTGATGATGAAATTGCTTCGTTAGTATAATTTGTTTGTTTGTTTGTTAGTCAGTGTTACCGATCTCGTTTCTACTACGGGTTTGCAGCAGGTCGAGGTCGGTGCTCCGACTATAAATCGTTTTGTTGCGGCATTTTAGAATTTACGACTCGTCATTTTATTCTTGATTATGATAATGATGGTGGTGTTGATGATGACGATAAATGATGATGATGATGACGATGATAATACTGATCATTGTCATTATTATTGTGACTATTTCGTACCAGAGAGCTCTATATTAGATAAATGCCATCCCTCTGGAATAGAATTCTCCGCTTTTTCCATATTTCTTACTAGAGACTGCTATATTGGGTAAATGTCATTCCGCTGGGATAGAATTTTCTGCTTGTTTCCATGTTTAATCATTGTTTGCATGTTATTCGTTGATTGTCAATTTTATGCATATTATTTTATAATTTTTATCCATTGTGTACAGACAGCTATCTACTCTTTCTATCTCTTTTACACTTTTTTCTCATCATATGAATTACCACATTTTATATTATTGCGAAAAAGGTTGCGGTAGATTTAAAGGCTTTAATAAGCACATTATTCTAATTAATTTGAGCCATTTCGAATTCAGCTGTCGACGATTTTTTTGCACAGATTTGTTGTTATTGTAACATTTGACGACACATGCTGTTGCCTTTTTTTGGTTTCATATTTGTAACTTCCAAGAAGATACCTTCGTTGATAATATCCAGCACATTTACATTACTATATAAAAGAAATTAGAATGACGACATGAAATATTTTAATTTATCCTGCTTTCTTTTCTAGAACTTACTAAACCTTTTATTGCTAAATTGCAATTTCCTTTATTGCCTTGCTTCATTTCTGGAATTGAAACATGTGGCTTTTTGATTATTCAATCCTAATATTGGAAATTCAAAATTCAAATGACTGAGAGATGTGTGTAAAATATATAAAGAAGAAAGGAAAATGATGGTGATGGTGGTGGTAAGGGAAGGTGGAGTGGGAAGGGGAAATGAAATGACTTTCGATTTCAAATTAGATAACTTAGACGGGGGAATTTTTCTAATCAATTTTTCATTTAATGCTGTGGAATGTGTTGTAGTAACTTAAAAAATTTTTATTTATTTTTTTCATCCCTTGTTAAAATTTAGTAATTAATCCATTTGATTTCTGCTCTTTTCGCATCATGTCTGATGCCATCCTTTCTTTCTTCAGTTGTTTGTGTTTTCCATCCATACATTTTAAAACGAGAAATTAAAGTCCTGAATCTCTTCAGAGAGGAAATCACTATGGCAGTGTAATTTGATACGTATTCATTTTATTGTATTCATAAGGTAAAAGAGAAAAAACGGTGATATCCGTATATCCGTATCCAAATAATGTTATTCAAATCCGCCTATTGTATTTTTATTGTCAACTTTTCTATTTCTTCTTTTATTTTATCTTTTGTACTTCCTGTTACCCTCCCTACCTTTTACTCTGGTAATTATTATTATTATTATTATTAGTACGATGCTGAAATATATTTTTGGTTGCTGCGAATTTCACTTCCATTATCTTTTTTCATCTTTCTCTTTTTCTTTATCGCTTAAAAATTATTTTTATCCCATGGATTTACTGTTTCGCTGCCAGAAAGTTACTCAGGTTAGAGTATTTCATCAAATATATAATACATTAAATTTATAGCTGAGAGAAAGGCAGAATAATGGAAAAACAGAAATTATTTAAGATCAGAGAACATTATATCTAATCTGCATATATATATATTTGTAGCTGGTATGTTTCGTTTTCGTTTTCTACTCATCATTTTGTGATTTCTCTCATGTGCTTTTTTGAGAATTCGCGGGAGATGACTTCCTTTTTTTTTCTTCTAAATCATGATTTCCTTTTGTATTTATTTATTCATTGTACAACATTCTACCTTATCACATGGATAATTAACCAAATGATAGACGCAATAAAAAGGAATGAAATAATTGGGAAAATGATACAAGAATTCCCTGATCATAATTATTATATCGATGCAATAATGGGCACGTGGAAATTATATAATCAAGTATATGGAATTCGGTTTTTTTGCTTCTTCACTACATACAATATTTTTTGTCTTAAAATTATTTCAACATTCTCTTTTGTTCATTACGATAGTGCCCGAGTGGCTTAAAAGCTGTGTTTTCGAAATTGTTTTTTCTTTATTTATTGTTCGTCTTTGGTATATTTTATATGTTCATCTTTCTATAGTTAAATAAATATTGTGTGCCTTTCTTTTTCTTTACACTTTTGTAGTGGTTTACAAATCTTCATAAAAAATGATTGATAGCTGTAACGGTCAACTTGATAGGTATTTTTAACGTCTCAGTTACAGTCTGAAATGTTTGACTGAAAATTTTGAATGATGTGATTATGAGTTTCACGATTGAAGACATATCTCCTTGAGCAAATAGTAATAACTGGTCTATTCACTCTATACATTGGCTAGACGGTCTATGTGCTAATTATACAACCAATAATTCTGCTATTAATATGGCAAGCAAAAATTTACTCGATAAATGGGGAGTGGATCTCGTCGTGGAATTTATTGATTAAAATAGGAAGGATAACAACGTGATATCTCTTAACTTGAAACAAGACACATATGCAACAAGTAAATTACAGAGTAAAACATGAATTTCCTCACGAATATATTCTATAATGCAGCCTTGCGTAAGATTAGAATAGCGAATAGTAATATTATTGATTAATTAGCAACCCATATATACAGTCACAAATCTTTCCGTCATCCTCCTGACAGTAAACTATCATTAATGTAAGTTAATGGAATTGGCCACAATTATCAACAAGGATTTGGTTGACGTTTAGATGGAATCATCATTCTATCATTTGTGAAAATTAATACGGTAAAAAATCGCCTTTAAATCGAAGCATGATTATGAAGATTTGCATGTAATCTACCAATTGTGACATATTTTCCTTCTCTTCCCTCTTTGATTTCTTGAAGATTACAAAATACAGATCACTAGTTTTTTCCTCATATTTGCGGCTCAAACAATTGATGACCATAAAAAATTATTCTCCTCGTAATTCCCTACCATCATATCCCAAATTTGCAACTACACGAGATTTTCGAGGTCTTCTTCTGTTCGTTCTAGAAATATCCGAAGGTAATGTAGAATTCGACGCACAATTCGGTGCACTTACAACAGAATAATTCTTATCACACGAATTCAGTTCGGCACAGTTTTCAAGTTTAGTTGCTTCCTTCATATCATCTCGCGTAGCTGACTTTGCAATAACCATGGGAGAAATAATAGGAGTATCGTGTTTTTGTACATAATTCATCTGTTCAGATCTTCGTGATGGAACTTTTCCCTTTGAGATCTGCAAAGCACTTCGAACAGAATTCAACTCACTGAAGATTACATTTAAAATGGCTTTTTGAAATTTTAACATTACTGTAGTCTAAATATGATTCCACTACTACTATATGCAAAAAATACGCAATAATAGACTAATATCCAAACTATTGGAATACCGATTTGGGTGACGAACGTGCTGCAAGCAGTCCATCCATATTACTTGATTCTCCTGATTCTCCTGACGTATTTAATCGTTGTTTACTGAGCTGTTCCATTAGCTCGTCAATAGTACCACTTTTCCGGAATTTCATCGTTTTTTGCCTTTCATTCCCCGATTTCATTTTTTCGGTAGCAGCTGACATTATATCTTTCGCATCCCGCGAAATGTCTTTCTTAAGTAAAGTGATTGGCACAGAAGATGCAGTCATGTCGGTTTTTTTCTCCAATAACATTCGTTTCTGAATCCCAGTGGATTTAGAACTAGATTGCTTTTTACAACTTCCTTCAAAGGAACATGGAAGATAATCCTTGGATTTCGTAGACTGACATTCAAACCACGTTCGCGCATATCCATGACGCGGTTTGGGATTTTTCATTTCTCCACCACCATCACGAACTGCCATATCTCCAGTACGCTGACTGCCGACATTTTTATCAAAACCAAGTTGTTTAAAAATGACATTGCGGGTATCACTCAGTCCAGCCTCTCCGTAACCTGCACTTCTGTTAATATTGAATTCCGATTGCTTCGGCGACTTCCAAGTTTTGTCGTGATTTTGGAATAACCTGTTGAGTGCAGAACTGTTAAAAGCTGAGCTTTGTCCTCTAGACTGCAATCCACATGGGGAAAAATATTCCTGATGTGGGCTAAAACCACTGCACGAAGAAATTTCGCTAATACTGTCGCTTTTTGCTACTTTGTTGCCATCTCTTAATTTTCTAAAGTTCGTTCCATCTCTCATTTTTCCTGAATGTCGAACTATATTTGTGCTCGGTTTACATCCAAATGCTTTTCTCTCTCCTTCTGAATCCTAAAATACTGCAAAATTTAAATTCCCTGATCTATAACCTTGTTATTCTGCTAAAATGTTCAATTATATGCTGATTTTGTTACTTGATATAATTTCACTTCAAATAAATGAGAAGCATTCAAAGAAAATTTTGTGTTTAAATAAAAAAGATGAAGTCGTAAACCACCTCGACCAATCGTGGCAAAACGGATTATATGGATGCCACCATATTAAAAACGATCAGAAAACTACCTGAGGTTCGGAAGCCAATGAATTACTCATAAATGTACGTGGAGGTCGAGCTTTTGGTTTCCATTTCCTACTCAACACTGCTCTATCCTTGCCTTCTGTTGCCTCGGCACTATGCATAATAATAGTTGAAGATTGTTGTTCAATCTCAAATCCAGAATCACCACCGCATAGTGAACCATTTGGATTTGACGCTTGAGGGTTGTTTGGTTTCCACTCATTTCTTGCAGCAGATGTTTCGCATAATTGCTACAAATTCGACTTTAATATGAAAAGCAACACTCAACTCATAACAGGCTGATCGGTTAAGACAGAAGACATATTTTTTGAGAACAGGAAGATATTTGGCACATTTTGCAGAAACTTGCTGATAAGGAAAAACGAGAAAACAGAAGGAAATCTGCTCGACCTTTTGAATACAGTTTTTCATTTCGAACACTTAAAATCTAAATTGCTGAACGAACTTTTGATCAGAGGACATATTAATGTAAGATCAAACCTGACTTTGGAATTTGAAAATGAAACTATTAATAACTATTACAGGTATATATTATAAGTAGAAAACTATTATAGGTAGAGAGATAAAGACGCAGAGAGAAACAAAATATAGTTATATACCAAAAAATTTCAATACCGAAAGGAATTCAAATTTGGTAAGAATTTGAAAATATTATCATAGATGTACTCCAAAATACTATACTCCTGATACCAAATGAATCACATAAGAACGTTCATGTTTGGTTAACGAAGACGGAAAATCTAAAACTTACAGTTTCTAGTAAGGATATTCTATTTCTGGGGACAGTTCCAAAAGCTTCACATGGAACTTGCTGGTGAAATCCACCACATGAATATCCTTTATTGGGGTAGATGTTATGTGAGAAATTCACTGATTCACGATTAGGTGTAACTGGACTTAAAATATGCTCAACTACTGGAATTTCGTTTCGAAATCGTTTCCCATGTGTTATGTTAATCAGTGAAGATATCGGCAATCGAGCTCCGCTTGCTCTGCCACTTCTAAAAAGTAGTATTACCTGGATTTATCTCCTTATACAAATCTGAGAAAAAATGGTTACGACAAATGCGTGGTAAATAAGTATAACGTGCGTATATAAAGACGCTGTCACGGTCCCAACATCATCATTCATCTACACATCGAGATTTATAGATTCAAACCCCCAAACGCACCGTTACCAATTCATTAAATGACCGACTGATAAATCCCAAGTCAAATAACACGAGGTATTAGACAATTAACTGTCTTTCTTGTTTAGCAAAAGCTACAAAAATAATCATATTCTCTTCTACTGTAATTTTAAAGTCACTCAGTAATAAATCAAATATTTTCTCATAAAAAAGTTTAAAAAACAAACCGCATAATCTGGCCCCCAAAATACGGTTTATCAAACAATACATCGATTTTCTTCCCCGATGCTGTATTAAGTAAACCAATAACAGTACCAAATTCACCGAATGGCGCTGTACGGAGTTTTTTGACACAAATAACTCGATCTAGTAAGCGAAATTCAGCTTTTGGATCTGGTATAATATCTCCTTTGCACAGTTCCGTCTAAATCAGTTTTATTTTTGCTGCATATTGAAAAATACTTATTTTAATAATATAGAAATTTTATAATGGTTTGCGATATGTTTTTGTCTTCGTCAATTTCATTTAAAGTAACGTACCCTAAAAATTGCACGGGGCTTTACTGCAAGTCGCTTGCAAATTAGTTTTGATGCGTTTTTGGACATAATGATCTTTGTCCTTTTTTCGAGCTCTTTCAAAACGCCGGAGTCCACAAAAATACCATCAGCTGATTCTAGAGCATCCTTTGGCGCAATAGTGAGTAAAAATTTTTTCAGTTCTGAAACTCATTACATTAATATTTCATTAATTTTTCGTTCTGAATAATATTAAAAAAAAAACACAAAAACAAATAACATAAAAACTACGCTGAACTTCGCAGTGGACGTATGGTATAAGAAAATAATGAGATAAATCACGTATATCAATGTGACCTTTGAATTTTGTGATAAATTAACAAAAATAAAAGAAAAATAAAAGAAGATAATAGTGGTACTGTTATATTTTTACTAACTTGACAATAAATTATAATAAAAATTATATAGAAGATAATAATGGTAGTGTTTTTTTATTATATTATACAGAAAATGAAAATAACTCTGTAGAAGCAGAGCTGAATTATGATAAATTTACCATCAAGTTTTGCATTTAATTCTTCTTCTTTAAATTCCGGAAATATCTGCTTGATAAGAATATCTCCTTGAAAGTTATCCAATTTTTCAAGATATCTGAATACTCCCGGATACCTGCAGATACTAATTATGAAAACAAAAAAAACAGTGACAAAATCAATCATAGTTTTCATGGCGACTCAATTACAGAGCATTAGGGATCAGTAAGCCAAAATATATTAACATTAATCAGAGTAACTTTCTTTTTCATACTTCAATTTGTAATTCCGAATTATATCGAATGCTCTTGACGAATATAAAAAATGTCCCTCAGACGAACGGCGTGTGAAATCTGGTACCTGAATACGGCTTCATTCATTTTAATTTTTCTTATAGTTAAATGTATATACAATTATTCAAAAAAGGAATTCTCCCAGATTAAAATTCAATAAATGAAAAAAGGAAATAAATCTGAATTTTTAAGATAGAGAAATTTTAAAAGATGAGAGAAAGAAACAAACAATTTGGTTCCTTTTTGTGAATTTCAATTCAAGGCCAATATTGACCCTATTCAGCGGAGCACTTCGTGATGAAATCGACTCAGATTCATTTAGTACGACATAAACACAACCAGTGATACGACTAACAACGTCAACATTTGCTATAAAACTTTTTCTTTAACTGAAACCATGGCATAAACAAAAGCAATTGAACAACTACCACATCGCAGTTACAAAAAACAGAGATTTATTTTTTCAGAATAAATTTTAAACTTACTATGCAAGAGTCTTGCTATTTCGTATACGTTGTACCATTTCAAGGCATAATTATCATAATTTGCTACAATATCGTAGAAGTTCACATCCGCTGTTGATGGAATTTTACACGAAACAGTAAGTGTCCCTATAACAAAAACAAAGAAGTCATCAAAAACAAGCAATCTCTCACAAATTCGCTCAGCAGTGATTACTTGAAGAAAGCAAAAATACTCTACCTTTTGTTGCCAGATGATTTTCCTTGATAAATGCACAAAAACCATAATATTTACTTTCAGCGGAAGAAATAAAAACCTGGGCATTAATTGGATATACATCCTCGAAGGAACAAACAGAATCCCAATCTTCCAGTACGTTCTGAAGAACTGAGAAGTAAGATATCTATTGCAATATTTACGAGTTAAGATACGATGAATGTGGCCCAGATGCTGTTTAGAAATGTCTTATTCTATCACATTTTTCAGTTCACACTAAGCCATTAAAATTATTACAGAAAAAAATAAACGAAAATAACATTAACAACAAACTGACCTGTATTACAAGGGAAAGTGATACAGGAACTGTATTATCGGTATCAGGATACGACCGCTTAATTACCACTTTTTGTTCTTCGAAACATTTCCGCGATCCTTGAGCTACTCGAACTAAAGCCAAACCTTTTTGTTCACCAGCATCAATACCTTTCCTTTCCAACTCACTATAAAAATGGATGGGAAAATTGATTAAGTACGAAATTAAGCTTGAAAATTTCACGATGGTCTAAAAACTTGAATGCCTTACCAAAGTTGGCATAAAAACGTAGAAGATTAATGGGGTATGTTTTAAAAACTAACTTTCTTTGAGTCATACTGACATAACTACTATATACATTTTGTTCTTCTTTCGTAAGATTGTAGCAAATAACTTCGTTGTCAGTAGTCTTGCTGTATCTGAAAATGAACAATACTATTAAAGCTTATTCAATAAAGTATACCTTTCGAGGTGATCTTATGAGTTCCCAAAAAAGTTCACCAACCCAGGCAACATATCATTTTATTTAACTTCTACTGATAAACTAACAAATGACATGAATTTGAAAAGGTAAACTTTTTATCAGCAGTCCATAACTCCTGTACTAAAGCCTTCTGAAGCACAGGCCAATTCACATGTACTTCTTTTCCAACTAAATCAAATGCTATTTCCAACATGTCCTGGAAAATACCATGCAATATTTAGTGTTTCATAGATCCCAATTATATTTAATATTGGTTTACAAGCATTCAACATAAACACTATTTGGCCAATAATTAGCAATTGTTATTATGATGAGATCAACTGCCAAACATGCTATTCTGAACCATCTTTTTCACATGATTCTGCTACTATTTTCATGTTCTTTTATTAACGCGATTATTTTCATCCATAAACTATCCAGGAAAGAGTAAAGTATTTATTCATCTTGTTTTAATACTTCTAAAATATAGGGGGCTTTGAAATAGTTCATCCTTTTTGACATACTTTCAAATTTAATCGGAAAGATCTACTACTGGACTTCACAAAAAGAACCTTATCGAGTTCCGGTCTGTTTGTAATTTTAAGAATCATCGATTGTTTTTTAGATGGCTGTTGAAAGACTCTGATGCCCGCAAATTGAAGCTCAGCAATATGAGGTATGTGTCTCATTGTAGGAAAGCCAGGAAATACAACATCCAGCTTAACATCAGGTAACAGGCCGTGGACTATTTGATTGCGTGGTATGCGAAACTGATTCATTTCTATTTTTTCTACTCTAAAATGGTAATCGTTTATTACAAAATTAGAAAAACTTTAAATGCAGATCGGAAAAATTTAAATCCTGAAGAAATTTACCTTAAATCACCAACTATTAATAAATCTATACGCAAAACTTACTTTGCAGTGCATTCCTGAATATCTGGAAAAGTGCCGGGAAACGTAGATTTCAAAATATGTGTTGATGACGGGTTATAACTAAACAGCAGATGAGAACCGTGTATGTTCCTTTGTCGTTCCTTTAAATATTTAATTTATTAATATATAATTTAAAAATAACGAGGTGTTCAGTAGAAAGTATCTAGTAAAAGAGAAGAGAAAATTACCTCATCAGTTAATAAAGGGTTTTTGATAGCCACAGCCTGTAGAAGGCGATCTTCCTTAATAAATGGTATAAGAACAACCGCTTCCCAATCATTCTTCTTGCCATTCAAATCAGTTTCGAATTGTTCCGGATAAAAGTCAATAATTGGACTTCTTGGATCACTCATAAGCTCCTGGATTGTAAATTATGAATTTACAATTAGAAAATGAACAAACTGCTCTCACTGTTAAATCTTATGAAAAGACGAAAACTACATCTTCCGGCATATATACGGGCATGAAAGATAATAACTGATATCTAATATCAGATATTAGATTTATAATATTTAATCCTTTTGTATTTATTTAACTTCAACAGTTCTGTCTTGATCCTTCATGAATATAATCATTAGAAATGAAATTATTGATAAAAAGATGCTTTTCAGATAATTTCGAAAATAATATAAATTTATTACACGATAAGGCGGTGGCAAACAGTCGGCACTAGCTGCAGGTAACACCGCCAATAACTGCTCAAATGGCTTTAATGGCTCATTTAAATCAAAATTCATTTCCATTTCAGCGAAATCAGAAACGTCCGATATGTAAGGAGCATAATGGTGCGGATAAAACCTGGAAACAAAAAAAGAATAAAAGCAAAAGAGAATTAATACTGGATTTAATTTGAGTTTATTTTAAAAATGTCATGTTTTGAGAAATATGTACCAGCTCCAACTACAACATCCATGATAGTAGTAGTGTAAAGTCCACTGAATTGCACGAATGTATCCTTCCGCTTGCTCACGTAGTTCTTCTTTACTTATGTTGTCATAGTTCATCTTATCGTTATAATAGTCACGCTTGTGATTTTTGAAGGCCCGGCTGACTACTGGAGTCCAAGATAACTGTAATCAAAATGATTTAGTGAAATTTTTTATATTCCATAAAATGTAAACAGCATGAATATGTTGTATCAACAAAATGTTTATAACTTTAAACTTACATCACAATCATTTTCATAGTTTTCGTCATCCAATGGAACAGGTGGCAGGTCGTTATCTGAATCTTTGTCCAGACCAAAATACCCATCTAGATAAAATTATCTTTGAAACTCAGTAACAAAGCAATTAATTAAGAATAATTAACCAATAAAATCATCCGCTCAACAATTAACTAAAATTAGTTAACCAATAAACCTTCTGTCGAAAACTTACGAGACAATGCTTCAGTAGCGGTTAAAATCCTTGGACTAACAACTTTTTCACATTCATCAGAAGCATTATTGTCCGAATCGAATGCTCCTTTATGAAAATCATTCTTGGTAATTTCAACTTCTTCAACTTCTGAAAGATCGAACAGCTGCAAATCTTCATCCTGAAATATTCGAACGTGTTAAAAAACATGCAAAATGTAAATAGATAATTTATTAAATTCTTCGTTTTAGTCTCACAGTGACATTTTTACAGTAAAAAACCGAAACTTCCTGATCTTAATCCAAATTCCAACTGAAATACCAAACTTCATAACATAGCACAAAACTAACACAGTTTTGCTGATCATTACGTGAAATACAAGTACTATCTCTCCAAGGATTCGATATTCTTTTCGAACTGAGATATGCTTCATCATCCATTTCTTCGATAAATTTCTTCCTATCATTTTTTGCAAAATTTTTTAGGAAAATTTCGAAACGCTTCAAATTTAAAACACCCGCTTCATTGATATAACCTGCAAGCAGTGTTAATATAATAGTACCAAAATCGTTCGAACATTTATTATGAAACGTTCCATAGTCGACTTGTTTACTACCTACCAGGAATTAATGAACGGGTTTTTTTAATTATCAAACTGGCAATTTATAATAAATTAGCAAAACTAATTAGTAAGACTTACCGTCCAGCTGAGGTAATACTTCATTATACGTAGCATAAAGAAGCGGTAAAGAATCCTCATGTATATGAACATGAGGGACGTGAGGTATAAAATCATTACCAACAAGAAAACCCATAAGGACCCAATCATCAATCACTGACTCCAAATTATAATCAAATGGCAATTTTTCCTAAAATATGAAATTAAGTTTTCATTACATTTTACAAGTGCATGAGATTTCTTAAAAAGTTTTGCAGAAGAAAGAAGCACCAAAACGAAAGAATTACCTTTAGTGAGTGAAATTCCCATGAAAGGTATTCTCGAAGCAAAGAAAGATGCAATAAATGAAATGTTATTTCATCCACTCTTGTTCTGAAATTTCAACCAGAAATTGCTGGATAATTTCGCCTAAACTTACCATTTTGCCTCACTTCCAGCCTTCCAGCCAACACAGTTCGAATTTCCAATAAATAAAATTAAAAAAATTTCATATAGCTTAACATACGGAAAATATAAACATTAAATATTAAATACTAAAATTCTAAATCTGAGAGCCCACCTATGCTTTCCGTTACGATTCCTTTGCCGTCCAAATTTCACTTCTTCCCGCAGTAAAGAAAAATGAGGTTCGTGTGAACATATTCCCAGCATTATCTAAATATATTATTATAGACATTATAATTACTTTCATCAATTTTCCATTATGCTGTCATAAACATGAAGGAAACTTGCCAAATCTGCGTCAAGACCATAAAGACAATGTCTTGTGTTAGCGTCGTAATCAGAACGACTTCTTTCACTACGTATAAAATCCATTATTTTATGTTCACCTTCTCCGGGACACTGCAAAACTATGGACTTGATAAGTAACATGAATATACCAATTTAGTGAATCCAACAACAAGTTGTTTTATCAATATCAATACCAATATATCAATAACCGATGGATGTCAAACAATAAAATTAAATTAATGTGAAATTATAACGATTGCTTCCCATTTCGGTCATAATATTCAGTTTAGGATTGCGGTCCATTCCTTTTTTTTCCATTATGATTCTTTTGCCATCCAAATTTCACTTCTTCCCGCAGTAAAGAAAAGTAAAGTTCATGCAAATAAACTCTTGTGATAAAAGAAATGCTAACATCGTGGCCAGAAAGATATATCCGTAATCCTTGCCAACAACTATCCGTAGTAATTTTCATTTGCACAAAACATTGTAATTGTTCATGGAGACGAGCCATAAACTGCGTACCTTAAATGGTCCAATTTCATAAATAAAACAATAAGCATTGATATAATTAGAATCTTGGATGTTATTCTAATCGCATCTGCACTAATCCTAATCATATTCTCCACTTAAACTAAATTAATCCTTTTTATATTGAAAATATCAAAAGACTACAAAATACCTTTTTTGCTACAGTACTGCCACAATTAAAATCAATATTTAACTATAAAATATTTCAGAGAACAAGAGTAAAAAATAGTTCGTTTAAAAGTAGCGCATGCTGTAGTATTAAAAGTATCAGAAACTTGAACTTTTCCGATCGTATCATAATATCAAGTAGTATGTTATTGAGGGAACCTGGGGTAATGCAATTTGAATCAAATGGCTTTTCATCTGGAATTTGAACTCCATTTTTCCTTGCCTTATTTAAAGCTTCTCGTGTATTTTTCGCGGACCTTCAAAAATTAAATAAAAATGACGCACTAATTTTAGCGATATAACATAAATGATATATATTTTTCTCTCTCAGAATAATGTGCGCATTAATAAGTTCTGGAGGAATGATCTAGTTTTGAAGCAGGGAAATTTAACAATCACTTCGGCTGTACAATGAATATAAAATTTAGGCGAATTGTGGAAGAGACAAACTAGTAAGGAATTATAAATTAAACAATAATGTGGCGGAAATTTTGAAATATATGAAATAAGAACAAACATAAAACGTCGTGCTCTTTGTTGGTTCATCTTAGCACGTGGTGCAACACCATCGATAGCCATGAAAAATACTTTTTTCGGCTTAATTATGCCAAAAAGAAACTGAAATAAGTTTATAAGTAAAAATACCAATAGCTCGTTTATTTTACATTAAGTTATAATAATTTCACCTACATCAATGTAACTGAAAATATCACGAAATATTTCCATTTCGGAAATTCGAAAGGAAACATCTTCATCGTCCGGATGAGAACAACCATGTATTATACCATTCATATCCAAATATAAATTATCAAATTCCGGAATCTAAAATTACTGAAGTTTCCTTCCATTTTGTAATGATGATCTAACTACTATCACATTTTTTTAAAACATTCAACTGGTTATCGAGATGCCATAATTTCAAATTCCATATTTCAACTTGTCCTAATTTCAACTATTCAAAATTATTTTTAAACTAAGCTTACGAAAGATATCCTAAGTTGGCATTTCAGTATCACACGAAAAAATATGCAGCAAAGACAACTTGAAACAAAAAAAACGAGATGAATAAGACAATATTAGACGTTCAAGCTACAACATATCCAACCTGTTCATCGTGAATCACTTCACTCAAGCACGGGTAACGCTCGCTAATCCATCGATAAAATTTCGGAACACCCATTTCAACTGCAAATTCCGAGTAATAAGTTAGTATTCATTAAAGATTCATTAAAGAGTACCATCAAGCTAACAATATTAATCTCTCATCATTCTACTCAAGCATATCCCAAAAGAGAATATATCCCCCTTCGCTTTTCCCATTCCCACTCCCACTCCCATCCCCGCTCCTTCTCTCCTCTCCTCCTCCCCGTTCTTGTTCTTCTCCCTCCCACCACCGAAAACATCTCCATGAGCTCAACTACTTAAGCACCATTGCGCTATGCCACACAGAGATGCTATGAAAAAAGTAAGATCCGATGTCACATATTGCGTCCGTATATATATAAATGTATATATAATATATATATATATAGACGTGTGCATGTGAACCGGATTTACATATGTATGTGTATGTGATTCAAATAGAATTCCGAAGCCTTTAAAACTTTGAAAATGTATAATTAGGTATCAAAAGGAAGCGCATAGAATATTGAAGTGAATTCGGTAGATGAAACATTCTTATTTTTAGATGTATCAAATAAAAGGAATAGAATTTCTATGTTATAGAAAGAATTGCCCACGTCTATTTTATGTTTTATACGTCCGTATATCCTCCTCTAATTCTTATATTTAGCATCTGACAGTCGCTTATAATTATGAATTGCAGGATTTTATGAAGGATAATTAAATTTTGTGTTAAAATTGACTTCCTGGTTGTGCACATAATTGCACATTTTTTGATATGCCAATGAATCATCCTTTGAGACATTTTCCAAAATTCTGATATCCTACTGAACATCAATCCTCCATCTACGTTGTCAGCTACGTGATCCTACCTGATATTCAGCGTTTTTGAAGGAAGAGATGTAGTATTACTATTATCAATAGTTAATTATTCGAATATTTCAAAAATGTATTGCTAATGATATTGAGTAGCTATCAATGGTTTCGAAATATTATCAAGTGGTGGTAAGAAGTGCTTAATCGTTATCATTACTTTTCCGGGTACCTACCGCTGTCTTCATGGCAGTTATCAAACAGTGATGCACCTCGGATGGTTGCTTCTTCTTCAAGCTGTTATCGCTTCTGCAGGTAGCTTTTTTTATTAATTCTTGTGAACATTATGAAATGTTAATAATAGCAATAGCAATAATGATAATAATAATAATTATTGCTATTATTATAACCAATAAAATTATAATTATTTATTTATTACACAATAATTATTTGCAAATATCTGTTGAAGTTTTTTAAAAAATTGATTTGCTAATTTTTATTAATTAAAAAATTTTGCTGTTTGCTAAAAGTTTCTATTGTATATATTATAGTTGTTAATTATTAAATAAGTTAATGCTTGAAATAACTGATATCAAAATATCATATCATTTTAGTGGCATACAATAATAACAAGCGTCATGCTAATGCTTCGAACGATGCTTGCGCCAAAGCATGCACAGGTATGATATATTTTTCTATCTGGTGGCAGTTTAATATTTTAGAATATACTGCCTAAGTTGTGAATGCAAATTTATATTGAAAGTTTTAAAGTTACTAAATTTTCTCCTTTTTCGATTGTAAATTGAGATGCTAAATAAAATTATTGCGTGGGTGGAAGAATTTCTATTGCAATTATAAATTTTGTTTCAGTCATCAGAAATCTTTTCATTTTCAAATGATTTAAAAGAATGAAAATAAAATCAGTTTGCATTTTTGAAATGAACTTTAAGCAAGGAAAAAAAGAGAGGAAATGAAAACAAAATTAATTTTGCAAAGGTGAAAAGTTTTTAGTTCATAATTATCAAGCATTTACAATGCAATCACTGCTAGCTTCAAGCATACTGTTATCTAAATGAATAAGTGATAAGGATGAAATATTTGTCGTAATGTCATTCCATTATATATCATTCATCGTCGCATTCAAAAATTTGATAAAATAAAAGCGATTGGTTCTATTTGCCAAAGGTATGAATTTGCAAACAAATTTATTTTTAGATATTAGAAAGGAATATAATCATTTTGACATTATTAATGCATAATAAAAAAGCAATACGAAATTTCAATGCATTTAAAATAGTTGTAAATGAAAATTGAAAAAATGTTAATTTTCTGTTAATATTATCAAATACGTCAAAGATGCTGAATAAAAATGCGTGAAAATTAATTATCATAATGATAATGGAGCAAATTTGAATTTTCAAACTTCTTGCAATACTAAATATAATGTACATTATTAGCAAACCTTCGGTAATGAAATATTATGCATTTATCCGTCTTTTTTGTAAACTGAATCCGATTAAGAGATTCATATTGCTAACCGCCTTTCCTTTTGCTTAGGTTATCTGCTATAAGAAATAATTCTGGATCGATTAGCAACAACATTTATCATCATTCACCTTAATTTACATTAATAAATCCTACTTGCCTGAATCACAACTTTTATCTATTTCTTAAAATTAATGATATCGCAACTTATTTCATTGCTTACAGTATCTATTTGATTTAATAATTAAATTACAATAAAATGATTTTAAAAATAAATATTTAACATAGAAATTTTGCTCCAAATGAAATTGAAATAACTTTTATTTTAAAAAATTGAAAAAATAAAAAAATTTAATTTTTAAACTGAAAACTTTGTGTGATCGATAAGTAAAAGAATTCATTCGGATGTGAAAAATAAAATGAATTCAAAATATGAATAAATTTATGTTATGTGTAATTATGGAAATTTATATGACAATTAATTAAAAGCAAATAGGTTTTATGTTAGCCTTCCTCGTAAATAATTACTTAATAAGTAAAAAATGCAATAGCTTTAGGTGTATCATCGGCATTGAAATATGATGTAGGTCGAAGTTATGTGTTCGATGTAAATTCTCGAACAATTCTAAAAATCGGCGAAGGACGTGATACAGATGTGATACAAAATGCACAAGCGCACATATCAATTCATTCGTCATGTGAATTTTCGCTTAAAGTAATTCTTAATATATTATTTAATTATTAATATGATTATCAATTTTAATTACATCGAGAGCTCAAACAATGCTAAACTTTTGTATATCTAACCCATTACTAATTCATTTTGTTTTCAATTTTTTATCATTGAAAAAGGTTTCATACTTAAATTAATTTAATCATACAAAAAATTTAACTTAACACTCTTACCATCCTAAGCGTTGAAACAATTTATGATATTTATTCATATCTTATTGCCTTATACATGTTTTGTTAAATAATATAATTATATAACTTTTACACTCACTTACGTTACATATGGCGTATATGACGTAAATAAATGTAGAAATAATTATATTGCCAATGTTTTAAAAAAAAAAAACATATTAATTTTGGATTTCCAAATGTGGTTTATGCTATTTTTTATTTATTAAAATATACAAATTAAAAATTAAAATGACAATAGCTTCATATACTATACTTTTTTTTTGAATATTTAATTATTTGAAAGTTTTAAATATACGTTAATATAGTTAACGCAAACATCGCTAAAAGGAATGGATGTTGGAAGTGATTGGAGTTCAATCCTTGAAAGATCATCACTTCGATTTGCATTTGATAATGGAGAAGTGAAAGCAATTTGTCCACATGATACTGATCCAGTTTGGGCTGTAAACATCAAACGTGCTATTCTATCTTCATTTCAAACTATATTTGGTTACTTTCAATTTACTTCATTTCTTTTTTGTTTCCTATTTATTTTCATTTTCATCGTACATTTCAAATTTCACAATTGCTTTTTTTTAAATTAAAAAAAAATTTTAAATTGCTATGAGAACATCTACTGAATATATCTTTGCACCATAAATGGGCCTTTTTCAACATCATCGGGCCATGCATTTTTATTAAATTTGAAATTTTATAGTTATAAAAACTAATCAGCATTAGTTTAATTAAGAAGGAACAAGAGAAACGGATATATCTGGTGATTGTCCGGTGAGTATTGAAAGGCAAGAAACAAATGAAATATTAAATTTGAAGACAATAAAACAGTTGAATGAATGCTATCGTGAGCATGATATTGCTGGAGTTCGAACTATTCCATACAGAATGAAGTCGGTTAGTTTTACAGCTATTAATATTTGGGAATAGCAGATGGATGGTAGACGAAATAAGTAATATCTCAAGCAGAATACTAAAATGGTTATGTGTGATTATGGAATTTAATTTTTTTGTGATCAATATAATTATTTCGATAAAAATAGGAAGTTGAAAATGATAAAAAGAGTTATTCATATTAGTTTAAAAAAATTAACAAAATATAATAATCATGATTTTTTCCTTTTTTTCTTCTTTCATTTAAACTTTTAGAAAATACAAGTATCATCAATGATGGAAGCGAAACAAACATGTGAACGTCAAATTGCTCATCACAATCTTCAGCAGGTAAATTGCATTAATTAGCAATAAACGAAAAACTAGTAATACAATGCTTCATATATCTCCGATTATATTTTTGCCAAGTATAAAATGATAAGGAAGTGATAGTTTAATTTACTGATGATATTTGATTACGCTTTTAGAAAGTGGTATTACAATGAAGAATATTCAGATTAAATTAACAAGCCTTGACAAAAATACTGCAAAAAGAAATCGAAAGCTATTTGCAATATTTTCTGAAATTTTATTAATCTAAATTTTATTTAAGTGACCTCAATGTTATTATTATTTTATTATTTTGTATTGAAATGATCTAGATTTTATATTTACCATTATCCTTTCTATCATCTCTTATTTAGTATCCATTAAAACAATTTTGTCGATTTACATCTTCAACACTGTATGACAAATACATCAATATAATTGATAAAATCAGTTAATTAAAATATAACGGAATGCTTCTTCCAATGTTGATAATAATTCTGTAAATTAAATTACGAAAATTTACAGGTAACTTGTACCGAAGATTATCATGTTATTTCACCATTTGATGAAGGTAATCGTGGAGCATTGCATGTTGAACAAACATTAAGAGCTGTTGGAATTGCAAATGCCCTATCACAAGAATTATTCAAAGAAAGGACATCTATTATTTTTGATCATACCGATGATAATTTTGATATAAAAAATTCACCTCAACATGCTAAGCAAATCATCGATGAATTATGTCGATCAGATGATCGTGTTAATTCGGATGTAAGTATATACGCTATCCAGAAAATAGTTTTTTGTTTTTTGCAACATATAATATCTTCTAGTATTATTTAATTTTTTTTGCTATAAAGAGTATAACATATTTTTGTCAGGCAGCATATTATTTTGCTGATTTGATTTCTAATCTTCGAGGATTATCAGTGGAGGAAATATCATCAATTGCTAATTTACAATGTGATGCTTTTACTGATGCATTAGCAGCATGTGCTTCACATGCATGTCTTCAACAACTTGCCAATTTAATCAATTCAGGAGTAGCTTCAGAATCTGTTTATTTTTCGCTTGCTTTATTATCAAAACCAAAAAAAGGCATTATGGATTCTGTTGCAGCATTTATCGAAAAAGTTCCGCTTCATGGTAAAAACAATAATCATTGTAAACTGATATTCATTATTAACTATTTTTTCTTAAGCATTTCAATACATTTTAATGAATCTTAAAATTACAGTTTAAATCTATATATGAATAAAATTAATTCGAATTTAAAAGGGTGAAAAATTAAAATTATAATTTTGATTATTTTTTCTAGGTTTATTGGCTATTTCATCATTAGTACAATCCTACTGTATTGCTCATCCGATGTGTGCAGCGGAATCAACTGTACAACATATTATACACAGTATTTCATCTAAATTACCACCCGGTTGTAATGTCGGACAACAATTTGAGGAAATCAAAGTAAATAATACAAATGATACTATACATGATAATAATAAAAAAACATAATTATTTTCAATAAAAAAATACAACTATTTTTAGAAAGCGGTGATAGTTTTGAAATCAATCGGAAATATTGGTTATGAAGAGCATTCCTTATCCACTATATTAGGTTGTATTATAAGCGATCGAATTTCAAATGAAATAAAAGTTGCTGCAATCAATGCTTTGCGTAGAAAACCATGTAATCATCAACGAAACAACAAAATCATTGAACTATTCCGCGATCAAAAGGTTTTATTGAAATTATTCAATTTTTTGTTGTATGTTTGATTGTTTCATATATCATTTCTTTTTCATAAAATAGCAAGAATTAGTTAGAAAATGAAAATTTGAATTTCATTCAACAAATAATTTAGATTTTATTTAATTCATCCATTAATTACGTTATCAGTTTTTTATTCATATTGTGAATGAAAGATTGAAGGAAAAAAAGGAATCATCGGTATTTCGGTATTTTTGATATCAAGTGCAAGCGATCATTCTTGAAATAAAATTATTACTAATTAATAAATAGGAATCACTTTTTCTATTTCCAATTTATATTCTACTATGCTACTACTTAATAAAAACTTTAAAATTGATATTTTTCCCATATATGATAATAATTATTATAATTTTATAAGAAATAAATATTCGACTATTTCCAGGCAAATACCGAAGTACGAATAATATCATTTCGACAATTAATGGAATGTGCAAATGATGAAATATTGGAAATTATTATTGAACAATTAAACAATGAAACTATGAATCAGGGTTTAAATAAATTTGAAACTTTTTCTTAGACAATAAATAAAGTTATGAGAATTTTTCATTTCATAATTATACATAATACATATATAATACAATTATCAGAATATTGACAATCCATTATTGATTAATTAAGCTGTACATGTTTAAAATAAGTATAATATCCTGTAAATCATCTATTATCTTTTCAATTAATGTTTTATTACAATATCTTAACATATCGTATTAAAAGTAATAATTATAAATTATAAATAATAAAGTTTATATAAATGCATTTTGCAGTTGGATCGTATGTTTGGTCATATTTGAATGCTAAAAAACGATCAACAAATCCAGGTTTACGTAGTTTGCAACATATCTTGAAGAGATTTCATATCCCACAACGCTATAATTTGGATTTAATTCGCTTCTCACGTTATCATGAATTAGGATATTTTGATAGAGAAGTAATATTTTTTATTTAAATTTAGTCGTATTTTTTTGTTGTTTTTATTTTTTATAAAATTTTGATGAATTTTTGAGACAATAATTTTGATGCAATAATTGAATGTTTTTTTTGTCAAAATTATCAGAATTATCCTGACATGCAATTTTTTGCAATCATATGCAGAACATAGTTGGAATTTCAATTTCTTGAAGAAAACTATTTGTGTTGATTTTTATTGATTGGGTTATCAGTGAAATTAAATTTTATTAAAAGTGAGAAATTTTGATTTTACATTAAAAAGAATTACCAGAAAGTATGGGATCATATGAAAACAATCAATACTAAATTGAAGATAACATAATTTGCAATGTATTCTTAAATAATAACATCGAAAAAAATTTTTCATTTAATAGCTAATTTAATCAGTTTTATTTTGTTTCAATTATACAAAATATTTTAGAATAACTATGGTGGCCACATGGATACATCTGTATTACTCGTACCAAAAGGTTACATACCACGTGAAATAGCATTCAATTTCACTGTTCATCTTTTCGGGAAAAGGTAATGGAACTTTACATCTCGCCTAATAGAAAACTTTCATCAAAAGTTGATAACAAATTTTATCTAAGTAAGGTAAAAATTCATTTAATCAATTAGTCATCGAGAAAATTCTATGCATATTTAGCCGAAGGAAAAGGTGCGATTCTAAATCAGTTGAGATAGATGACACATATGATATGATAATGCTTCATGTTTGATCACATGCTCAATAAAATCATTGCTATCATTTTGGAAATTTTTTTGGCAGTTTGATTTGTCTTCTTTTTTTACTAGAAATTTATTAGAAACTTTATGTTTTTCAATTTCTTATAAGTTTTAATGATACTATTTTTGCAGTGTCAACATTTTGGAAATTGGTGCGCGAACTGAAGGTTTAGAGAAAGCGGAAGAGGAATTATTCGGTCCTGATGGTTACATTAGCAATCCTAATGGATATGTTTTTCGAGAGAAAAGATTTCAATCACGATATCCCAAATTAAATCATTTGCAGGAATTACATAGAAGGAGAAAAAATGATATTGAAGATTCAATAAGAATGACTTTTTATATTAGGGTAATTTATTTACGATGGTTATCGTAGGTTCACTGAGGATATTGTGTTATTATTTATTATATTATTATGGGTTTGTTGAGGATACTGTATTTTGCCATATATCATTAACGTGCAAGCAGGTTAATTATTTAATACTTTCGTATATTTAGATGTTTGGAGATGATTTGTATTATTATGGCTTTCAAAAAGATCAACATCAATTGCTGGATGTAGTGAAAGAAAGTATTGAATTTAATAAAGTGCTGGAAAAACTGATAGAGGAGAAGACAAGAAAAGTGAGTGTTCATTTATTCAAATTGAATAAATGAGGATTCTAAATTTTTTAAAAATGGAATCAGCAAACGATTTAGATCAAATGGTTCAGATTAAGGTTAAATAGATTATACAAAAAATCCGACAAATTTCTTGTACATATATCCATAATAAGAATAAACACTTTTAATTTTTGTTAATGAGTGAATTTTGTAATTGCTTTATTCTTAATCACTATTTATTTTATGTTAATTTTAATCATAAGTAAATTCTCCTAAATTATCCAATTACTTTAAAATGTTCGAAATTATTCAATAAATTTTATTTGTACATGCATAATTAATTTTAGCTTTCACGTTATATGCTTCTATTTGAATTATCGCAAACATTACCCACACTATCCGGATTATCACTTCAACTTTTAACAAATGTATCACTTGCTACTAAAATAGATGGTAAACTGAAATTGAATCTCGCGCATTTGTTGCTACGAAAAGCTGATGCGAATGGCCTTGTAAGTGTTATATTTATAATTTATATTAAATGAAATTTGAATTTTTTGAGCTTTTTATTTCAATTAAATCATGTTATTTTGATTAAAGATTGCTCTACTATCACATCCATTATTTTTTTAATTATTGCATCTATAAAATTTATATTTTCAGCTTGATTTACGTCCGTCAATATCAATTGCAAGTGGAGGCGCAATACTTTTACGTACAGGTCATGTAGTATCTGGCGCTATGATAACGTCAAGCTTACATGTTGCAACAAGTATCGTACAGAGTCTAGAAATGAATGAAGGAAGGAGATTATTCGTGAAAATTGATGTTCCGCATAAGGATCTTCTGATTGCGAAGATACAGTAAATGTTTTACTGATCAAAATTATTACTATGATTTTCAAAAAGTTGCAATTTTTTCGGTATTGTTATGATAATCTTATTTTATCCTGGTATATTAAATATGGAACTTATGAGGAAGCCTTGCTTGTTGTCGTAAAATATTGTAATATAAAATCAGAATAGCGGAAAAATTATGCATAAATGTATATAGTATTAACGCCCATTATTTTTTCAGTAATGATATCACAAAAATTGAAAGTAATCGTCATCAGTCATTCATTGCTGAACGTCACATTCGTGAAGCTATGAAAAGGCACTACTGCTCCGGTGATACACTGGCAAAAATTCTCGGGATTCAAGCGTGTTTCGATGTAATGGAAACAATTTTATATTTAGAATATATCATTGCTGAAAAAGCTTTGTTTAATTTTTAGGAATTAAATTTTTGAATTTTTCCAGCTTCATGGCAATTTCCCGATAATGAAAGGAAATATTAAAATAGAAAAAGTGGATCAAGGATTAAGCAGCTATCAATTTCTTATTGAAAGAACGAATGGCGTAAGTTTTTTCATTTTAAATAACAAGGTGAACTTTAATATGAAATTTCTCATTGTTGATTTATTAAATCCCGATTTCGGTTCAGAATCTGAAAAATTTTCAAAATCGCGATTTCTATCGGAGTTATAAAATTTTTAATTTGTTTGTTTTGTTTTTCATATAGTACATAAGTTTATAATTTCAGAGAGGTGAACAGAAATTATTAATAAGTATAGATACACCAGGATCGACAATAAATCGAAAAATCGAAACTGATTTTGAAATTTCAATTCCTCGCAAAAAGTTTAAACTTGGCATTACCGCTCCATTTAAAACAATAGTGTTGGATGGTAATTTACAACAAATGGAACAATTACAAAATTATGCGACCAATCTTCAACTTATCATGGATGATAAAACTTACATGCTTGATGGAATACTGAAGGTGAGAAAAATTTCTTTGTTTTTATATTTATTTGTTTGTTGGTTTTTTTATCAATAAAACTATTAATATATATAATATGATAAAATTGAACTAATTAAATTTCTAATATAGTTAATTCTAAACAAATTCTTTTTTTCAAGGCAACTAAAATAGAAGAGCGAAATTTATATAAATTAAATGCAAAAAATGTTGCTAAAAGTGTCACTACAGCGGAAATTGTAGCAGAATTACAATATAGCATTGTAAAACCTTATGCAATGGTTAATTTTCATTTGGAAAAAATCTTCAACAAGCCATTTATATTCAAAAGTAAGTATTATACTTACTGAATTGTATACAATATATTTGTAATAAAATGTATTATATAAGTGTATTCTTGAAAAAGAAAGAATTTCGAGATTTTTAATCTTATAAATCTCTAGAGAATTTTAGCCGAATTAATCAATTTAAAAGTTATCAATGATTAATATGTAATTTGTTTTGTTTACGCAATGCTATAATTATTTTGTTTTTGCATGAAATTTCTTAACATAAATTCCATCATGTTGAATTATGTTGTATTGTTGTAAAAATGTTATCCAATAACAAATTTTAATATGTCGTAATTCTGATCCTAAAAAGTATGATAAATTTGAGACGGAATAATATCTAATAATTTATTTTTTAGTATTGATAAATCCAGAAGCTCCAAAGTATGAAGGTAAATTGGAATATTCGGGACCCAATTTCAACGGGAAATTAGATACTTCAATTATCCATCAAGGAATGATCGATTTGAAAGGTACTTTAAGTGGTGAATATCAAATTGATAATCAATCGAAGCGAACACTTGAAATTGGATTTGAACAAGCATTTCAAGTAAGTTTTAAAAAATACTTTGTTTTAATCATTCTTGCAAGTGGAAAGAGCATTCTTATCTCGTTGAAAAAGACTTTTTTCTCGGATTTCTGGATTTATATTATTTCTGAATTCATATTATTAATTCATTAATTGTTAACTTTTTCAGAAAAGAGGAACTAATCATCATTTCAAGCATGCCATTCATGCTGATAGTACTGCTTTTAACAAAATCGATTTCCAAATACTTTCTGATCGTACTGGAAATGATATGAAAAATTTATTAGAAGCAACTTATTTTGGAAAAAAATTGATGGCAAATTTGGATGTAACACGTGGACCTAATAATATTTATGATGCTATTGGAATTGTAATTGTTTTATTTACTTTATTTAATTTTTTGTAAAACACGAACAGACTAATAATTATTTCGTCTTCTGCTAATTTATACTGCAAAATGCATGAAAGATAGAAGTTCGTTTTTCAGATACATAGCTATACATTAATGAAATTTGAAATATGAACTTTACATTAAAAAAATAAATTTAGATAAAATGTGATCAATTTGGTATCGATACTAAAGCAAATGTTATCTATCAAAATCGTTTTCCACTACAATTCATGTTAAATATTGATATTGAAATGCCAAAAATATCAAATATTCATGCTTCAGCAGAATATACCGTGAAGGTTTTTCACCTTTTTTTGGATTTATTATTACTTGATAAATAATTATGAAAAAATGAAGAAACGGAAAATTTTTCTCTCACTTTCTTTTAGATAGATCCAAAATGGAATTTTAAAGGAAATATTCTACTTCGTTACCCTGGTCATGAAATAGCTTTGAAAAAACAAATTGATGAAGTAAGCGGTGGACAATATAAAATGGAAACAAATTTACAATGGGATCCAAATGGTAAAATAGATGCAATATCAGATGTTGTATTTCGTCCACGCGTAAGTTATTCATTGAAAAGTTATCATAATTATAATTTTATAAATAAAACCACTTTATCATTTGTATAATCATATAAATTATAGTTCTACTTTAGCAAGCTTTTAATTTGAATTTTCAAATTAACTAATATTTATTAGTTGGTTGTGAAACCTAAAATAAAAAAAATTAAATGCTGAATGGCAAAAGATTGTATTGTTATAGGAAAACGAATATACGATTGAATCGACGGCTAATATTGCTGGCGTTAATGAACCCATAATTTTCAGAAAGCATATCAAATATCATTTTGATAATTATAAGTAAGAGTAATGATATTGTTTTTATTCATTTTTTTCACAATTTTTTTGATGATATTTTCAATAGCAAATTTGTTATCAAATATTTTAAATTCAATTTCATTTTATAGCATACAATTGCAAGCAAAACAAGGAGGCCAAACGATATATGATTTAAATGCTATTCTTGTTGGACAATTTGGTGATCAACAACGGCTTAATTTCAATATTAATTCCGAGAAATTTGAACCACGAATTAACTATCATATGGTAAATGATGAAACGAAAAGGAAAGATGAAAAATTATTTATTGAATTGGTTATTAAAAAATTAGTTATGAAAATTTAGTAAAACAATTTTTTTTCTTATTTTTTCAGACAGCTGAATTCCAACCATCTGTTAATAGCATAACAGCGCTTGCTACGATACGTAAAGATGGACAACATTTAGGTACAGGTAATATTATAATGCCGAGAAAATTCAATCTTCCTGATCAACAATATCGAGGAGAATTCAGTTGGATTTATCAAAATGTATGCTTAACTATTATTTCATTGTTGATAATGATAAAAATTATTAATGAATCAATCAGGAGATTTTCACGTAATATGATGACAACTGATGTGATTGTTACTATTAGAAGAATCACTTATCGATAAAAATTATGCTAATAAATTTGTTTTTTAATTATTTAATGGTTAATTGGATTAAAATGATGAAGATTTCTTGAACAATAAACTATTAGATAAGATAATTTTCATTCGTATATGATCGTGTACTAGAAATTTGACTGGACTGTAATGACAATAAATCAATTTTTATTTCTAGAAATCACGGAAAGTAGCGATCGATTACAAGCACACATATGGTTCATTTCATGCGGTAAAAGTAGAATCGGATGATAAATTTAGCCTGAACATGCAATTCGATCATCAAAATGATAAAATGATTCTTAAATGGTTGGCATTAATTTTTGAAATGCTTAATTTATTTTATAATAAATGTAATATTTTAGGATGATAAGTACTGTATCTCTAATCTTTAAATTTTTAAAATATTCCCTTTGTGTTTTTTTATTTTATTCTGGCCAGTTTCATTTTAATCGATGTTGATATTATTGCCAAAAAGATGAAGGATGAAGAAATGACATCTTCAAAGATTTATAGCAATTACAAACCTTTTCTGAAGAAAATATTCTCAAACTATTTTACACCATCAACACTCATTGAGGAAGAAAGTTTAAATTTATTGCCACTTGCAATAATGTTTCAGTGATTTGGATAAAGATCATATTCGAACTATTTCAATGGTACTTAGTACAACTCCTTTCCGTTGGGACTTTTTTGAAATTATTGGTAATTTAAATACTGATGCACCTCTGCAACGAAGATCAATAAGAATGAAAACAGCCTTTCTTTATAGGATAGATCAGGTGATAAATTTAGTACAGATGAAATTAAAATATTAGTAAATTTAAAAATCCGTAGATCTTTATGTGTGAAACGAGTTTCCGAATTCTGTATAACTTATTGCTTTTTATTATATTAATATATGTTGGTATTACTGTATGATAAATGGATTTTTCAAAAACTGAACCATACTATTATAGTGGCAATTTTACTCTCCGGTGTGTCCTGTTTTGCTTTTCAGGCAAATGTCGAAGGATTATTTGAAATAAATGGTAAACGTTATGCCACTGAAGGTCATTGGCGCAAAGCATTGCATGATATTGACAAACATTATATTTATGCTGGAAGATTCGAAATACCTCAAGTTATTCTTACATTTTTAATCTTTTGTTCAATATGAATAAATTTTTCCTGATTATTAAACGATATATCAGGAAAAGTATTTAGTGATAATAGCTGAATTACTCTTCCTGGCCTATTTTAATGATATATCATTGATACATTCGGTATTTTTAATTGCATTATTTGGCTTTCCCATGATTCATCTAGTATTTCTCATTGCATTATTTACTTCAACTTTATGGAATTGTTTGTGACAAATATCTTTTTTAACTTTCTTTCAGGGTCAAATAAGCTTAGAACAACAGTTAGAAGTGAGAAATATTATTACAATACGAAAAGCAAAAACAATTTTTGAGCTTATCGGTGCTGAAAAAATGTTTAATCTAACGAATGAATTTGGATGCAATGATGCATCGTTCAGCACTGCCACCAATCTTATTGTAAATTTTTCAAATTTTAAAATTATCAATTAAACTTTTACTGGGGAATGATTATAATAAGAAAACTAATAAATAGGATACTATTAATACGGTTTTAGGATAGTTGTTATCAATGGAGTTATATAAAGATAAGCTTAGTGGAAAAGTTAAACGTGAAAGTTACAAATAACATTACTAATAAATACATAAATTACAGATAATTACTAATAATATAAATATATAAGTAAAAAAAGTTAGCAAAGAGATTGTCTGATTTTTGTTATCTTTTTATTGGAAGTAATATTCTTGCTAAAAAATTTAATTTATTAGGGAAGTGGAATAGTATTGAAGCATACGATAGCATATAATTATAAAGATGGACAGAGGACATTGAAGAAGCATTTGAAGTATAATGAAAGAGAGATAAACATGGATGCAGTAACAATTTATCGTGATAGAGAAGTTAAAGTGGACATTACCGCTTCATCAACATTTGAAATGATTCAATATGGCAAGGTTGCAAATTTTGTCGTAAATTTTAAATAATGATCATAATTAATGTTATTTAATGATAGCCTATAACATAATGCATTTAAGGAATTATTTTTTGATCATTGCTTATTGATCATTTTCGGCCATTAATTACTATTATTATTTAATCGAGTAAACGAATTAAAATTAACAAAAATTTGAATATAAATGATATTGTTAGCAAAAAACTTTTATCAAATGATAAATAATACTGAATCTTATTCGATATATAATTAAATATTCAGGAATAATATGCATATATCTTATTAAACATTAAACTATTTCTAATTCTTTTTTTATATTTCAGGTTATGTTCGATTGTCGAAAAGGCAATATTTTTTGGAACTGTGATGCGGAAAGTAATATAAATAATCAATATGTGATTAAAGGGCATGAAAGCTTATCATTACAAAATACTGACATAGGTTATTTGGTAAAATTAGGAAATGTGATGAATAACGAAGGAAAAATTCAATTCAACATTGATAATGTAATTTTGATGCATATTTAACTTATTTAACTTTTTATATCTTTTTTAAAATTTATTTCACTATGCTTTATAAATGGCATAAAATTGGTTGTAATAACTATGCGAATATAATTAATTGTATATAAAGTGTAAGTTTATAAATTAAAGAAAGAAAAAAATGAATATATTTAGCAAGCTTCAAAATACAATGCTAATGCTATGTTGCGACGTGCTGAAAATGTATACAACTTAGAAATGGACATAAATGATAATAGAGGTGTTGTAAAATTGCAAACACCAACGCATGCGATCAACAATGCACAAGTAAGTTCTTTATAATTAAATTTTAAAAATTTTTAATGCTCTTTCTCTCTCTCTCTCTCATTTAAAGTTTTTCAATTTCTTAGTTCATCAGCATTATCAGTAAAAATATTCAAAATTCTGTTATTTAATAATTTTATCTAAAATTGGAATGTATAGTAATCATTATATTATTGATCTTCTAAAAAAGAAGCGAACCATCGTGATAGGGTTATTCTGATTTCCAGTTTTCAGTTTTCATGCCATATTTGAAATATTTTAGTAATATACTTCCTATAGTTCAATTTTTTTTGGTAATACTTGAAGTGAAATTGAAAATATGAAATTTCTAAATTTTTGAGATTACAAAATTTAGCAATGTATTTATGTACCCAGTTTTTTCTAGATTAGAATAACGAGGAAAGGACCTACTGAATTCGAAGTAAATACTGAAGGTGGAAATAACGGAAGAATATATGCTCATGTTAAAACTGGTGATTACGATAAATTGTTGAAGATACAGGTAGATATAGATCAATTATGTTAGCATTTATGTTAGAATACTATAATCAAATCTTATGGGAAATAATTATATTGAATAATAGTGGCATTCTTTGAAATTACAAACTTTTTAAGAGGCCATGCGATTTTGTTATAATTATTAACAGAAATTCAAATTACATTTTTTATTCGTTAGAAAAAAATTTTATTATTATCGTTATTAATAATCTATAGTTTTTTGTCTCAATAAATTTCCTATTCAGATAACAGAAATACCGGAATCGTTCCAGTTACATTTGGAAAATAGTTTAACTGGTGATAAGCAAAAGTTAATTGCTGAACTAAAGTTAGACCCTCTCGGACAAAAAAGAGTAAGTAAATTATAGAATGGTTTATTGCTAAAAGTTATGCATTGTATTTACTATAATGAAATGAATGATAATTCCAATTTTTTTTAGATCTATGGTGTAGAAAATGAAATCGAAGGTGAAGGTGAAAAATTCCGCGCTTTACGATTAACCCTGAAGCAACCGATAAGAGTGATAAATATTGACATACTTCGACCAGCTCAAAACAAATATGCTTTATCAATACAGTGCGTATTTATATATTTTTCAATACGGTACATTATTATTGAATAGAAATCTTAAATGTGATTTAATTTTAGGAAAATTTTTAAGTTTTTTAAGATCAAAAAAAAAGAATGATAAATGTTATTGAAGACCAAATGTTGGTGGAAGAAGACATCCAACCGTAGCTGAAATGACATATCAGAGGATGACTGATGGTTATCATTGGGAAGGAAGCATTTCGGATCAAGCATTGCAAACACCATTGACAGCAAAGATAGTATACAAGAAGGATGAGCAAGATAAATACAATTATCGATTGGATTTACAAACTGAAGTATGATAAATCTTACCGTTAATATGTTAAAACTTACAGAATGGTCAATACTTTAAATTGAAATGATAAGTTCAAGATCAGTTTGAACGAGCGACTAAAATAATACCCAATACTTCAATATTATTACCAATAATTAATTTATTACAGTTTGCGTACAGTAATGAACAGAGTAAATTATTTACCAATTCATTCCATTTACATCGAAGTATCATCAAGGAACGAATTATCAAAAGAGATAACGATAGAAGACAAGATGATAATGTACGATTTGTTATTGAATTTAAAAGTATACATTTGGCAAGGTAAGAAATTATTACATTTATTTCTATTGTTTTAGTAATTGAAAAAAAAAAAGAAAGTTAAAAAATTTTTTCCTCCTAATTTACTATAATTTCAAATAATTAAAATAATAAAAAACCAATAATTCGAATTAAAAAGACAAACAATCAAACATGTCGGAAACAAAAAGCTTAATCTATTCTGAAATTACTAATTTGTATTTTAGATTTTCAATGTTTTTCAACTATTAAAATAGTAATATAAAAGAAGTTCTAAAATATAAAAAGTTCAACAAAATACTTAATAATGAAAATAATTCACTTTTAAATGATAATTTGGAAAATGTCTTTTTGAATTTATCCAAAACGAATTCATCCATTTATTATAAATTGATTTAATTATCAAATTTTGCATAAAGAGATGTTTTTGTTTATAAGTAAAACATGCATCAATAAGGTTTATAATTAAATGATGAAAATTAATTGCTACTAATTAGAATGTATTTACTTCATTTATTTCTAATTTGGTTCATTCCTTTTCTACTTGTTCTCCTTGCTGCATCGTCAATGTGTCCTTTTTTTTACTCCAAGATAATACTTTACCCTAAATTTAATCATTTCCCGAAATTCACATAATCGTTGAACGCAATTTCAAGTTTACAAATTATTATTTTAATATTTACTGAATTAAATTTACTTTTAGAAAAGAAAATAAGAATTGAATTTTTGTTACAACTTATAAAATAATTAGCGAATTTTTTTTTATTAGCAATCTCAATACTCGATTATGGACTAAAATTGATCGGCGAAAAGTTGGAAAAGCTGTAATTCCTGTTCATACAACTTTCGGTTTGGAAACTAAAAATATGCAACATCAACCAGTGGAATATTCCTTAGAGACAAAAACAGATGCAATCAAATTTACGGAATTTCAATTGAAATCACCAAATTCAGTGTTAAAAGCAAAAATTGACAAAATAAACGATAAACATTATAAACTTGAATTTTATGAGGTGATTTTTCTTCTCCAATATGTCATCTATATTACAACATTTGATATAGCTTTCGAAATTACAAATGTAAGCACACTTTTACAACTGCTTAAGTAGCTAGGTAAGTTATAGGTATCAATGAATCATTTATAAGTTAAGCAGAATTTTACAATTACTCTCTTATTCCCTCAAGGCTTTTTTAAACATTCTTTGTTATCTCTCCTTCTTTCTTTTACGTTAAGCTTTGAAACTATTTAACTACTATCATTTTCTATAAGATATTCATATTTGTGTTTGTCAACTTTCGTACTAATTAATTAATGAATTATTAATCGTATCGAATTAGCTAAAAGAGAGCATACTTTCTTAAAAACTTTCAGAACAGTCAACGACCATTTGTTGTTGGTGAATTAAATTTGCACGATAATGGAGCAATATTTGAATATCGTAATGAAAAATCACAGGAAATTAAATTACATGCATCAGCTCTGAAGCTTAATGATTATGAAGGAAAAATTGATGTATGGCATAGTGAAGCAAGCAAGAAAATACAAGATGCTCGCTTATTATTACAAGTAAAAACTTTTAAGTAACAATTTCATTTCATCTTAAACACGTCATACACGTAACACACGTGATATAGGTGAAACAATTAGAAGTAATATTTTTGCTACTGATTATGTACAATTGAAAGTGTAATAAGTTTTATCAAAGTTATGAGATATTTTCTGAATATATGTTTAAGAATTTAAACTCTTCACATAGCACTGAAAAATTTTAAGTTTTGGATTAAAATTTTAGAAAAAAAATTTTTTTTAGATTTATATTACTTTAAAATTTATAGATGAAAGAAGGTAATGTATGGAAAAGCAAAATTTATCTTCGACCAACAATGGAAAATGAAATAATGGTAAGCTGTCATGTATTTTCATTAGTTTTACATTCTTTATAAAATTGTTAAGTGTAAATTTATTTATTGTTATCATTAATATTTGAGGATATCTTATTTTTGCAGAAGAAAACTAAAGAAACAGTATCGAAAAGTAACGAATTTCACCAATGCCTATTTGTAAGGGATGCTTTACTACCACTATTTTCCTCACATAACCAAATTGCTAACGATGTTGTAAAAACGCTGGATGGAGCAATTAAAGAATGGACTGTAGAGCTAAGGTGAATAATTGTTTTATTTTCAATGAATTAAAATTGTTACGATAAAGAATAAATAAGTTTACCATTATTGTCAATGCCAGGGTTAAAAGTTTAAATGTATTACAGTAATGAATGAGGGTAATGTAAAGTTCTTATTGTAATCATAGATAGAATGAAGAAATAATGCCATTATTTAGATATAGTATAAATTCGAATAAACAATTATAATCATTAGTTTATAAAATTGCTTTCTTATTTTATGACTTAATTCATTTGCTTATTTAAATTCCTAACCTACAAAACAAGTCGTGGAAAAAAAAGGAAATAAAATTTTATGAAACGTAGAAATTTATTCATTTTCGAATATAATATGAATAAAGTTTTTGAAATAATTTCACTACTGAGATATGGAATATGGATGGAATTGGGAAATTTCAGAAATTTCACTACTGAACTTGATGCTGAATATGCTGATTTAGTGAATGAAATTGAAAGCAATTATGAAATAATTAAAGAGGCGATCCTTGTTGCATACGATCAAACTTATCAGGTCTCATCAAACTTTTGTAAAATGTTTTATAATTTAAAGGATGATGAAACATTTGTATTAAGATAACTTTAAAAAAACTCTTTCGCTTTATAATCATTATTTTTAAATTGTTAATAAGAAATTTCAAATTGTATGAAAATTGTCAGGAAATGGAAGAATTTGTTAAAATTACTTCAAGTGGTGATTTTATTCATCGGTTACAACAATTAATAGATGATAAAAATGATATACAGCGAGAAATTATGGATGCTTTAAGACCGATCATGGATCTAATTAATCAATTGTACAATGAGGTCTCTAATTTATTTCACATTTCGAAATGTTTTTAATGAAAAAAATTCTTATCGCTTAATTAGAATAGACGATTACATAAATTCAAGACTAAAAAGCTCATTTATTAATATTCGACTATGTAGTACCATTTGAAGTATAAAAGCTTATGAGAAGATTGAATTTTAGTTTCCTTAACAATCGTAACATTTTTAAGCATTTTGTAATATTTCTTGCTATCACCAATTAATCATATTTGCAAACTTACAGTTTTTGATTGATAATTTGAGGTGGATGATCTACAACAAAATACTGCTGTAATTATTGATCGACTGGAAGATATTCTGAAGCTAAAGGATCTACGGAGTAATAATATTTTTGTATTTTCATTCGCTTTTTTGATATGTTTAAATTAAAACTCTACTAATTAATTAACAATTACTATTTGATGCACTATCAAATAATGTAAGATGTCGTAATGTAATCGCAATTTTTTAATTTTTTCATTTATTCAACTTGATTTTATTTTAACAAAAATTTATTCATACAGGAGCATTGGAAGAATATAAGGAGAATTTTGAACGAACCGATATCATACAAACTATACTTTATGAAATTCGAAAATTAAGTTATCAATATCAATTACCAGAATTAGAAAGAACAATAGTTGATATTGAAGTGAATCGTGGGCGTTATGAAGGAGAAGCACTTAAAATTTATAAGAAAGTTCGTTAATTACTACCATTCATTTATTTTTTATTTATCAATTTTTTTTCTTTTTCTTTAGAACTATTGCAATATTTATATCGCACTGATAGCAATGATCAATTTCATATGTTACCGCACCGTATTCGTTTCATAATTAAAAAAATTTTTTAATTATTCATTAAGTAAAATCACACATTCATATAAGACTTTGATATTTTATCGAAAATTTATCAAAAACATTTATTAATTTAATTTTTAATTAATATTCTAAATTTTTTTTCCACGTATAATTGATCCTAAAATTCACTTTTAAATATATTTCATCCAATTTAATTTATTCTTTGTATAATATTCGGAATATTAAAAGCATACATATAAGATTTTGATGTTTATTTTTGTTGAAAATTATCAAATGAAACTATCAGAATGCAAATATTAAAAAAAAGTAAGTTTTTAGATCAAAGATTTCTTACTCGACAAGATTACTGTATCAATTCTTAGCAAAGTGACAAATGCCATTTTTGAATCCTTGGATGATATTCAAATTCGGCAAAAATGGCAAGAAATTATTGATTATTTTAGAGGAAAAATAACAGCTAATGAAATTGTCAAACAATTTTGGAGACAGTATATACCGACATATAAGGTATGTTATTTTTGTTTTAATTTCATAATGAAAAAAATTGATGTAGTTTTGGAAATATAAATCATACTGGATAAGTTTTGACCAGCTTAATTCGATAACATTGTATTAAATTTTACTTTTACATATAAACTTTATATTATGATTTTAGCGTTTGTCACCTGGAGAGTATGAATTGCAAGTAACTGTTCCATATGGTGCCTCATCATTGGGAGAAATTTTAAGCATTCTTCATCCGCAATATTTCATTGCTCTCAAATCAGCAATGATCGAATCTCTTGGATTATCACTTAAAGATCAGGTTCGATTCTATTACCAAATTACAACTTTTCCTTTTTTATCATTTAATATTTTCAGGAATTTATGCAATCTTTATCAGATACAATTTATACATACAAATCAACAAAATTAAATCCATGGAAAATGATGTCACTACATGAAAGTATGTTAATTATCAATTTCATTGTAAAGAAAAGTTTGTTCAAAACTAATTTGAATTAATTAATGTTAAGGATGAGCATTGTAATAGTATAAAAGTGAAAAAAAAAAGATAAAATTTTTTAATTTTGAAATTTAGGTATTGCTTATATAATTGACGGTGATCGTTTCATATCGTTTGATGGGAGAGTATTCGCATTTCATGCTCGTTGCGAATATCTTCTTGCGTCTGATTTACATACTCAACGTTTTGCACTCATAGCTATATTTTCATCACAAGGACGTTTGGATAGTATTAAAATTGAATTGCGTGGAGAAGAAGTGACTTTGTTCAAAACCGGCAGTGTTATTTATTTTTGATTATTTATTCATTAATTTGAATAATTTTTTCATCGACACATAAATTAATGATTAGCGGTTGAACAAAATTAACCTTGTGACCTTTTTCGATAGGTTGAAATTCAATATAAAGTTGTACAAAAAGCAGAAATTACGCCGAAATATTTGATCAGTATTTTAGACATACTTCTCGTTTATTTGAAACTTTAAATTTTCAAATTTCTTGTTTTAAATTAAAAATATAATTAAATAAATAAACTTATCTGCTTCTAAAATTTTAATTATATGATCTAGAACTTTTATTTAAGAAGATTTAATAGGCTTACTTCAGGTACATATAAATGGTGCTCCAATATCAATGCCATGGCAGAAGATAGACAGTATTGACGGAGCAGTTTTAATCTCAGTTTATCGGAAAGATCATTGGACGACATTAAAAACATATGAAGGTTTATGTGTACGATGTAATAGCAAATATGATATTTGTGAAATTATTTTACCGGGACGAATGCATGGACGAAGTAATGGTCTTCTTGGATCAAATGATAATGAACCATCAAATGATTATGATTTAGTGGATAATACACCTAATGATCAGGTTAATAAAATTTAATTACGCTTAATTTCAAGTATTTTTATTACAGTAATATGCATAATATAGCTTTTTTTCAAAAAAAAAAACTGGCTATTTTAACTTTTATTAAAATCTAATTGAAAATTAAATGCTAGAACTTTTTATGGATGATTTAATGTTAAGCTTTCTGATAATCATTCAGCTAATTCTAATATTGTTTTTCTTGTTCGCGTAAAATTTCATGGAATCTATCCAAGCATAATTTCTAATAAGCATAACTCTTTTTTATCTCTCATAATAAGGAAATATCTCGGTCCAAATTTGGTGTGAGAAATACCAAAGGAAAAAGAAAGAAAAATAATAGTCAGATATTTATAGCTAAATGTATTGGCCGAGCATTGGGCAATAAATGGTGCATGTGGTGTAAATGAAGCTCGAGATTTAACGTATCGTGATGATGATCGTTGCCAAGAATATTTTCAAAGTTCCGATAGTCCATTACAACGTTGTTTTACTCAAGTATTTCTTTTTTTTTTAAATTTAAAAGTATTTTTTTCATATGAAATTTAAGCATTTAAGTAAATTGCCTGTAAATATTTTTCTTTTTTTTCCTAAATTAAGATACGCTCAAAACCATTTGAACAAATTTGTTCCAATGGTGGAAAACAACAGCATTGTACGGCTACTTCAGCATACCTTCAAATATGCTCATATGCAGGAATCATTACGGTATTACCTCATGAATGCGGTAAGAATCAAACTTTAACTTATTCTTATCTGTTTTTCAAACACTTTTATTTTGTGTCTATTTTTTCAAATAATTTAATTTGACTATTTTTCATACATAATCGAACTTCTTAATATTTTATTGTTCATACTTCAAGGTATTCGATCTTCTCATATTTTTACTTTTTCATCATCTTCAGCGTTTTCTTTTTGATTCTTATCAATTTTGATATAATTTCGTAACAATTTAATAATTTGATGTAATTTAAAATTTCTTCACATACACTGCTTGCTGCATTCATTTACATACCGCATAAAATTTGCATTTCAATTTCAATTTTTCATTCGTCTAAATTTAGTGAGAATTTTGAAGAATATTCAATTGTAGTGAAATGCGATGTAAATTCAATTTTTAATTAGAATTTAGATTTTTTAAAAAAAAAATATTTAATTGTAGTGAAATGTGATGGTGATTTGCATTTGGATGATGAAAGAAAGATTGAAAAATCTGTCATCGAGCACGATGTCGTATTTGTTGTTGAAGAAACAAAATGTATGGATTATCATAAAGATAAAATAGCAAAAATGGTACAAAAAATTGACCAAGAGCAACGGTATGTAACTTGTTTATATAATAATTTAATTTGTATTTCAATTCATCGATGATATACTGAGTAATGATAATTGTAAATAATTATTAAAATAAAATTATGCAAATTTGAATGTAAATTATTAGAAGTTTGAATTTTTTATCACTGTTGCTCAAGTTATTTCTACAGAAATATTAAATTTCAGTAATAAACAACATCCGTAATTATAATTTCATCAATACTTCGTGATTGGTTTTAAATTTAGCTGAAATGTCGAATTCATATAAAATAATCAATGAATTATTATCTTTTAGATCAGTACGTTTTGGTTGGGTAGGTTTTGGAGGTGAAGGAGTTCATCATGAGCCACTTGTACATTATGAACAGGATGAAGCATTGTTTGATGTTTCAAACTTTATCAAGCAAACACAACAAACTTTTGAACCGATATCTCGAATTGATACACCACATAGTTGCCCTAAAAAAGCAATTGAATTTACAGTGAAACATTTTCCATTTAGGTAAGCCTTTTTCAAATTTGAAAAATAAATGAGCTCATCAGAACAGTAATGATGTATTCACCGCTGCTCAAACGAAACAAATTGTAAATCGAATGATTCAAATCTTCATTAAAATTTTAATTTAGATTTGCTTCTGTTAAAAGTATTGTTTTGGTTATGTGCAGAAAATGTATGCCACGAGGACACACGAAAATGCTAGATATGTTACTTGAACAAGTAAATTTTATTTTATACACTCTCAATAGAATATGTAAAATATTTATATGACTTTTTAAATTTTCGAATTTCATAGCTTTCGAAATTTTAAATAATTATTTATAGCAGAATTAATAAAGTGAGAAAATTATTCAATTGATTCAAATAATTCATCCAAATAATCAATCATTATAGTTATTCTCACCATTGTATTGTAAGGGATGATATTAGGAGTGTTGTTTTTTAAATTATAAACCATGACAATTGTATGAATAAATTTATCTTTATCCATTTTAGGATATTACAATGCATCTGTTAACATTAAGCAAATTCAAGACAAGTGATGGAAGCAAAATTATTGGTAAATTAATAAGTTTTCTTTTAACTAACTTATTATTTATTTATAAATCATTTCAGGATAAATTGAATAAAAAAGAAATAAATCTAAAGTGAAAAATTAAATGTTTGACCATGGAAGAATAAGCAAAAATTAGCATAATATTGTTTTATTTCTCAATTTTATGGCATACCATTGAGAGAACATTATTATATTTAGCATTTTATATTCATATAATAAAGTTATTTCCAATAAATCATCTGTTATTCTATAAAGCTAAGATTTAAATTTAAATGAATTAAATTAAAATGTTATTTTTAATTTAGCTTATAAATTGATAAGTTTTTACGACTTTAGAATAAAAAATTTTCTACAATTTAATATTTATAATTTGCAAATAAATCGTTATTAAAGGGATGGATGCAAAACAATTATTAGATGAATATGGAGCACAAATTGGACAACGTACATCCTTATTACAACCACATGATAGCTGTTCCATTGTTGCTCAACAAACTTTTGGAACTGTTTTCTCTCTTGTAAGTATTATTATTATCACTATTATTATTATTATTAGATTACTATTATTATTAAATTATTATTATTATTATTATTATTAGACTAATAGTATATTGTTGAAAGTAAACATATTATTTCTATAATTGAAATGTTTGAGAAGTTTTAGAAGTGTCATTTCATAATTGAAAATTTCTCATTTGAGTTAGATATTTTTATAGCATATAATTCTCATTTGCAGTAAACTCTTTATTATCAATAATGCGCATAAATTATATGCCCAACCATTTCTAAATCCTTTTTCAAAATCTTCTGATCCCCTTTATAAAATCTTTTATTATTTAACCTATTACCATTTTTTTCTCTTACAGTAAATGGATCTTAAGTCATAAATCATTTCTTATTATTATTCTTCTTATTTCCGTTCATTTGACTACCTCCTGTTATGATACAGTTTCAAGATAAATTCTTAATAATTATTATGATGTATGATTTTGAAATATTTTTAGAAACATGGATCCATGGTAGCAGCATCCAGAATAACACCTAAACGAGAAAGTTACTGTTTCAATTGTCAATGTACGATTGACAGATTATTTGCCCATAATGTATGCCGGCCATGTGAAACGACTGAACCAGCTGAATTGGTCAGAAGCCTCTTTCTTAATATATAAGCACATTTCAATCATTTATGGATAAAATAAGCAGATGGATTCTTACATAGAATTATATACTTCAATGCTAAAAGAATAACTCGAACACATATCGAACTCACGATTTCGGCTATCAGTTATTTTATAGCTCATCTCAAATTAAAGACGAAAACAAAAAACCTTATTAATTTATTTTCACAAATAACAGCTAACAAGTGATATATAAATGCTAATACATTAAATTTGAGTAAAAGACAAAGTGTAAAATAATATTAATTGACTGAGAATGACTGTAAGACTAAATAAAGATTAAATTTTTAGTCTTTTAGGTTCATTATTTTATTATTTATAGTATCATTAGCTTATTTTAGGCATCATATAGAATGATCGATTCAGAACCTGATAATGATCTACAACTTTTGGACATGCTCGCGTAATAATTCATCACTTTTTTCATAGTATATCATATAAGCCACAAATAAAAAAACTTCATCCTACGGCTTTTCGTTTTTGGATTGTTATCTATGTACTGTGCTTTTTATTCCATGGCAATATTTGTGAATTAGATTACAGTTATTGTCGATAATTTTGTGCTTTAATTCGACCCACATAAAGTAGATGTCTTTCTTGATAATATAAATAAAGTTTTTTTTTTAAACGGAAGCAAACATCAACACATAACTGTTGAATAGATTAAACAGAAAAAGTGTAATAACTTTTAATATTTCGCGAACGATCGCCTTACTATCATTAGCGGTAAAATCATTGGAAAAATTCATCTAAACAATTACCTTTCACATTCAAATAATTATCATGGTATCATGGTATCTTCTACATGAATGGACCTAAAATCCGGATGTTTGGAAGGATGTCTTGATCACTGTAACAGAAACGTATAATACGGTATTTTCGGTTCATCTTTTTTCCACATCTCATTTTAATCCCCGCTATTAATCTCATTTCAGTTAGAACGTAACTAACATGTTGATGAAAGCTGATGGACCGGAAGTCAATTGTAATTCGTGAAGATTTATACCTTTCAATCTACGTCTATAATCTGAGCATTCTTTTCTTTCAATCTAACAGAGCTGCAAAACCTTCCGCCATTTCCGGTCTGTGGATGACATGCATCATATTAAAGCATACATTCTGTAAAACGAAGACGGGTAATATTCAAAAGTATTTTCTAAAGGGATAACAAAATACAGAAAGAAAGTATTGAAACACATGTGAACTATGCAAATCATACCATAGAAGAATATAAATTTCTCAGTGTTATATGGAATTTCTACTATAATGATTAAACGCGTTTTTCATTTAATAGCCTCCGCTCTTCTATTTTAGCTTAGGTACACCCTACATCGAGTGGAAGAACAGCATATTAAAGAAGCAGGTTTACGGTATATTTAAATAAATTGAAGAGTGAATTTTGAATTTTAACTGTAAGCGACGCAACAAAATTAAAGATCACAGTGCAACTCTAGAATGACACTAAGCTGCACACTTTTACTAATCCGATTTCCATTTGTGCTGAACTCCGAAGCAACCGGACTTTAACTTGACATTTTTATACTTCATTGAACCATTTAAATGATACTCATTGATTGACCACAGAAAGATGTGAACAAAATAAAGAACCAGGTAAAACATGAAAATATGAAGTTTTGAAAATTAAAAATTTGAAACAACAAATCAACAGAATATTCAAACGAATTCCGAAAAAAAACTTCGTTTTCTTCACCCTGTTTTCATCTTTCAGTGGTTTAATAGCTGCATTTCCTAATGCCATTTCATAAAACAAAACTTCCTTGACCAATGAAATAGCTTAACAGTCATATTTTTAATACCAACTTATGTAACGCAATATCCGTTGTGAATAATATTTCTGCAAACATTTTTGCTTCTTAAAATGAAAAGCAAATAAAACATAATAAAATGAAATGTGGCGGAAAAAATTCCCATAAAATATAAAATATAAGTTTGCTAGAAGCCAAAACACAAACGCATCAATAATTGGTATCATTTCCATTTGATGCATCATCAAGTCTATCTCGATCACGTGTCACAGGACTGCGAGAATTACGAGGTGGCGGACTTCGGGAAACGTTCCTGTGTGGTGGACTGCTTGAGTTCACAGACCTTCGAGATACTGGTGACCTGTCTCGTGAAGCACTTCGACCACGTGAAGCCGATCGTCTATCATTGTATCGTGAACCACTACGACTTCGTGTTGAGGAACGTCGACGTCGTGGTGAGCGTGAACGTGAGCGTGATCGAGAACTGAAAAACATTAATTATCAAGAAGACCAATAAGTGCAAATAACCGCAATGTGAACTAAACTCACTGATAACGTGCACAAAGTATTCCTTTTATGAAATTAGTTCGCGTAATTTACTTTATACTACGAAATAAGTCATTATTAGTTATTAGTGTCAATCAGTCCCAATAAATCTGCTTCTCGATGATGATTTATGATTTAAGGACCAATCTATGTCGTGTTTTCTAACTTTACTTTATTTCAAGAAAAGATTGGATTTTATTTTTCTAAAACTTTACTGCTTTCAAGCATCATGTGAATCTGATTATACTACTAGAATAATAAAAGATATTCCATCGCAAGAAGTTCTATGAAACTGCTGATTTTTCCATTCATCCTTTTATGTAAGCAGAGTATGTCATAAGACTCAGGCAGTTTCTAATCGTCTAATTAAAATGAGTGAGATCAAAAAACCGCAATCCAGGAATGGTATAGGTAGGTATAAGTGGTAAACCGTCGATTTAGGATGCTACCACACAAGAGTTCCGTATCATATCCAAAAAGACACAGAAACGATTTTGTACGAAAAACTGACTGACCATCGGATAAACACAGAATCAGCAATCAGCATGTAATTAATCTTTGTTCTGTAACTGGAGTCTCTCTCTCATTCTCCCTTTTTTTGGTTCTGGCCAAGCTGAACAGCTGTGCTGCCCAACAACAACAACAACAACGACAACAACAACAACAACAACAGCAGCAGCAGTCAACTGCTACATGGAACGGCAACTCAGCCAGCCAATTTTCCCCTGAGATGTGGCCGTTTTGCTTGATGTATTTTTTATTTCAGCTAGCAGCAGCTACACTGTATCTCGGTGATTAGCAGCAGCAGCAACAGCAGCAGCAGCAAACCACGGCCGCCTCAAAAATTACAAATTTATTACTTTTCGGCAAGTTACTTTGCAAAAAATTAAAACTAACTTTACAAGGGATGATGCACTAACAACGGTATTCCACCTTGATGATTTTATCAAAAATCACAAGTGTAACCTAAATTTCAAATTAGAGAACATCCACTTACTTATTTGTGTAACTTAACTACGACATTTCTCCTTATTGGTGATTGTTAAACTTCAAGTCCTATATCTAAATGCATCAATTTACTAACCGTCGACTGCTTCTGTAACCACTACCACCACCATTACGACTACGTTCATCAATCGGACGTTCATAACGTGCCATGGCAACACGGATCTCACGTCCATCGACCCATCGTCCATCCATACGATCCATCGCGTATTCGGCATCCCGTCGACTATAAAAGCGCACGAAACCAAATCCTTTACTCTGTTTGGTGTAACGATCGCGTGGAATGTGGATATCACCTATTTCACCATATTTTTCGAACAAACGACGTAGATCTTGTGGTGCCGTTTGATATGATATGTTATCAATCTGAAACATCATAAAGAATGTATATCAAACTGTGAAACATCCAGTTCAGACAGCTGACACCAAATACAGTGAAAGGGATAGCATCGTAAAGATGTAACGAGGACAAATATAATTAAAGATTGACAAGGATCGATAAATTGATCGTAGGTATCAAACTTAGAAGCCTAGCAAAAACAAATGCAAAATTTTAAAGTAATATTTAGTACCACTACAGAACAATAGAGACTATGCAGAAAACAATAGTAATGCAATATAAAATTAAAAAACAATAAATCATCATTTTACGAGTTTATCTACAATAAATGACTAACACAATATGCTTAAACAAATATATTTGACCTTATAAAAACATAAATTATTGCATATTTATTTTTTTCTCTATCAAATAAATAAAGAAAAAATTAAAAGATACCTTTAGAGAATATAGGCCATCGATCGATGGTGGTCCAGGTCGTCTACTCATTGTTAACAACGTTTGATGTCTATTCAAACCCTTCAAGCAAAGTTTTAAGAAATTAAATTTCGTCAGACTTGCTTTTTTTAACTTCAATCACGAACATAATAATCCCACAGGACAAATGCACAACGCGCCATCCCAACATAATGTTACATTCAAACGTGGATCAATTCACGCTACAGTAACAACGAAAGCATTGGAACCACCAAACAATCAACTATTATATATCGGTGTACTACAAACAGCATAGTAATGCAACTCTGATCGGTATCAATGAAAACCACTAGTCCATCAAGTTACCACTAACTATATTCTCCAACCGCCAGGAACAATACCTGTGCTTTCCATCAATGATTTATAAATGATGCTAAATTCATTCTTTGCAATCTGTGCAACATAGTAAGAATCGTTTGTTTTTCAGAAGCGTCAACAATGAATTCAGTTCAACTTCCTAATCTCATATGCTACAAAGTAAATATTACAAAAACTATTGGATTTAATGCGAGACATAAAAACTAATATCTATTGATATCAAAATGTAAGTTTCATTATGTATATATGTATAATTGACAAAATGAAATGATGAAAGAAATAAAAATAAAGCGTGACATTGAGCAACTTTTTTACTCTTCATCACTTATAGATAAGTTTATTATTGTACACATTACAAACATCATTAAAATGATAAAGGATCTGGTTTATATGCCATGATGCTGAGCAAGTAATTTGATGAAGTCTTCATGAGATGCGTACAATTTCTCACCCACTGAAACGGTAATCCACCGCAATTTAATTGCATCATCCCCTGCCTGAAAATTCACATCATTAATTTCGAATCTAATCAAAAGTGATTTAAAACAACTGAAAACGAAAGCTGATCACAATGAAAATCTGGACTATTTTCCTGATACGATTACGAAATCAGTCATCCAAACACCTCACTCTGAGCATGTCATTGTTTACATAGTTGTCGTTATCGTGAAAATTAACTACAACTGTTTCCATCCATGCATTATCCGTATTCCGTGGATCATCCACATAACCACGGTACAGCTCTACACCTTTACGCCAAAGTATATCCAATTCTGGATACTTTTTGCCCTCCAGTGCCTCTTCCGTAAATTCTCTAAAATTTCGAAGATTTCTTTATTCTGAAAGTTCATGCCATAAAATTAAGACTTCTTACCTTTTCAAAGTTTCTTGCACATCCTCACCAGCATCCACCATACCCCCAGGAATGGCCCATTCACCGGAATCTCGTCGGGCAATCCCAACAAACTGTAATTGTCCGTGATGGATTCGACTTACAATTGGATCTGCTGCATGGTTCGGTCCCCATTTTCCCAGAACTCCACGTCCTCGTAATCCGGTTCGTCCTACCGGGTTAAGTGGTCGCCCAGTTTTGTCCAAACTGTATTTCCTGAATTTAGTAGAAAAATTAATTAAGAAATTTTAGCCTGGCTGTTCGTTTCTTTTCGGTTTTCATGGTTAAATATTATAACATTCTTTTCTGTCAGGATTGCTCATCGGTACTTGACAAAATCGTTTGGTTGGTTCTATAGGAATAGATACCTTTTATGTATTTTAATACACCCAACTCTTAAGACTTTTAAAAACGATGAAATAACCACAAAAAGGAAACAATTTACCCCATATAGGAACGTCGATTGATTAATCCATCGATATCGTTCCACTTGAATTTCCAATTTTTGAAATCATTTGAATCTGCCCAGGGTTTATTAGTTGCTGCCAAGCTGGTGAAGTCTTGTGGTGTATATTCTGGCCAAACAACTTCCCATTTCACTTTATCATCTGGTACTTCTACGCGATAGACATCGCTACGCAGATACGGCTTTTCTGGAACAAAACGAAAAATTACCAAACAGACATGAAATTATACATAATTCTGTTTAAAGTGAATGCTACCGTTAGAATCGTTATATATATTTAACTGTTTGTTAGTGAATTTATATGTTTGTTTAAAAAATAAAACAAGTAAAATACAAATAGATAAAGTACGTGTACCTATTACACAAGACAACCGTTGCTTCTATGATCATTCTGTGAAAATTTGAACTTTCCATTTTAAATTTACTTTTTATCGCATGATGCACAGAAGAGTAACATCTGACAAAAAGATCTGCTAAATGAAAAAAAAAAAAACAGACATTCGGGAAATAAATAACAATGCAATGTTCATTCTACAAAAAAATAATTAAGAATATGTAGAAATTGGGATATTAAGAATTAATAACAAAGCAATATTTCAAAGAAAAGGAACCTATATTTCGGCATTTATAATGCATTTTTGAATTCACAACGAAACCGGAATTCATAGCAAGTCGGATAAATCCAATGTTTGCAATAAGCATTGATGAAACATATCGTCCCGTAATTAATACATTAACCAAAACTCAATCATGACCATTCATACAATGAAAAGATCTACTTTCAAGATTCAAGCACCCTTTTAGCGGAATAGCCAACAGCCTTGAAGAATTATAATTTAACATTTTCGATAAGTGGTGGCTGTAAATAAGTTATTCCATAGTTGATTTGAGTTCTTGTCTTGTTTTGCTTAAAGTTACTTTTCTTATCAAAATTCACGAAACTTAAGGTTTCTTAGTAACACTTATTATTAGTATTATTAAGGACACTTTAAGCTAATTATAATCAGTAATTAAAGAGCAGAAATAATTTTCCGAGTAACATTACTGATCAAATTGTTGGGAAAAAATGTTTAAGTAACAATACCTTTACAAATCAAATAGATAGGAAATTTACAAATAAAATAAAAAAACTCCAAACTTTTATGTTTGGTTTTAGAAAGTAATATAACAACCGATAATTAGTAATGCGAGAATAAATGGAAAATTTTATGTTTGTGGAAGTAGTTGCAAACTCTTTTGTAATAACATTTGAAATATTTAGAATGAAAAAGAGTACGACGGATGAAGAATGTGAAGTATTTGTTGCATACTTTGGTACCGTAGAAATCCGACGAGATGTTACGAAATCGCGAGTTGTCGTGCGAAATTACCTTCTTAAAAGAATATCTCGGTTCCAGGTAGATGGCACAATCAAGGACATATCTCACACCCATAATTACATTTTCGCTTTAGCACCGTCGGACCATCTCCTTTACGCCCTCCGGCTAGATTCATTTTTCATCTATTGCCTCAATTTGAATGCCATTTCGGAAAATCCCAAATTTGAGCATCTCATATATATCACCGTGGAAACAGAAGCAATGTGTAGAAGAGTGGATTATAATGACGGCAAAATACCAGAACTAGCCCATTGCGAACTGCAACAAACTGAAGAAAGAATTAAACCAAATTTCAACAAAGTTGAGGATTTTCTCATTTGTGCCACAAGTCGTTCATGTTTCTTGGCCAAAAATACGGCTAGCAGTGAATCATCAGTGTATCGAATTTTCACGGACAACAAGATTAATGATTTTCAACTATTGCAATTTGGATCCGCTGAGTCCATCCGACAACTTTCTGCTGGTAATGATCACATATTGATTTTAACTATAAATGGCATGGTTTATAGTATGGGTACAGGAAGCCGAGGTGAGCTTGGCCATGGTAAGGTGGAATGTGAGCAACAGCCGAAGTTAGTGGAAGGTTTGACACCTTTGACCGTGGTTCAGGTGGCATGCGGTGGATGGCACAGTATAGCATTAACCGATGATGGTGATGTATATCTTTGGGGATGGAATAAATGTGGACAGCTGGGTAATTGCTGTGAAATTGGGGAAATTCTGGATATACCTGTACCGTTGGACATCGACGAAAGTGTAATCGGTATTGCTGCCCGTGGAAATGGTACTTGGTTAAAGCGAGCTGATCAATCTGTGCTCACTTTTGGTAGCGCTGCTGTGATTTGAATTTTTTAGTTCTTTAAAGATATGCTTTTCCTTTCGATGATTTCTGTTTGAATTTTCAAGTTTTCTAGTTTCCTTTTTTTAGTAATCTTGTACTTACACTTGAATTTCCAGATTTTTTGGCTTTTCTTTTGAAAATTCAAATATGGCATTATGTTAAATGATCTAAATGCTTAGAAATACATCGTTATGAAAAAAAAAACAATAGTTTGATACTCATATTTGCTGTATTGTTTGATTTGAATATTTTCGTTTATTAAGTTCTTGTTTTGGGGATTTTTATCTTAGTATTCGATATTGGTTTACAGAAGTTTTAAGTTTAATAAATTTATAGTGCGAAGGGGTTACGGAATGAAGATTGTTGCGTGGATTAATATATTTTAATAAAACATTTACGATAAATGTTATTCATTACAAGAAGGAGATGATTATTAGATAGCAAGACACTTAAAATGTTTAACTTGAAATATTGACCTATTATTAAACTTCGATTGCATCTTAAAATGTTTTATTTATCTTAAAATTTCATGTCGTTTGTACAAGGTTTACAAATATGTTAATGTATTTTATTATTTATAATCCGATATACTTTCATCGGATTATAAATAATATTATGAATAACATTGACGTTTGGAACACTCTATTCAAATTTACCACAATTATTCATTACCTTATGGAGTGAAAATAATTTTAGTAGTTCAACGCGATTTTTCGACTCGAAAATCAAATTAATCAATAGAGTAAGTGAAAATTAATGAGCAGGTACTTGTTGCAGGTGCCTCGGACATTGTTGCCGTTTTATCATATGAGTTGGCGTACTAGGAAGGCGTCCGGCAATGTTCAGTGCATTTCACATGATGAAAGTGTAAGTTTTAGGAAAGAGTTCAAAATTTTGACTTTCTTTTAAGATATCCGTCTGGTGTGTACTAAAAGTTTTCCTTTGGTTCAGTTACATAGAGACTGTAGTGCCGAAATACATTTTTTCGTTAGCTTTTGCGCTAATTTTTGTCGTAAATTTTCTGGAGTTATTGTTTGGGAAGACACAAAATTTGATCTTTTTTTATTAATAGTTTCAATTCAAAAATTTTGAAGTATTAGTTGTAGATAACATTCGATTGCTTAAGTGCGGATGCCCAAAATACCGTTTTCTGCTTTTTGGGTTCCACAGAAGTTGATAGCAAAGATATTGATAATATTGGAGCTGTTCGTCAGTTATGTGGCAGTCGACGTCGAAGCTTAGTGTTTTGTCGAGCATGTGGCCTTTTCAGAGTATTTTTTTTAGTATGATTTAATTTTAATTAAGTGATCACTCGAATTGAACATATCCGTCGTTTTTCTTGAGTTTGAACATAAATTAAATTAAAGTAAGCTTATGTTAAGGGCAAAAAAATTAAAGTATTGCCTCATTCCAGTGGTGTATTCATCTGTTTGATTGTATTCATCTGTTTGATTGGTTTTTCTTTAAATGTTTTTTCCATCTCTTTTTTGAGAGTATTCATTGCAGTTTGGTAGATGGCTTACTCCTAAGGAAAAGCGTACGAAGCAGTGGGTTGCCAATTCATTCTTTTGGCAACACACCACTGGCAGATTATGTGAAAAGAAAAATTGGCTTTTATACAAGTTGTCGAGTTTGAAGTGAGTTGCATTTTTAACTTCAAGAGTTCAGTTTCCAAGATACTAATAGTTTTTAGCTTAGCTTATTTGGTTACATTATTCACTGAGATATGGATTTGAGGTTATATTAATTCGCAGAATTTTAATACGATTTGTGTGATACACTAATTATGCGACTGAAATTCATACAATTTCAATCATTAATCACAGTTAAGATAAATCATGGTTGAGATTACTGGAAAATTGTCGCAAATTTTGTTATGAGAAAGATCATGATGATGACTATTAATGAGAAAGGAGAGAATGGAACATGAGTTATGAACATGAGTTATGAGTTATGAAGATCTGAAGTTATGTAATAATATCATTTCCAATAAACAAAATAAATGGTTTCACCATTTGACAGCGTAGACGATGCTGTCGATCAAAAAGATATAAATAATGAGAGAAGTGGAAAGTAATAAGTCTACTCTCTTAATGTTAATAATGTTAATAGTTATTTGGCGATATTCAACTAGTATTTACACTTATTGTTAACCGTTGCTTTTTCGCATTGAAATAATATGTAGTCACTTTTTCTTGTGGCTGTAAGTACGTAGCTTGTTGAAAACCTCTGATATTTCTTAATTAAAATCAAATTTTCTGCTGATATTATACAGTTGATACCTCAACTATTTATTGGATTAAATTAAAAGTAAAACTTAATATTGTTTGGATATTTTTCACGATTGCATAATGTTTTTTTACTCTCTAAAAATGTTTTATGAAGTAATAGATTTTTTCTTTTTTAAAACAATCCCGATGAGCAGTATACAAACGAATCACATCAGATCAGATATCATTATTATACTAGTGAACTATAACATCTCACTTGTATCGGTCACAATTTTTTTAAGGATTATATAACAAAATATAATTTAACGTTCAAAATCCTTATTTTGGTAAGAGATTAGTTATATTGCAGATGGACACGAACGTTCGAGTTGGTAGTAATGGTCAGCGATGAAGGTGCTTTGAAATTTAATTTTTTTATAAAAGATAGTGCGGTTAGTCATGAAAGTGATATTTATAATGTGAATGATTCAGTCGATGTCAAAACTGTTATCGCGACGTTTTTTCCTCGCTTGGTAAACTTTATTTCGATTTCTTCATTTTTTATGAATTCATAAACACTTTATAAAGAATTTCAAAGTTCTTTGAAGTTTGTTATTGGTAGGAATAATAGGTGGTAGACAGAGAGCTGATTTTGTCGATTTTTATCAAATGATCAGAAGTATTATAATCGCCTTGTCATTGCTGTTGTTGGGGTGTAGGAATAGTAGAAGAAAATTAAATTGCTAAAATCGTGGTTCATATGCAGTACTTTTTGATCTTAAGACAGGAAGGAAGTTTCAGTAAGAAAACCTTTAGGTACGGGCTCCTATTTCTTCAGCAGCACTTGCAATAAAGATGAAAGAGAATATTGACGGATTTTTCGAAAGTGTAAAGCGCGAACCTGTAAAAAATTGGAGGATTTCTACTGGAAATATTGTTGCGGTACTACGACCTTATCAAGTTTGTTTTACTTCTTTTGTGTTTTAACTGAATTATTTTTTCAGTTGAAATAGGAAGATTTTTTCATCTAATGAGGGTGTTCGAAATTTGCTCTTTTTTTATGGGTTGGTTAAAGATTTTGTAGCTGCTTGCATTTTCCAATAGATGAACTGTTAATGTAGAAATATGCCATATTTTTCGAACATGAAGTTTAGCAAAAAGTTCTATAAAAAGATCAAAAAATGATGGTTTTTCCAAACCATGACTTAAAAAGCTGAAAAAAAGCTCAATGTTTGTTTTGTCTGTTCCACGTTTTGGTGGTCCTTTGAAAAATGTTCAGTCACATTCAGGAAGATGCAATACGCTTTATGATTTCACGTGAAGATCCTAATCAACAGACCGTATTTGGGGTAGAAGATGATTTTGTTGAATTGCCAACTACACCACGAATTCTGTATTCACCAGTTACTGGGTTTATGTCACGACAGTTACATAAACCATCATTCGGCAAATGTCCTCCAGGTATTTTTGGATATTTACTTGAAAAAACAGGTCGAGGCTATATTATCAAAGTAAACATGCTTTTTTTTGATTACAAGCTGAATTCTACAGTAATCATTTCGATCCTAAAATAATGCTTATTTGAATTTTCGATCTTCTCAAACTTTTATATTTAAGTTAACTATTGATATCTTTCAAACTTCAACTCCTACAAATATCATATACATAAAATCCATCCCACTAGGTGTGTATATGAAAAGATTTATGCTGCAAAATTATAATAGATAAGAAAAATCGTGTACAGAATTGATACACCACAAAAAGGAATTTGTAATCATTTATTTATAAATATATTTCCGCAGTATGGTCAACATACGGTTGCATCTACTCCAGATCGTAAATATAATTGTATGGGGTTTGTTTTATTTTCTAAATTTTGTTTCTAATATGCTTATGATGGTGGTATTTTATGTGGTATATTGGCTGACGAGATGGGGCTTGGGAAGACGGTGGAAGTTATTGGTTTGATATTAAGCCATCAACGAGGTAAAGGACTTCCACCGATTGTTGAAGATGTGGCGAGAGAAGTTGATATAGTGAAAATAATTGTCGGTGAACTCATCTCTACAGTTGTGGCTGCGACCGATGGATATTCGGCATTGCAAGATAAAGTAAGGGTATTTTTGGTACAACGATAATGCTATACATTGTATATATAAATAACTTAAATAACTAGAATAAAATTGAAAAAAACGAAATTGGAACTGGTTTATGAATACCAATTATAAAGTTACATAAATTCGAAATTCTGTAGTAATTACACTCCAATACTTGGCAGATGAATTCGAGATATCGTCGAATGTTTTGTTACGATAATTTGGAATTCATGAATCCAAAGAGATGTAAAGGCAAGAATAGCGTATTGAAGCCGCTGACCATAACTTGCACAGCATGTTTCACGATTTGTTCCCAGGAGCGAGTTTACTGGGATCGATTTTGTTCACATGATATTCCCTTCTTATGCCCAGAATGTATTCATGGTAAGGTACGTGACAATGCTTTAAGTATTCCGCAGGTATATCAAATATAGTTTGCATTTTTTTATTAACAGAAAATTGAATGTATAGAAGGGAACCAAAATTTAATCCTAATCTGAAAATCAGTTTCGTTGCATACGCTGTAATGGTTATAGGAAAGTACGTATCCAGTTAAAGGTACGCTTATTATTGCACCATCAACAATTTGTCATCAGTGGTATGAAGAGCTGAAGCGACATGTTCGCGACGATATTAAAATTGACGTACATTGCTCTTGATTTTTTTGTTCCTTCTTTCTTATTTGCCGTTTTACTGAAAATTTCTGTATAATTATTGATTCTGAAAACATAAAAGAAGAAAATAGTGGGCAAGGAGTAAACAAATTCAATTCAAATTACTTTTTTCTGCATTTTCTTTTGCAATTTTGACGAGGGAGCGGTCTTAATATATTTTTGTTACTTATTTTCCTTGAAATTCTGTACTTATTGTTAATTTCTTTTGTCATTTGGAAATTTCGTATTTTACTCCACAAATCAATGTTTCAGATGTACCGAGGATTGGTTAATGACGGTTACAAACATCCAGAATATCTGGCAACTCAAGACGTTGTTATCTGCTCTTTTGAGACACTACGACAGGAAGTATATTTTGTAGAAGCTCGGCCAAGGCTAGGTTAGCTGTTGATCATTTCTTCCGTTTAATTTTCGTTTCCGAATAGAGTTTTTCGAAATTGTCTTTAAAAAGTTTTATTTGTGTGTGTTCGTGAATATTTACCTAATTTTAATGGATGATATGGAAAATAAGTTTTGCAAATAATCGAGTAGCTGTAGTGTTTCTTTGTCGATCCCACGCAACATGAGAAGCCTATACATGAATAAGATAAAATTAAGCTTAATCAGTTATCACAATTTTGTTATCGTTATAAATTTGTGATGTAAGTAAGAATTTGAATCATATTTCTTGGTTAGATAATTTTACGCACTTCATTTTAACATATCTACCCATCCAACTTGGTCCAAGAAGCGTAATTCTGAAGACTTCAGACCTTCATAATTATCTTCCGACATGGATGTTTTCAAGCATCATTTATTTCCAGATTCTTTACGACATGGTAAAAGACATCACATTGCTCCTACTCCGCTGTTAGCTGTAGAATGGTGGCGTGTAAGTTATGAAAGTTTTAAGTTACGTCCTATATTTTATGTGACAGTTATGTGAAATATTGTTTTAATTACCTATGAATCTTACCTTTTTCTTTTTTATATATTTCAAGTGTTTCATATCTTTCTGACTTAACTGCAAATTATTTATTATTGTTCTTTTTGGTTCATAAAAAAATAAGATTGTAATAATAAATTAATGTGAAGCTACCAATTTTCTCTTTTTCCTTTTTCCTTCGCTAACTTTTGTATTATATATGCTCAACAATTTCATCAGTTATAGTGACTGAAGTAATTATTGCATTATTATTCCGGTTATTTAAATTATTCAGATTTGTATTGATGAGGCGCAAATGGTAGAAAGTACATCATGTTCAGTAGCGTTAATGTGCGATGGTCTTAAAGCAGTAAATCGTTGGTGTATTACAGGCACACCAATCACCAATTCGGTGCAAGGTACACCTTCTTTTAACTAACTTCTTTTCTGGTTTAAAATCCTGTTTTGTTTCTTCTGAAGTTAGTGTTGAATGATAATTAATGCACATCTGCAGATTTATATGGTCTTGTGCGATTTCTGAGAATACAGCCATTTTGGAATGAACGTTGGTGGCGCAATGCATTGTTGAATCTATATCAAATTGGTATTGGAAAGCCAGTTTCGGATTTATTTTCTAAAATAATGTGGAGAAACACGAAAAAAACCGTTAGTGACCAGGTAATGGAATGAAAATTTATTTTGTCGCTCATATTTGTAATTTAAGTTGAAAACCCATATGATTCATTTGTGAATAACAATTTTAATATCTTCCAGATGCTTTTACCATCAAAAAATAGTAATTTAACTGTTTTGCGGTTCACACCAATTGAGGAGCAGTTTTATCGTTCAACTTTATCGAGTTGTCGCTTGAAAGGTTTGTTAATTTCTCCTCTTGTGATCAGAGATTATAAAAAACTGTAGCCAATTTTAAAATTTCACTAAACAGTGACGATCATTCGTTTTCCGTGCGATATTTTTGAATTTAATATTCATGTCCCCCGTCGTGGGCAATGGAAATTATACTTCCCATTTTGTTATAAGTTATGTCGAAGTTGTTTTTATTAAATTTCAGTTCGTTATATGCCTTGTTTGTATGGTTTGAGTACTCCAATTTCATCACTTCATGGAAAAGACTTCGAAAAATTAATGGAGCCTTTGCAAGCGCTACGCAAATTTATCGTTTTTCCTAGTCTTCGCTTCCAAGAGGTTAACTTAATAAAACTTCGATTTCTCATTCACTTAGTTAGTAAACTAAATTTTATTATTACTAAAAAGCTGTCCGAGCGGTTGATTCATTACAGTCAAAGGCCAATGTTAGTACAGAAGAGAGCTTGCAAGAGGAATTGTTCCGAATGTCAACACAGCAAGCTGAAGTTCATCAACGAAATATATTAATGTATTATAGTGGTAAGCGTCAAAGTTCTTGAGAATTTGAAGTTTTCCCAAATGTTTGAGATTTATTAGCGCGTATAATTCGTGTTCCATTTATCATTATTGTCAGCTTTGTTCGTTTTAAAGGTCTGGCCGGATTAGAATGGCTTTGTGAAAGCGAGACTAATGCTGCGAAATATTACAGTAGTGCGATCAGTGCAATGAAGGAACTAGATCAAATGAATAACAAACTTGGGTTGAAAGGATCAAGATGCGCCTACCGGTTATTTCATTATAAGCATTATTAGTTCTTCATTATTTGTTATCACTTCTTCAGTTATGGTAATAAACTTTATAGGCAATTGAGGTCGGACAGGTTACAACAAATTCATATATTTTCTGCCATTTTGGATTTGCTGAAGAATGGTGTTGAGGTACGAGGTATTAATCAGAAAGAAGCTGAAGCTCAGGTTTCTTTATAGTTCAAACTTGACATATTCGATTTTATTTGGAGATCAGGAGGAATAGAGGGATGAATTTATTATATTTAATGAATATTCCTTCAGTTTCATCATATTTTATAGTTAAATTTGGCTTCTACGGGTTATACTGAACAAACGGTATCAAATTTGACGCAGTCATATGTTGCTGCTAGCGAGTTCTTCTTGAAATACCAGGCTACTTTATCGAAGGTAATTTTCTTCAATTTAATGAAAAATTTTTTTGTTGTTTAGTAACTTAATATATCATATATATTCGCGAACGGTATGCTAGTATACTATATAGATTGTTTGGATTTTTAAACTGTAGGGTTCTAAATCCTATCCGGAAGATCGATGAAACATGGAAGAAACCCGTAGTATCAGTAATAATGATGATCTTTTTTCTGTTTTATTCGTTCTAAACGAAACCTTATTCGATTGATTGGTGAAGTCCCAAAAGTCATAGTATTGACAAATGGATAATATTACATAATATTGCAAATGGATAATAACAAATGGATAATATTATCCATTTGTTTTGTGCTACTTTTCACTCTTAACATTACTTTTTTTTTGCTGGTTTAAATAATTTGGTTGAGGTAAAATCAAGTATTGGATGGTTATATGAAGCAATCAATTTGGTGAATAATGCTGGACAGCAACATCTTTTCATTGATGCTATTCGAACAGCGCTCGAGAATAACGGGATGCCGAACGTTCCGTACGGTTTATTTTCTGGTTTGAAAAATTTGTGTGATTTGCTCAATCGTTTTTGCGTTCGGAAATTATTTAGTTGTGACATTTTCAAAATTTGAAAGTCTGATTAATTTGGTCGTGGCGATCTATAGCAAAATTTTTCAGGGCATCAAATTTATTAGGCTTAAATTTTTATGTGGTAAGACGATGGAATGAACTGATCGACTGTGCTAAGAAGGTGCTCTCGGAAACGAAAAAAATTATGAAAAATAATATTATGGAGGAGAAATGGGTTGTCATTCTGGAAACTGTCATTGCATGCCATTTTTCACCGGCTAGTGGCAAGTTATCGAAGAAGTAGATGTTTTTGTTTACTAATTTAGCGTTTTGTTGATTTCTTTCATATTATTATTGCTGAAAACAATATCTGAGACGTTTTCAGTAGGTGTGAATCGGGTAAACAGTGATGTTTGAGGTTTGATTTGATTTGTAACAAATGATACAGTTATTTTTAACTTGTTTTAAAAGTTTTTTCTATTTTGGATACTGGGAAGATATTTTAATTGCAGAATGTATGCTTGTTTTTCTCATCAATAAGATAAGAATGGATAGATCAGGGTATTATAGAAAAATCTGCTATAGTTCTTCGTTAAGGTACATTGCTATTCTTGTCGTAAAATGAGGTGATTTAGTTTGAGTGATTTGCAGAGACGAATAAAGAGTAGTTTACAGAGACAAGTAGAGTTAGGAATCAATCTATTATTTTTTTTGAGACTGGGGTTATAGTTGATCAATGTTGTTTAACTACATTAGAAATATTGAAGAAAATATTGAAGTAGTTGTGGAGGAGCTGTAAATGTGAGCTAAGTCAAGAGATCATTTGGCAGTGATTAAGACGTTATATATTCTCTTCAAATTGGCGGTGTTGGGTAAGCACCGTTTATAGTAAGGCAATTAGTTATCTTGTAGACGAACTGTGCCAAAAGTCATGAAATCAGTTAATACAAAATTGATTGTAATAGAATTTTCCGCTTATTTAATAGAATGAAATTAATAATAAACAAAGGTCATTGGATATAAATCATTAGCGGCATTTGTTTGCAGTGAATTACTTGAAATTATATTAGGCAAATCGATGATGTAAAGAGTTATTTGATCTTAATTATGTACAGTATTCCTTAGAATATTTGATGCAGAAGATTCCAATGATATAAATAATATGAGTAAAAACATAAATTGATTATTTAAGCGTTTTAAATTATGAAGTGATTTCGGTTTTTCGGACAGTCCTTGCAAATTTTGAATCAAACTATTTTAACTGTGCTTATTCTTTACAAACCAGAAGCATAGCAACATAAAATTATTCGTAATAAAGTTTATTTCATTATTTTTGTTTTTCAGTTGCTCGCTGTGCACATGTAATAGGCAAATCAGTCAGTTGGAATCCTTACTTTTCATTAGAGGTTCAAAAACGTCGTAAGTTCTATTCTTCTTTATGAATCAATCTTGCAGTATTTTATGTCCCTGAAGATTTAAGTTTTGTTTTATTTTATTTCTCCAGCATGCACAGTTTCCATAGCTGACAATTAGGATGCTTTAACGTAACTTTATCAAGATGGGATGAAGATTCGAAATCTTGGATTAGGTTTAAAATTCATGATGAATGGTATTTAAAATTAGAACTTTACTTAAATTCTGGCGGAAATCTGTGATATGAGTCGTTGAAGAAGTTTCCGAAATAAAATTGATTGAAAAAAATTGAAATTTCAGTAAGGATCAAGGTGTTGATGAAACAGGTACAGCTGGAGAACAGAAAATTTCAAGTCTCGAAATAATCATTCGAACTTTTCTGGGAACACTTGTCCGAATGCAAAAAGGGATGCAATGTGATCTGGTTGCATTAGGCAAAGAAGTAGTTGCTCAGTTGGAAGAGTTCAAGGCTTTATTGGCTCTTTCAAAACGACTCTACGCTTCTGCCAATGAATACGCAGCTAAAATGTTTTGCCAACTTTTTAGACTTCAGTTTTGAATTCTTAACTTTAGAGACACATTATCTGATAAAAACAAAAGAGAAAAATCTAAATGTAAACATTCAATATCGGCATGTCAAAGGCTTCTGAGCAATGCACTGATGATGGCTTGAATGTATTCTGAATGCGGTTTCTTGTCTGATAATTTCGGGGATAAAACTGATGATAAAACTGAACAAGTTGTTATAAAGAGTTTATTAGATTTCCGAACTGCAAAGATGGAGAAGCGAAAAGTAGGAAGACAAAAAAAGACAAAATAATCTTATTACCATTATTTTAGTTGATAAAACAAGATCTGGAATTAGTGTAAGCATTTTTCCTTATTCGATTTTCAGTTAATTTTTATTTTTATTTTGCATTTATACTGTCTTCAGTGATGAGATTCGCCAGTGTAAACTTCGCTTACAGTATGCTTCAGTGGACGATATAACGAAATATGGCTCACGTTTACCGATTAATTTAATTATTCGAGGAACAGAAAACAACAAGGTTTTTTGGAATATTTGAAAACTTTTAGCTTTATAAATCTTAAAATTTTTCACAATAGCAACAACTTTTTATAGGAGTGTTGTAAATTTATCTTTATTTCCGCTGTATAAAGGCATAATTTTCAGCGTCAAACCGATCTGAATGCACTAGAATTGGAAAAGCTAAAGCAATCTCGTTGTTTAGCGAAATTGCGTTATTTGTCAAATTTGCGTTCCCAACAAACACATGATTGTCCAATATGCTTAACAACCGTAAAGGATGCGTGGATTGTTTATCCTTGTGCTCATTACCTTTGTGTGCCATGTTTTAATCGGCTTACGAGACGGTAATCAATTTTGACGTTTTTTTTCTCTTCAAAGTGTTAATTTATTTAATCGATATGCTTTATAGGTAATTTGTGTTTTTTGTTTCCTTCTTTATCAGTTCAATAATTTTGTAAGATGCAGTTGCTGGAAGATGTCATTTTTGATGCAATATTAGATGATATGAATATTTTCTTCGTTATGGGAAGGAAGAAAACATTTCTAGTATTTTATTGGAGGCATAAATTGCGTAACTTAATGAGCTTAGTAATTAAAAGCATATGAAATTTGATTTATGTGAGTTATAGCTCTGCACAGTTATTATTAGTCATATGGTGCGATATTCTGTGATAGAATTCATTATTTGTATGGTGTTATAATTGTGTAGTGTTAATAGAATTTATTAGTACTTTTAATTACTCGAGAGCTTTTCTTTGCTTATTTTTTTAGAAATAGTGCAATTTTCAGGAATGATGCACTACTCGTATGTGCTGTGTGCCGAGCTACAACCTACATAAGTCAGATTTCATATGTGCAAAGCAAAGCATCAGAAAAAAAAACTCACTTGCTGGATGTGCCAAATGTGCAATTAAAAAGAAGTGTTTCTGTTAAGGTTAAGCTTTTGCTTTCATTTTTCCACCCTGATAATAAATCGGGATTGTCTGTGGAGTTGAGTCGTGGATCATACTGAAATTCACCATAGGATTTTTGAGTTCTATTTATACTGTTCTGAATAGCGCTGTCACTGCTTATTATTCAAAATTTTTTGAGAAAAAATGCCTCTTATAACTGGGATAAAAACTATAATCGATGTTATCAAAGTAAATCTTAAGTTGCTGAGCAAATCGGCATCAACGTCGCAGACCTTCCCACCGTTTTTGGCCTGTTTTTGAGCTGTTGATTATGTTACCCTCCTCCCCCCTCCCCACATATTTAAATAATAAATATACAAAATTTGCAGCAAACAAACATACTTCTTTATTATATATTCATTCTATTTAGTGACGTACTATTCAAACTCATAATACTGCCAGCGTTTCAAAACTTTAGGTTGATGCTATAATACGACGTATCAAATCAATTCGATTACGAGATCCAACATCGAAAACGTTGCTGTTTACATCCCTTTCAATGCTTATCAATCCACTTTGTTGTGTGTTATCCGAAAATAATATCAATTTTCGAAACTTCTTAGGGACAAATCGACAAAAAATCCTTGCTGATTTTCGATTGAAACCTGAAATTGAAGCAAGCTATTTCTTTCTTTCCTTCTCTTTAGTTTTTTTAGATTCCTTTTAATATTTTATTGAGTGCCTAAAGTTGCACACAAATTATATATATTGATATTTGGATAACTTTTTTTCATAGATTTTTTTAAAAGCTTTCTTGTATACATGACTTTTTGTACTATGAAATTTATGATATTATTTGTTTCTGTTACATATTTTTTAATCGATATAAGGAATTTGCTTTCAGCTGCTTGTTATGCCGATGAGTTCGGGTGCACGTGGTTTGAATCTTACCGCTTCTAGTAATATAATATTTGTGGAACCACAGATGGATGTTTCTCAAATTGCTCAAGTAAGGAGTCAAATATTGATTCAAATTTTGAAGTCTGAAGAAAATGAAAGTTTGATAATTTTGCTGTCAGATTTTTAATCTTGATTACGCATCATTTAACCGATCATTTAGCAATATTTCATGGTGCTAATGTAGCTCAATTTTGTGCATTACACATTTGTTACTTCGATATTGATTCATAGGCGATAGGTCGAATTGATCGGATTGGTCAAAAAAAGGAAATGATGGTACATCACTTTGTAGTTTACGATTCTATCGAAGAACAAATCTATTACAAGTACTCTCAAAATCAGGATAAAGATTGGACGGTACAAAACATTGTGCATCTTCTTGGTTTGTTGATTTTTTTCACCTTATTACTTATTATCTTTAATAGACTTTTGCTATTGATTAGCAGGTGGTGATGAGGCTTTGTTTCTCATATCATGTTTCCATAAATGCAGCTTACATCTTACTTGCTCTTACTGTACACTAGTCATTTTCATCAATGATTTTTACTAGAGAATAGAGCAAAAATTTATCATAATCAAATTTGTAATTCTTATTTCAAATTGCAGATTTAAAAGATAATGGTGAAGACATAATGTATGAAGAATAATTTCTCGCATGAATAATAATTTCTAACTTCTCTTGCTGCACTGTGATATTAATCCATTGTTCTCATCATTTTCAAGATTTTTTGTATTTTAATTTTGTTTTGGTAATTCTTAGCTAATTTACGTCCATTTGGTAAGGTAAAAATATTGAGTTTAAGAAAATTCACTGTATTGTATTTTATACTGTATACTGTATTTTTATGGCTTAGCACAGAAATATTGCGCTATTGTTTTGCTTGCCACTTTTTGTAAGACGTTTTAATCACATATACTTGTATGAGTTACTTTTTCAGGAATAATTAAGAAAGCTTTAGTTTGTCGAGCTAAATTTTATGGAAGAATTATTTGCTGTATGTTATGGAAAATAAAGACTTCAACTATTTAAATCTGCAAAAGTAATATTCAGCTGAAGTCCTTATCCATTGATGCTGGGGGTGTGGTTTGATAGGAGAATGAGATGATGCCAAGATCTTTGCTACATTTAATTGAATTGATGTTGAAATTTGGTTTTATTCATGATAGCGGGTTAAGTATTTAACGGAATAGCAATGAGTGAGATACATGGAACGATAGATAAAGTAAACTTTTTATCCTCTAACTAATCAATTGATAATACATGACTTCCGGTGTAAGAAATTGGTTAACGTACAGGCATGTTATAAAGTAAATCATATAATAATGGGAACTATAAAAGCCGAAATTAAAACGATCTTTTTCCGAAATGAATTATTAGAAAAATTTCATTAAAAAGCAGTTTGTTTTAGGTGTATGGCAACACACATACATATACGTACATAAACAGTAAGTATAAGCACGTAAATTAGTACAACTCTGAACTTGCAAAAACGTTCAGAAAAGTGTGAATTCCAATATCTTCAAATTAAGGAATTGTTTACATTACAATTATTCCTCAACTTCGATATGTAATGTCACGTTTAAGATTTTTGAAATAAATCCATAAGCTCTTAATATTGAATACTTAAAGAATATTGATTAGATTTAAGAAATAAAATTCGCTTTCACAGTTTTCATATATTTTGTAAACAATTTTAGTGTTTACTTTTTAAGCGATTTTGAAATTTTAAATTTTTGTTTATTTTTTCGAAGGCAACACTTATTATCTTGAAAATACTATTAAAGCATTATAATTGATAATTAGTTGGAATAAAGAAAAATGTAATGATTGAATAGCTTATTGTTCCTTTATGGGTAGATGTTTACATATTGCTTTGAATAGGAATTTCAACTGATGACTGATTAAATTATATTTGCTATCAGGAAGATAGGAATTTCCGAGTGATCAATAAAGTTGATATTCTAAGAATTTCGAATAACTAATTAAATTATACTTACTATCATGAAAATGTAGGAATTTCCGAATGATCAAATAAAATTTATATTCTAAATCAATTCAATCTTTCAATTAATGTGCTACAAAATCATTTCCATTTTTCATTAATTCAAATGTTTCTTCCATATCTGATAGTATATGATTTAATAATACAAAGAATTAATTTATAATTTGAAGAAAATTTTTTCCAAACTAAAAAAATATAAATTCGTATATATTTATTTGTTCAAAGAAAGGAAAGAAACTTTACGAATAATTAAGTTTAGAAGCTTAATCATTCGTGAAGTTTTTCCATTAACAATAATGGAATACTGCTGTTACACATCGAATTATTTTAATTGCAATAATTTTAAAGAAAAGAAAATTGAAATAACAATAAGTAATTTTCAAAATAAAAATGTTAGAACGAAATTAGTACCATAAAATTTGCTTTAATTATAAAAAAGAAAGGAATAGAAATGAATATTTAAAATAGAAATACTAAAATTGAATTTAATGCATAAATTTTTATTATAATTTTTCAAAAAAAAAAATTAACCAATTCAAATAAAAGAAATCAAATTTTTATTTATATTAATAAATTATATATTAAAAAATTATTTATGTTAATTTACAAATGTGTTAATTAATTCTTTCTTCACTCACTCTTTTCTTTCTCCCTTTCTCTCATTATTTCATTTAAAAATTTCATTCATTAATTTATTCTTTCTTAATTTTTATTTTAGTAATTTGTTAATTTGTTTATTTAAAGAATGTATCATAAAATCGTAGCAATTTATTTGATTTACTGCTTTAAGAATAAATTATTGCTTAAAGATAATTGAGAGTGTAACAAACAATATTATCATTATTATTATCATCATTATCTCCTCACATTCAACACATAAATCTTTCATTCACCCATTTCTCACCATTCATTTATTAATTAAATTTTAGTCATTTATTAATTAAAGTATGAATACATTACGATGAATGCGATTATTATTATTAATATTATTATTGTTATTATTATTAATTGTTATTATGTAACTAATAAACTTATTAAAAATGAATACATAATTTACGATATGATTCGTTCATTTTCAAATTTTTATTATTCCAATTTTAATTAAAATATTGTTTACAAATATTTCGTTTTAACAAACAAAATTTTATTTGTGAAAAAAGAAAAAGCAAATATTTGTTAGTTTTTGCTAACAAAATTATTCTTTCAAAAGTTTTTGAATAATTAAAAAGTTTCAGTTTTTTTGAATAAATTTTGTCCTTTCTTAAATATTTATTTTTACCATAAAAAAACGATCTGACAAATCTGTCACTTATCTTTTACTTTTCAAATCAAAAAACTATCTGAGAACTATCTTTTCAAACTGCAAATTCAGTAGATTAAGAAGAAGGACAAAAGAATTGAAGAATGAAGGAAAGATTAAAATGATAACCTTATCAAAGTAATACATTTTCATTATCAATATCATTTCGCCAATTTTTTGCTATTAATCACTAAATTAGTTGAGTAAAACTGTTTAAACTTCTGGCTTAAATCCTATCAATTAAATAATTAACAAAGCTATTCCAATTTTGTCAATTAAAATTGAATTCCATAACTTCCTTCGTTAATAGTTTCTAAGAAAAAAAGTGAAAGATTAATTTATGTCAGATATTTGTTATGACAGATTTTAATGGAATACTATAGAAAGCTAATTGATGTTATTCTACTTTGAAGGTATTTCATATAATAAATGAAGTGTTGACAGTTTTGAATTAATTAATTCTACTTCATCAACTATTAACAGTAGTCAACATCTATATATATATATATATATATATCCATCAAATACTATTGCTAGGGCATGCTATCAATTTGTTGGTATAAAGGTGAGTAAAATTAATTGAATGAAACTTTATCCGCGAGATGGCACTGTTAACGCACGTACAAAAGGAAACGTATTTTGTTGAACGGTATGATCTGAATGTGTTTGATAAATAGTTCTGGAAGAAAATTTAGTAAGGATAGCAAATTTCATGTACAATTGACTAAGAAAAATTAATTACTGCTTACTTAATTTTATTTAAAGGTCTTACATTTATTTAAAGGTCATACTTCTATTTAGAGATCTTAGCTTTATTTAAAGGTCTTTTACTTGAAGGTCATACGATAGCGATCGGCTGGCTATCTTTGCAATACCACTTGCTCAAAGAAAGAATAAATGACCAACTAATATACACACATAACTAACTGATCAATTTGTTGTATCATATTGATAAAACATAAATAAAAATTCGGAACAAATTAAATTTACAAATTTTCAAAATAAAATTATTACTGAAAAACTTAAACAAATAATTTCAATTTATAAAAAAACAGGTAAGAGGTAAAAAAATGAGAAAATTTTAGAATGTTTAGTTTGCTACGATGGCGCTGATTGTTTACAAACAAAAAGTTGTAATGAATGTAATGGTATTGGTTGTATACGAATGGAAAGTTATAATACTGAACGTATTCATACTATTGCTTTGACATGTTTACCATATGCTACAACAAGGTTAAATTATTTTATTTTTCAAAAGTTGTCAACTAATGCTAATTATCAAATTTTAAAATTAGCTATATTTGAATTAGTCATCTAATTTGAACAAATTCCGTTCATTTCATATTTAATTATTCAATAGTAATTATTGAATTTTATTGTACATAACAATTAAATTATTGTAAATAGTAATTGTTAATGTTTAGCGATTCAAGCAAATAAATTACAGTAAATAGCAACTGTTAATGTACAACCAAAATAATTGTAAATTTTGTATGTAAAAATTTGGATACTAAATAAATTAATTATTGAGTGATTAATTGATTTGTTTAAATCATTGAAAATTTGAATTTTTACAATTTATTTATAATTTTAGAACTTATCAGTTGGAACCATCTGGTTGCCATATTTCATTATCCGGTGATAGTGAACATTGTATATGTTATGATATTGATTACTGCAATCGTGCAACCGGTTCATCATTGTTTAGTTATAATTTAGTTTCTTTAGTTATTCTTCTTGTTATTATGTCAATTTCATTTACTCTATCATATTTGTTATGATAAATAATGATAATAAATTATGATGCATTTGAAATTTTAAAATACTTAAAAACTAATCGATAAATATGCATTATTAAAATTTCATCTTTCTCGTCTATAATTAGAATACATAATTTCAATAAGCTGTTACAAAAATTTGTTTGTTTGTTTTATTTATCTGAGAGATAAAATAATTAGTAAATTTTTGCAAGCTTTTTGAAACTAAAAAAAATTAAATCTATTTTTGATTTCATATTTAAAATAGTAATATAGTTGTATCAAAATAGTAATATAGTATAGCTCTTTTTGATTTCATATTTAAAATAGTAATATAGTTGGATTATTTGAGTTATAAATATGAAGGATTGAATCGCATAAATTTTTGATTGCAAATTTAGCCGAAAATATCGTTGCTTTATTAATAATGAAATATTTCAAAATAGTTTTACAGTTTATTACTGCTCCTTATTTATGGTAATTCATGTCTTATGTTATCATTAAAAACTTAATTAGTTGAGAATTTAATTAAATCATCAAAAATAAATTGAAATAAAAAAGGTTCTAAAAAAAAGAAAACATTCTTTAAAGTAATTTTACTTAAGTCTATTTTCGAAAAACTAAATCATCTTACTTTTATTTGGAGTTTAAAACTTCAGCACGAAATATTATTTCCAGTCTTCCATAAGACTTTTAAAATTATGGATACCTTTATATTATCATAACGATTCAGAAGTTTGTGTTATTAGCTATACTCTCATTTTCTTCCATTATTTTCGATAGATCTCCTCAAGCTTCTTCATAAACTACCAAACTGGATTTTTAAATTTGTTGAACTTTCATCGTTTAATGATTCAGGGACCTAACAAATAGATTATTGATCTCACAAAGTATGATGTGTAAAATTCATCAAATTAATAGAACTCGAAATTCTATTAATACGTCCTGTCATGAATGTGAAGCTTTCACTTATTAAATGAAGCATCCCAAATATCCGCATTATACGTACCCTTCTTTTTAATTGGTTTCAGTCCGAAATTATCCCTTTTTACTTTTTTATACGCTCCCACTTTTAAATTATTTTATTTTTATATTACATTAGCGATACCAAATCGTGCAAAAAATTCTCACTAGTGTTGTTAGCCTTAATCATACAACTGTAATGATATCATATTTTGATAATGATTTGATTCAAATAATCTTCAGATTTAAAACATTCAAATAATCTACTTTTCACTCTTAAGTACAACCGAAAAAAAGTACAAGAAAAATTTGGAATGTATTGCTGCAATTTAATTTCCAACTAAATAATTAGACGAAGCACATAAATTATCTTTTCAACTTGACAACTTATATCTTTTTCTCCCCTCCTTGTCATTAACATTTGTCCATTCTAATACCTTCTCTAGAAAAATTTAAAATTTCGTTCTCTTAAATTCTCAATAGTTTTTTCGATGATCGATGAGAGTGTTCATCAAGAAACTAAAGATAAAGCACATCAAGATATGAATACCCATTTCATCTATAAGAGATTGAATAATAAATCCATTCCATCTGTAAGAGATTGAGTAATAAATTTCAATTTGCAATTTCGACACAATCTCATTCATCTTGGTTTCTTAAAATTCAATTTCATTATTTGGAATATCTTAATGAAGTGACAAGAAGCCTGCATTAGAGTAGTGAATGACGAGTAAGAGACTGCGGAGACAAATAGGCACGAATCAATTACATTGAAATAAATAGCCGACTTCGGAGTTCACTAAATTGAGCATATCATGCAATTTGTAGCTTTGAAAGATAAGGCACGAAAAGGGAGGGAGGGCATCATATATACAGCATGGAAAGAACAATTTTAGCGGATAAAAAATCGACTTAACTCAACATTTTCATATAATCATTACGAAAGACAACTGAAATTAATTAATAGATTAGAATTCCAGGACTTAATACTAAAATAATTATCATTTTTAATCAGTCTAACAACGTCACTTTTGATAATACAGATGGTTCGATGAAAACAAATTATAAAAATATTTAAAAGATGAACATAACACAAAAATGGAAGGTGCAGTACAAAAGAAGAAACAAAATAAGGTTCCTAACTCAACTGTTTTTAGAATTTAGTGATACGTTAGAATGAGTGAATAACGATTTCCACGCACCAACGACAGCATCAATCACTATCTGATGAAGAACGATTATTTCCAGTTGATAAGATAAGTACATAGCCATATGTCATGATTCATTCTAGAACAACAAAAATTTCATATTTTAAAAATATATACATATAAACATCATATATAGAGCATTTCACACACTAAATCAGCATCGGAGTAATAACAGTCTGTCAAACCCAATTTTATCAATATTCAAAGACTTAATGCTGTCAAATTTGGATTCAACGAGCTATTATCATGGAGATCAGTGTAAATGCCGGAAAAATCGGCCAACAGCAATAAATCGGAAAGCCAGTAATTAGCTCCAACTGATGTTCTTTTCACCGCTGAAAACAATAAATTTCGGAGATTTTCTGAGATAAGAATTAAATTAAAATATATTGTTAGTCCTAAATTATTAGATTTATTTGCATATCACTAAAAAAGTTTCAATTATCAAGTTGTGATTTATGATTATTTTTCTGTTAATTTCTCATTATTTACATAAAGTCTTTTCATAAATAATGTCTTTCAATCCATATAATTATTCGCCTTAATCTTCTTAAATTTAAACAAATGAGAATTTAATTGCAGCACTTAAATCAAAAAATTCTATTATACAATAAATAGTTTATAATAATATAAAATAAATATAAAAGCTATGACAAAATGTTAAACGATCGAACTTCCAGTGATATAATATCACTTAGGAAATTCATAGTCTTTGCTTTATGTATTTTCTCAGTGAACTTAAATACTTTGGTAATAAAATATCATTTAAATACCAAAAAACATGTGAATTCAAATTAATAAAATACTGGAGAATTTTGACAGTCAATTTTTTATTTATAAGCTTCTAAACGAAAAAATTCTTACCATTACAAAATAAATCTACATTGCTGTGAAAGTCATTGAAAACTTTAAACAGTCGCAGCATATTAAATGATTCTGCGCTGCAGCGACGAAATTTGGTAATCAATACCAAACATTCATCCAATACATTCCATAACTTCACATGCTTCCAACCCAAAAGACAATGCCGATACAATTTTTTCACAAATCGCCTAAGAATTCGAATGTAAATGAGCTGTGATGAAAGCATGACATAAATTTTAGCACATTCTGTGATATTTTTCATTCGACTGTCCCGACATAATTTTTGTTCAATTGTTTCGGTCGATTTACATGATTGAAACCTATATTAGGATTTAAGATATTTTTAAAATGGTTTGATAGTTCGGAAAATTCTGCGTTGCTTTATAAAATTTCAAACTCACAAGTAATTAGTTCGATAATTTCAGTTGAAGGGAAAACTGGCAAAGCAAAATACACTTACCTGTGCAGTTCGAAAGCTTCTTCAATTGTCCTTATCGTATCCAAATCTTTCTTAATATCAAGTATTTAGTATGGAAATAAATTCATTATTTACAGCGAAACAGTTTATTTAGTATGCAAATAAATAATATTTTCATGCTATAATTACAGTAAATAAATTCGAAGATATCAAATAGAACCTGATACTCGTCCACAATCGTACGTCTTATCTGTTCATGGAAAAAATAACGCATTGCTCGAACGAAATTCCACATTCGCATTTGCATCATAGCAGTACTGTAAGTACAAGCTTTCTGGACCATCATTTTCTGCAAAGCCATTGCTCTTTCATTTAATGAAACGATGAAGAGTCTTCATTAAAATTATAGGGACGATCAGTGAAGTTCACACCTTGCTTTAACTTAAAAGCGACAAGATATAACCATGTAACAAACTTTCATTGAAAAGATATTGCATGATACTAGTGATATCCCTTGAAGGGCTAAGTGCTTCAAAGGATCAGGGTCAGCACTGTTTGCATAGTAGCGGTGAAGGGATGTTATTAGCATCATGCAATATCTTCTTAATGACTACTATTTGTGCTCGTTCTTTGAGGATTAAATTTAAAAATTTTAACTTTTTATTTCAAAACGATTCGAAGATAAAAAATTAACCTCCAAAGCTGCACATTCCACTGTAATTCTCAGTAATAAATTCCAAATACGCTCATAATTAATTAAAACTGAAGGGGTAAAAATGATATTTAACGGAAAAGGCGGTTTGTAACGTACTTTCAGATCATCTTCTTCATCGAATGAACCTTAAGTAGATAAGCAAATGAAGTTACATCAAACATCTGAACACCAATATATCATGAGAAGAGAAGCAAAATTATTGAAATAATGACGAAATATGATGGCTAATCATGCTGTACTTTTCAATAATTACCTTTGCTTGAAGTAATATAACTTACTGGTTAATTGTGAAAATCCATGTACAAGAATCGAAGAATAATTCTTGGTTATAAGATAATCTATTACTTCATCTAGCCAGAAATTCTGATAATTTACGGATTTGGAATCCAAATTTGAAGCATTTTCTTCGTTTAACAAAACGCTGAAATTACTTAAAAGAAAGTTCGCTAAGAAAGCTGACGTACAGTCACATTAAAGAGTCTAGTATACACCACAGAAGTTAAAATTGAAGACACATAGTTCCAATATTTACGTAATAGAGAAGACAGACTAGATAACCTCACGAAAATTTCTGTTATATATTCATCGTCACATAAATAGACATCTCGAAGAAGCTGAGCAGTTTGTTTGAAATTATCGATTATACAACACCGTGTAGATATGGCATGCTGCGAAAGGTAAACTTTTCTAAATAAAGAAAACTAAACAATTCAGAAATTACTGGACATTTGACGAACGAAATTTGAAAAATCTTCGTACAAAACAGGTATTCATCCTGTAGAAATCAGAATTGAATCTTTTACCTATCAAAATTTCTTTAAAATTAACCAAAATCGTAATATCATTCTTTCATTCACTCATCAGTGCAGTTAAAATAATGCAATCCTATTCCAAACCGCCTCAAATTTGCGGGTAACAATTGTGAAACATCTCGTTTAATCCATTTGCTGACTAACATAAACATTATTGAAACTTTTGTTCCTCATATATGACTTACTGGAAGTAGAAGTCCAAAAGTGATCCTATAGTATTCAACAAATCTGAGCTTAATGCTTTCCGAATCTCTTCTTCTGAGAGTTCATTTATTAATTTATTCTGAAAAAAATTATTTTCCCCAAAACGCTTCTGATTCATACTTTTAAATTTTACTGAAATTTAAAAACACTGAGTAAAATCAGTTCGATCGAATGGGTGAAGAAATGCTCCAACCATCTGCTCTTTCTCTCCTACTTTTTGGACTGAACTCGTCCTGAAATCGAAGAAGAATGCAACTTACACTAAAAGGTTAATTATTGCCGTATGTAAATCACTTAATTATATCATATTCTCTACAAAGGGATAACTGACAACGGTGACACAGCTCGACTTCTCAGAATCCAATTGTTCCAAATTTGACCAAGCCAACATTAATTTTCGGAATTTTCCCTCAGATAGCCATACGTCGATAAAATTTTTAGTGATGAGCATTGACGCTTCTAGACCAATAGATTTTTTTTCTCCAGAAACTAAAATAAAGGAATATTGGTAATATTAATAAGGAATACATAATCATTGTTATGCAGCTAAAGTCCATCTGTAAGCAGCACATTAAATTCTCATAGAACTGGTACTTAATAAAATCAAACAAATCAACAAATTCAAAAAAAATGATGCAAAATCTTACGTACCTGTCCATTGCAGTATTTCAGTATCTGTTTCCGAAAAAGAAAAAACACCATCGCATGGATCTGCTTCGCCTTTCATGAGCCAAAATAGGATACATCTACAAAGTTTTTAAAACATAAAATCAAGGAAGAAAGAATAAACGCAAAAAAAACATAAAAATGGATGATCTTTTGATAATATAGAAATGTTTTTTAAAAATGCCTCCAGCTACTTCCAAATTTACGTGCTTCTCAGCCTAACAAATATTTACAGAAAATTCTATTTTCTTTGGAAAATGAAGTCGCAAATCACTTACTCAGCATAATGCCGAAGAAGCGCGACAAGAATATCATCACAAAATTCTCTAACAGCTGGTACTATTCGTCCTTTTGTAATTTTTACGGCATAAAAAATATCTAACAATGTATTTGCCTATAAGATTCAGAGAAGTTATCCGATTTGTTAAACATATTCTTAAAAGATTGCTCGTTCTAACATGTTAGATCAGAAATATTATGTTTTTAACTTCAAGCTACCAAAGAAAAAGTAAGTAATTAGAAGTTCTGGACATTTGGCATTGTAGACCAATAGCTTTAAAAAGACTATCCTTAAAGAGTAGCAGAAGATGCAAATATTTTTTGATTGTATTATAATGAAATTCGAGCGATCATAAACAGGATTATATTATCTCGTTATTTTCACGATCTTTAAATATAATTTTCAATCAACAAGCTTCAAAAATCAATGTAAATTAAGAATTTACATTCTGCGCACCAGTAGTTTGTACATGGAAAACTACATCGACAAAGTGGTTGAAAAAGCTGCACATATCAAGAAGTTCTCGCAATAACTTTCTAATATTTTCGCTATCACATTCCTCTTTGTCATCGACATAGTGTCTTACTTCATCCCTTAATGAAAAGAACAAGTAAAAAACAGCAGCCATAAGGCAAAAGCAAATTCTTGAATTAACGTCGGATGAATCAAAATTAATTTTTCTATTGCACTTCAAATCATTTCAAGCAGAACAGTTTTGCAGATTCATTCTGTCAAATAATAAAACAGTTAGCCCCGGTCACAGTATAAAAAAGTAATTTGGCCGGAATTTAAAATTAATTTCCATAGTTTTACAGAAGTTAACTCCGTTAGATCATAGTCAAATCACAACCGGAATTTCCACAATTGTTCCGAGGCACATAACTTCATACTCAATAACGCTCTTGTTGTATTTTCCCGAATTTTACAACCCAACGTAGAAGAGTTTTCAACAAAATCGGAACAACGAAGGAATCGTTCCAAAGAAAATAACCTAAAAAGAGTTATCGATCCAATCTTTAAAAATATTTTCAACAATGAACAAAATATTTGAACATTTTCAATAGCAGTTACTTATTTAGTTCGAGCTGCTACTCAATTTTTGTTTCAGAAAACGCAGATAACACATATTTCGATATTCTCCTATCTTTCTCACATCGCATTTCGAACAGTCATTTTAAAAAAAAATCAAATAAAAAAGGAAAGCTTTGAGATCATCTATCTCAAATGCCAACAAATGGTATACTTGTTTAGCTCGATATTTAAAAGTTAAGGCAAACAAGGTGTTACAGAGTGACCTGTTAGCAAACTCCAGAAATGGTAGTGCTAGTCGTGGCAACAAATTGACATCTTCCAATTCCAAAAATAACTTATTTTTTTTAGAAATGCTGAAAAAGCCATCCTGAAAAAAAAAGTGTTGAATTCCACTATTTCATGAAAAAACGCAGCATGAAGGAGCAGGATAAAATAGTTCTGTAATCAATCCTCAAAAATTACACTTTTTCATTAGCAAATAAATGAGATATGGTATTTAAACATTCTTTTGTTAATCATTAACTATAGTTTAGACCAGAAATAAGCGCACAGTTTTAATGTGAGACAATTCAATATACTGTGAAAGATTTAAGATGTGACTTACAGCATTTCTGCGAAACAAAATTGATTCTTCACCCATTAATACATGTGCTAAACATCTGAGACATTCATGCCACGAAATCTAAAATAAAATAAAAATTACCATCTCAGCATTACATTTTACTCTTTCTAAGGGTTACGATTCTATTCTAAACTTTCAAGAATTACAATTCTACTTTTTAAAGTTTTTCGATGGAAACAGGGAAAATTACTTTGGAACTAGCTGTGATACAATAAACCTCCCAGATTTCAGACTTTTCGAAAACAATACATAATTTGCAAATTACTAACTATGTAAAACACATCCCCAATTCTTAATTTACATAAGCTGCGCAATTCTGGATCACATGCTCGCGGATGTACACGTCCTCTTTCATCAACGATGGTACGCCGAATCTTTTCATAACTTCCAGTGCTTTTCGAAAGATTTATATCTAAATGCTAATTATTGCCGAACTTTTTTAACACGTGTACACATTTTAGCAAAGTTAGGAAATTACTTAGATGAAAAGTTGCTTGCAAACAAAAAAAATTAGCCAATACTATTTGATAAATGTAAGCAGCAATTAAATTTTTGGCTTCTTCTGTTTTTGAAAAAGGTTAATAAGAAGCTACGACAAGCATATGGATATGCCAGGAGAATTTTAGAACCCACAGAAAAATGAAAACATCGAATAGCATTTTACGATATATATTGAAGATAATCATACCGATTTTTACTGTTTTTTCGCCACTACAACATGGTTGATGTTGAACCACGACCTCCTTGCTCTCCTTGCTATCTTCGTGACGTGACTGAATGTAAATATTTCATTATTTAATTCCAAAACTCTTGATTTAAAAGGTGAAACGGGAAAAAATTGGAGCAGAAAACCAAAATTTTTAGTCAACTTACTTACCTGATACTTCGAATCTATACGTGATAGGTTTGTGCGATCAGTAAAGGGCCTTCTCGAGAAAACAGCATGGTTTTCCAAGATCTAAATAGATTCAAAAAATATAGATAAAATTGAAAAGAATTTCTTGCAGTTAACACAAAAGTTGTTGCCACAGTTGATTAAAATTATTAAATGAAAACAACAGCTACGATGAATGCTAATGTAAAGTGAATAGTACTGACAGTATACTTATAATAAGCTAATATCCAAGAAATTTGTGATTCAAATACATTTTACACCTGTAATAGCAATTGATCTTACACAAACAGTCATAAGTAAACTCAGTTTGAAAGAATGCAGCGACAAAATGAATCATTTAAATTTGAAATAGGTTATTTACGGTTTGTTTCCAGATATTGAGTATTTCAGCTCCGAAACAACGAGCCGAAGTTTCGGTTTGGCTTTTATCGATATAATTATCACCAATCCTTGACAAAAGTAGCAGAAAACGCATTATCTCCTCGCTTGAATCGGTTACCTCACGAAGCTTACCTTAAATAAGTTCATTCAGTTCTATTAGGCAATTAATTACAATTAAAGATTAATCATACTGAGAAAAAAATTGGTACTTCCTTAATCGGCAAGGGTAGTCTTATAACAGAAAATGGATCCAGTAGATTGCATCACTGAGACTACTCTCTTATTCAGTACAGCATGCCTCTTCATGGTTAAAGAAGATTAAACCATGCTTTTTAGTAAACCTCTTCTTAAGGTTGGCGATGGTTAAATATCCAAGAAGGTCATGAGACATACCTATGAATGAAACTAATTTTTTGGCCCGATATCCATTATCTTCGTTGTTAAGAAAAACCACCGCTTTATCGATCATAGATTGAAGAGTAATTTCCTGAAACTGATGCATATTGGCAAGAAAAAATGATAGTAGGAAGACTTAATAGATCTCGTAGAAAAAAGTATTATGGCAAGGCTGAGAAAGAAAATAGCTGAAAATTTGACGAAAAACTTCTAATTTCCTATCTTGTGCTTTCATTTTCAGCCTAATCATACAGCGTTTTTCCATATACTTCATTGAATTTCAGAAGCCACTATTTTACAAAACTTTGGTTAAATTTCAAAGACCAAAATCTTACCTTTTCTTGTTTTTCAAGCGACTTCAGCAGTATATCCTCGTAAAATTGGGCACGTTCCGAACCGGTACACGGCCGACCTATCAGGGAACTGAGAAGCAGTGTTATCCGACCCCATATTGAATCCCCTTCCAACTGGAGAGTTTCATTGCGGTACATTTTACCTAAAACATATTATTGTCACATACAAAAATCAAAATCTTCATCCCCATAGATTTCTTTTATTTATTTTTCTATCATACTTAAGATTAAACTTTTTTATAAGCAAAGTAATACATGACGTTTAAAAAATATTGTACCTATAAAGTTGAGCGAATACTCAAAGGTTCAAATATCACAACACAAAAAGTTAATAGTGACTAAAAATAAAAATCAGTAAAGTATTAATAGTAATACGAATGAGGTTTTAGTTTTCCGGGAACCAATTATCATTCTTAGAAAACACTAAAAAATTAATTTGGGGAAAATAAAAATACTGTACTCCTCATTTCTCTATAAACCTTTTGATGCCACATATTGAACATATTAGCATCAATTTTTTGACTAAGTCTAAGAAGTTAAAAATAAAAGTGAAATTACGAAGCAGCGTTAATCTCATTTTATTTCATATGGAAACAATCAAAATCAAAATTGAAATAAAATTTTCGCGGCTCTGAGCAGTTGGCAAATTAAGACGGCGTGTCTCCCAACACGAAAACTATCGAAAGCGGATGCACAACAATGCTTGAAAAGTAGTTCTGTACACCTCACCGAAGGATTAAGAGGATTAGTCTCGGGAGTGCGGGGTAGGATCTTGCTCGTTTTTCCTTCTTTCTTCTTTTTACTTCTTTGGTCTGTTGATATGCATCCGTTATTTTCGATCGTTATTTCATTTTATTACATCTCTATGAGAATTTGTCATTGCGTAACATCCATACACGCATACATGTGCACCTCCTACAAATGTAACCAACCTATTCATGAATTCTTGCATATATCTATATACATGTCCCAACTATTCATCCATAAGCATTTAGACGCATATCTTAAATCTCTATAGCTGTACATACGTGAATACGCTTGCGTACGTCGACTTAGATGTCATAAAATTGGTGCAGTAGTTGTTGTGTATCCGTTGTCATTCTTAATTCTTTCTTCATAATCACAATTGTATTACACATCTGGCAGTTAATTCATTTGTAATATTTCTGAAATCATTGTTTTTTAATGCTTTCATTTCCGAATATATGTACGCATGTTTGTCCAATACTTTAATATTATTAACTGATAGGCTCTATTTTTCAGGGCGGTAAAATGAGTGACATGATGATAGTTGTAGACGATGTGGAGGATGAGGAAAGAAATGAGAATTTAGTAAGAGATTACCTGTTATATCAGCTCCAATTGAATTTGCTTCATGCTCAATGGGATGACAAATCGCATGATGAAGCTGGTTAGTTGTTTATTTTTTAAATATTAATTTCATCATTTAAAGCTTGCATAAGAGATTAGTTGAGATTCTTAGGTAGTTTCATTTTTCATTGTTGTGCAGAAAAATAGCAACTAATGGACGAGGATTAAAGGGTTACGGCACATATTCACGGAAAAGTTAAAAAAACTAAAAGGCTAAAAAACTGGTGTAAATCTTTGAAATTCAGTCTAAATTGGTTTAATTGATCCGATAGTTTGTAATATGAATGCTTTGTTGCGTTTGAATATCCCACTGTTTTTTTGATGTTCTAGAGGCTGATAACTTCTGGACTGTTCCAGATTTTCGGAGATAATGTACTTTTCGAAAAGTTGAGATCAGGAATCATCGCTGTGAAAACATCGTTTTGAATGATTTATTTACTTTTTTAGTTGAAGAATTAATGGAAGCTAAAAGAACAATGCAGGAAATGGAAGATGATGTTGTGAAGAAGTTCGTTGCTTTAAATAAACAATATGAACACATCAATGGCAAGTTTATTGGTATATTTAGCTGTACAAGGGATTTTTGCCTTATTTTAGTAGAATTTGGATAGAAAATTGCGATAATTTTTTCCATTGAGTTTTCAGGAATAATAGACTCGGATGAAGCGCGCGAACTGCATGATTATCAAAAAATGGTACTTCTCTTCGAAGCTTTCTTTTCCAATGCATTTGCACTGGATGGTTTTATTTTTCAAGTTTTATCTAACTTATCTTGCGCTTTGTGGCGTTATAATCATGCGGAATGTATTTTTTGTACAAAAAGCATTTCGTGAGTTATGTCTTTCAGCTGGAAGAAATTGAACTTTTATCAATTAAGCGAAAGACTACTTTGGATAAATTCAATGGTGACGCGGAAGCATACTTGGCAAATCGTCAGGCTCTAACGGTAAGTTTTAATGTTGTTTTAACATTCTTGTCATGTATTGCTAGGATACACTAAGTTCTGTTATTATATATTTTTTTGCTATGGTTTTATCAAATTTCTGTTGTCAGAGAAATATGATGGAATCATAGCAACAAAATAAATATGTTACTGTTATTGCAGTTCGTGGCTTCACTGATGCACTCTAAAAATATAATTTGGTATCACTCAGTCATTGCTATTGTATGTCCCAGTGAAACGTTTAAGCCAAACTTGGTGAATTTGTATGATAAGTTCAAGAAAGGGGGTTTACTGAAAAACTGTAACTTACAGGAGCAGATGGCACAGCTTAAAGAAGAAATCGAAAATCAGCAAGAAATGATTGCAGCGCTGAATGCCCATATATCGAAAATTGATTCTAAGTTGTTATCTCCTTAAGTATGTGATCATAAGGTAGATTTTGTATAAAAAAGTTGTGGAATGGCATTGCGGAGTCTGGTCTTCTTTCATTTCATTCCTTGTATAAAGAACATGATCTTTAATTATATCTTCATAAATGCTCGAATTCATTCTCAAAGCTTTATAGTCCAGTTGAGAATTTATTGAATTTTGTAAAGGGAGTGAAATTATTATGTAGAATAAAAAACTTGAGAACAATGTAAAGACTGTTGTTAAATACTCATCAATTCACATGAATAGACAAGATTTTGCATAGTTTATTCGATATGAAATTTCGGCAACAAAGACGATGATTCTGTGGATGCCGTTGGTGTTGTCGTTGCGACCTGAAATAATACCGGTCGACACCTGGAATAAGTGGCCATAGCAGCTGATGTTGATGTAATTCCGTCTACGGACATCGTTTGTTTGGATAGAATTGTCCTAGTCTCTTCCCAATCGTAGATGTCGTCCCATTTTACATTCGCTTCAAGCATTAACTGGAATTAAACAGAATAAGTTGGACATCTGGAAGGAATTCGAAGAGCCGATGAGTTATTAGCATGTCAAATGAACAGCCTTCGGTAGGAAATATCAATCTTCTTATCTGACGTGAAATTACATTATCAATAAAGCTACAAATCATCAAGTTTTAGCTGGATGTTTAAGATGCTTTGATGGTAGCTCTTTACTGCGATTTTTGACGTACTCAGATTGTGTTTTTTTCTGAATCGTAGTCAAGAATCAGGACAACGTATACAGTTGGCTCGAATAAGTTCTGTGATCCTTACATATTTTCATTCATAAGTTTTAGTGTTATCGTCAATCTTATTTACTAAATCCCCAGCGAATTTAACTCTTTCCAAGGTTCCAGATAGTCTTCGAATAAACTGCTTACTTAAAGCAAGAAACATTAACTTTTTCAAACATGTACTGGATTTGTTCATACGGTGGATTAGCTTCAAAGCTAAGTCCATCAATCATCATGAATACGTAATCAAGAATGGGAAGTGAGTTTCGGAAGAACTTTTTCCGCTCATCGTCCAATCGAATCCGTAATTTAGCTCGATATACCTCTTCTTTCAACTGATTTTTCTTCTTTTTCATCTCTTCAATGTAAATAAGTTAAACTGAAATTGGAATTTAGTACTTTAATACTGTAAAAAATGAAGCGAACATTCTTTCTTACTAGAAATGGTTAAATTGTTGTTGTATAAAGATATTTTAGTAATTTACTCTAAATTTGAAATAAATTTAAAAAAGCAAAATTTACTCTTCGATGTCCTCCACGGTAAAGCACCAGTAGATAATTCAACCATAACGTATAGCCATGATTCCAAATCATCTCGTCGGCCTGAAATAAAATAATATGGTTATCATTTAATTTAAAAATTAGATAAATGTTGATGGAATGGAAGGAAGAACAAACCAAGTTCAAGTTTTTTATGTGCTCGTAGTGAAGCATATCGTGTTGTACCACGAAAAATCGAATGATGTTTTACTGGTAACATTGATCCATCCTGTAGTTTTCATCAAATAATTTCGTTGAAAGAAAAAAATGAAAGTCCTAAAAATCTTCTAACTGAAAGTAAAAAAATTGAAACTTAAAAATTTCAATAGTATACCTGATTTCGATAGAAACGAGAGAGTCCAAAATCAAAAATATAAATATTCCTGCATTCTTTGTTAATACCCAATGCAAAATTACTTGGCTTAATATCTCTGGAATTTATATACTCATTTTCAAATGAAATTTTTAAATTTAAATTTATATAAACATAAATCAAGCAAAATTAAAATACTTAATAGTAATGAGTAATTAATTGGTTGAGAGGATTGTAAAGAAAGTTTCTTTGTAAGTTTCATGTATTATTTATAACTAGAACATGCAAGATTAAGAAGGAAAGAATGAGAAATTAATTAACCTTGAAATAACAGAAATTTCATGAAGTTCACGAATTGCTGAAAGCGTTAACAATCCGACACGTATTGAAGTATTTGTGGAAAAATGCTTCGTTTTTCTTTCATGTCGTAATTTTGATAAATCTTTACCGAGTAATGTCATTACCACAAATAAATAATCATCTTGTCTTCCCTATGATTTCGAAAGTTTAATGAATAATTAAAGTGAAATTTTATCATTGATAGAGTTATCAGAATGATCGCTTCTTTATTACTCCTTTTTCTTGCATAGTTTTTAGAATTTAATCGTTAATTTAATTAAATGACTACAATTTTTGAATTATCCAATCTTACTTTAAATAATGTACTAAAAAAATCATTTCCGATTTGCTAGCTTCCGGAAATATAAAGAACTTTTCGAATTAAAATAATTATATATTTTAAGCTTTTATGAAATCAATTAATTATTCGTATGATACAATATTACTTTCAGTGAAGAACTTACATCATCAATATATTTGCAAATTTGTTTACAATCACATTCACATGCTCTCTTTAATACTTCAATCTCATTGGGAATTTTTGTTTGTAATATATTTTCTCTTTTCAATGCATAAATTCTGAGCAAACAATAAGAGTTACAAAAATATTATAAAAATTAATTTTTAGTTTTTCAATTTTTTGTAAATAATAGCAAATAATTAATTATACTAATTAGTTAATTATGCTAAAAAATTAATTGTATCATACTAAAAGATTAATACTAAAAATTATACTAAATTATACTAAAAATTATACTAAATTATAAAAATTATACTAAATTATAAAATTATACTAAATTATACTAAAAAGCAATAAAAATTGCAAAAATATTATGAAAATTAATTTTTAATATTTCAATTTTTTGTAAATAATAATGAGTAAGTAATTATACTAATAAATAGCTTAGCAAATATCTTCGCAAGATTATATAATGATCTATTAAGATACATGATAATACTACTCTTACTTAATGAATTTGGCAATTTCAAACTAACAGAAGATAACTTAAAACAAAAGAGATTAGCAGCACTATGACTCATAGTTATCCTAATGATATACACAATCGTGAACTGTGCATTGATATATATATTTACATTCAAATTTGATGCTATTAAAATTTAAAGATCAGTCAGTGATATTCATATGTTATTAAATTGAATGAATGCAAATCACATGAATGCATGCATGCATACATGCATGCATTTGCATGATAAATTAAATCTTTCAAAAATAAATTTTGAAAATATGGCAATAAATGAATGAATGAATATTAAGTATAAGATGAATAAAATTATTTGAACTTTTTAGTAGCTTCACACATGCATTCGTAAACTTCACCATAGCCACCTTTTCCCAAATATCTTTCCAACCGATACACTTTTGAATTCATTGAAACAAAAAATTTATTCATTCCAATCATTGTATCACATTTACCATTTATTTCCTGAAATATTTAAATAACTTATAAATATTATTCGATATTTAAATGAATTGAATTTAACTTAATGATCAATGAAATAACTATTTATATCATATAAATAATCATTTCATTAATTTATTATTCTATGATTATTTCTGGACTAATTCTATTTCCGTACAAGTATGCATTCAAAAATTTCACATATAGCAATAGTTCAACTTATTAGACTGGTAATTAATTAATCGATTACTATATTGTATTGTCTAATTTTTCCATGCTATAATAAGTATCGATGAATAGAATTATTATCATTTCTAAAAAAATAATTTCAACCTTTTTAATAGAATTGTTATTTGGATTGAAGTTTTCTTTTCCTTGAATATTTTTGTCAGTTTTCGAGTTACTAAGAGCTTCCATTTCAAATTTGAATAATTATATTTAACCGTATTAAATATCTGTCATTATCAGAGATAATTTATTAAATTGAAAAAGCTTATTTGATTGAAAAGATAAGATTAGAAAAGTAATTCAACGAATTCTCCTACCCAACGAATTCTTATTTAATAATATTAAGCAAATAATTTGACTTTTAATTAATTAATTCCATTGATACTCTTTATTGACAACAATGGGAATCTTATTTTGATCATTTTAATGAAAGATTTTCAATCATTTATACCACTTAACTATTCATCCGTCGAAAGTTTTTAATTAAAATGATAGCGTAAGAAGGTAACCAACCTTCCACAGGTATGATCAAATATAAAAAATACCTCAATCATGCTGAAATAAATTAATTTATAATCTACAAATTATTCTAGCAACATCTTCAAATGTCTATTTTAGGATTGTTTGATTGAAAAGCTTCCGATTAAATTCTGCATTATATTTGCTTCATTTGATTGTATTTTGAAATTGAAGATTTTTTCATACGGTATTTGTTTAAATGAATACTATGCTTCTATATTTCATGTTTGATAAGCAATTTATAATTAATTTTTACTTGAACGCTTAAATGCTTGCAGTTTGCATGTAAAACTTTTAATGCACTAAAATGCAATAAGCAATTATTTAAGTTCATTTAGAAGTACTTCGTTTTACATCGAGATAGTTTCCAATAGGACGAGGAAAGATCATTTCTCAAATATATAAAATCCCTGCGAATATTTATGATAGCATATTTTAAAGGATAATGTTAGTGAGGAGGAAAGATTTGCGTAGCGCGTTACTAGTGTAGCGATAATTTCACGGTTTGACGCTAATGGTTTAGAATCGATCGAATGGATCGGTGTATGGCAGGTAGTCTGGGCTTTTGGAAATATATTATGTGGTTGCATTCTAGGTCGTCTAGGTCTAATAGATTGCACGAGACATGTAGTTTTATATGGCAACATTTTCTTAAGCATAGGTTTATTATAGCACATTGGTCGTATAACTGCTACTCGTGCTTTAAATATTACTAACGTTGTTGTGATATTCTTTATGTCTTTTGATTAATGATTTCTTATTGGGGTAAGTGTTTCTTATCCAGGATATAAAACTCGGCTCACTATGGATTTGATTTCTTTCTTAGTACTAAAGATATTAGATTCATGCTACAGTAAGTAACAAGTATTATCCATTATTTATTGGAATAATTGTTTCGGAATCTCGTCATGTATGTTAAAATGTCGTAGGATGTGTGTTGCTATATCTCAGTTAACTATGGAACGAACCTCATCGGTTTGCTCTCTTTTCTCATTCTGATCTAATATATACTGTGAAAGTGTCAATTTTTCGGAATACAGATCATCTTAGAGCATTTGTCGAAGTAACATCATATTTTATACAAGAACATGTCCAGTAACAAGGTCGCCGTTCGAAAGAGGTAATGAAAATGCACTTCTCTATTTAATATTAAAAGTACGCTTTTGGATATACATTTTTTAGATATGTTTATGCCAATCATAGTCATTTTCAATCGATTACTTTTTAGAAGCTTATATTATTGTCATATTACTATTATATACTGTCATACACTATTCCGTTGTAAATCGTAATATAGGAATAGTAATTCAGACAACTTCATATGATATATGCAATCTAGAATTTTCAATCAAACCAAACATACACTGCTATAATACTTGGACAGTTGAGATTGGACGACCCTTATCATTCATAACTTGATGTTAATAGTTTTATGACTAAAATCATGAATTTCTTCCGAGAGACCTACAATGCACAACAGATTAACGTGTCGCCACATCACTTTTAAGACATATTATTGAATATTTTGACGTTTTGAATACGCTTATGAATGTGTGCTTATTGTAGTGGACAGAAACGGAGGCGAGAGGAAGATGACTCCACTTCGGTACAGGATGAAGAAGATAGTCGAAGCGGACTCACAATGGTTACCATACCAAAAGGTTTCTGCTGTTTACTTTTTTTATAAAGAAATGAGGAGTTTTAGAATATTTTTTAAATTTGTGAAAACAAGTGGTTATGCTTTTTTATCCTTAGTCTCATCACTTTTGCATTATCCGCTTCAAACTATGTTTCTTTCTCTTTCCTTTCTTTCTGTCCTTTCATAAATGATATTCGATATCGTTTCATTTTTGCAAGTTTTTTCCAAGAGCATGTTTCTAAAACTAATAAGAGTAATGCATGGAGATACAGAGGCAGGTATCTAACTAATTTATAATGAAGTATTTCTTGTAGGGCTGACCAAACGATTTTTTAGATTGCTCGTAACATACAGTACAAGCTTCAACAAATTTAAAGTATAATTCTGTTATGAATTTAAAATTTTTTCAGGAAAGGAAAAAGATGTGGAATATTCTGCACCAAAGTCACAAAAATTGACAGATTTGGATGAAGAAGGTATTAAGGAAGGAGAGGTAGTCAATCACTTGTCATTGGAATTTAGAGAAAGCTAAAAAATCATATTTTCGTCTTGATGATGTTAGAGTTCCTAGATAATGGGAGTATTAAGGTCATTCCTTTCATAAAATTCGCGATTCCTGTTATCAAAAAAATGGGAGGATTAATGCGCCAATTTTTCTGATCATATATATTATCATATTCCTTGATTGTAAAATATACTTTGCCAAATCACTTCACATTAGTTCTTTGTCAAAGAATGGGTTAAACAGTTCTTTTTCGAGTTCTATCATGTAATAAAATAATGTATTTGCAGGATGGTAACGTCATCGAACAAACGCATTATATTATCATACCATCGTATGCAGCATGGTTTGATTACAATGCTATTCATCAAATCGAAAAACGTGGAGTGCCTGAATTTTTTAATGGACGAAACAAGAGCAAATCACCAGAAGTGTATGGCTAAAAATTATCTTTAGTTCAAAAATTAAATGAGATATTTCACTTTTTGCGTTTTTATATATCTTCTAAATAAGAATCTTGTTTTTAAAACTGAAAACTAAAAAATTGGCTGAGTTGTGATGCAGTTGGAGTTTTACAAGCAATTTTGTTATAGTTATATGGCTTATCGCAATTTCATGATTGACACATATCGTTTGAATCCTTTTGAATATTTATCATCTACGGCATGCCGAAGAAATCTTGGTGGTGATGTATGCTCCATACTACGGTAAGTTTCTAGGGTCTGTTTCTAATTTTTAATAGTCGAATAGCAAGAGATCAAGTAAAACCAATTTAAGAAGATATTACTATAAAGATAAATAGGCCCGATGATTATTCAGTCAGTTCTGATTACCACTTGACAATTAGACATTTTATTATAGAGTGCATTCATTTTTGGAACAGTGGGGTCTTATAAACTACCAAGTTGATTCGGAAGCACGTCCAGCACCAGTAGCACCGCCTTGTACTTCTCATTTTATGGTATTGGCGGACACACCGATAGGCATTCAACCTATACAACCAACTCTGAATCTCTCTCAGGTTTACTTCCATGACTTTCTTGTTTTATTTATAAATTAATTGAAATTTAAAATCATTAAACAATCATGCTCACTATTCATTTATCAACTAATTTAATTTGAAATGTTAATCTTTGTCGTAAAGCGGTGAAATCTTATTTTATTTGTCAATGTATTGTAGCACAAATATTTTTTTTGCGCCACGACAATAAGCGTGACAGAAAACTAAATTGTTATTAAAAAATTTGGGTCTGTGCAAATGGTTAAATGCAAGGGAAGGGAGATGGATGTATTGTACAGGGATGATGTGATAGTGTAGTTGTTATGTGAAAACTGTCGCGCGGTTTAACCTCTGATCGAGCTCTATGATGATAAAATCGCGGTCTGTTCAGATCGATTATGATTGACAAAGCGTCTTTATTCGTACGAACTCTGAGTGCTGATCAGAGAGTTTATTAAGCCTTTTCCTTTTTCCCATTTGTATAGGAGGTATCAGGGATTGATTTGTTATTGATTTAGAGTCACTCAGTTTTATAAACATTTCAGAGTGATGAAGCAAAAAAAAGCAAAGAGAAAAAAGAAAAAGTTAAAGAGAAAGATGATGAAAATACAAAAGACGAGGGTAATGTAGCGATTAAAATTGAAAAACTAGGTGATGCTGGTTTGAAAACTGATATGTATGCAAAACATCTTGCCACGATGAAGGTTGCTAATCTTTCAGTACTTAATAGTTTTTTTTCTCTTTTATTTAATAGTTTTTTACTTTGTTTCAATAAATCATTAAAAGGGAACCATTCTCAGAGTAGTTTGGTTCTAACGGTTTTTATGTTACTCATTACAATTTTAATAGGTTTTTGATCATTGGTGATTTCATTTATCAATTCTTCAAAGAGCAGTTGCAGATGCGAGGGGCAGCTCCAAACAGAGATTGGACTGATCAGGAAACACTGTTGCTACTGGAAGGTTTAGAAATGTTCAAAGATGATTGGAACAAAGTATGCAATTTATAGAGTCATAGAAAAGAGGAGGATTGTTATCAGTTTAGAATGTAGTCTTCTTATTTTGAGACTAAATAATATTTATTGTTCCTTATTCACAGTTGTTCTAGGTTGCCGATCATGTTGGATCTCGCACACAAGATGAATGTATCATGCGGTTTTTGCAATTGCCTATCCAGGATCCATATCTAGAAGAAGGGGGTGCCGAAGCAGAAGTTTTGGGTTAGCGATTGTATTATTTTAATTGTCTTTATTTTTATAGAGCTTTCAATTTAGTTTAATTATTCGTTGCAATTTATTTAATAGATTCTTTTGAGTGTCTTTATTTTCCTCGAAATAAAGAAATTATTTCAGGCCCTCTAGCTTATCAGCCAATGGCCTTCAGCCAATCAGGTAATCCGATAATGTCGACGGTAGCATTCCTCGCATCCGTTGTCGACCCACGTGTTGCATCCAAAGCTGCAAAAGCTGCATTAGGTACTCCTTGGAAATGTTTAATCAAATTGAGTTTTGTTTCAGTCAGCTTTCATTTCTATAATTTCATGTTCTTTCCATCTTCTCTCTTGTATTAATTTTTTTTGCCGCGAATATATTTATAAAATATCAATTTAATCCTGAGTTATAATGCAAAAGCGGTTCTTTTAAAAAATTGATCAGATTATATCTCGTAGTGCTTTATTTTTTCGAAATTTCGGCGGAATTGTATTTAAAGATGTTTGTTTTAAGAAGAATTCGCGAAAATGAAAGAGGAAGTGCCTCCGCTGGTTGCCGAAGCGCATGCCCTCAACGTAGAAGCAGCATCAGCAGGTGGTAAGATTGACGGCAGTGCAGGCCTGAGCGTTTCTGGAATTGCTGATGACAGAAGTAAGTCTTGGGTTTAAGATTTTTTTGGTAGAAACTGAGTAACTTCAGTTATTGAGGTTCGTGTTTTTAAGAGTTTCTGGATTCCTTTTTTATTTTTTTAGCCGACAAAGATAAAGGACCAGAACCAATGGAAGTTCAGTCTGAAGAAATGAAAAGTTGTTCTTCAGAAGGAAGCAAAGAAGCTGTCGAATCAAATGATAAGCAGAAGGATGATAATAAAAGTAAAGTTTCAGAAACAGTGCAGGCAGCAGCTGCTGCAGCACTTGCTGCAGCTGCGGTTAAAGCAAAGGTTAGTTAGGACTACGAAAAATAAGTTTTCGAAATACAAATTACGGAATTGTAAAAGAGCATTGCATATCCGCAGATAAGAATAATCTATCAAAATTTCCTGAAATAATGCAAATGCAGCATTGAAGTCGTAACCAAGAATAATGCAAATGTCATGTAAACCAGGTTGTGTAACCAGAAGTGGCTTATTACTTATTCTTTGTTTATCAAACATTAACTTATTTTGTGTACAGCCATCTTTCTGATTGCTGCAAACACCGTACTGATTTCTATTTCTCTGAATAGAAGTAAACCGTTTTGGTAGTTCTGCGGAAGTTTAGTATAGACGCTTAAGTTGAAATAGTTAATACTCGGTAGGAAATATTTTATTTTAGTAGTTTTTCAATTTTGCTGATTTAAAGTCTACTTTAGCATCTAGCTGCAATAGAAGAAAGACGCATCAAGTCATTGGTCGCCCAATTAGTTGAAACACAAATGAAGAAATTGGAAATGAAGCTACGTCACTTTGATGAACTTGAAGCAATAATGGATAAAGAGCGAGAAGCGGTAAGCATTAAGCAAATTTTTTAGAAGTGCTCTGGATTAAAGATAACTTTGTTTGAATTTAATTTTGGCTTGGATTTGCTTGAATCTTTATAATCGGCTATGCATTTGAAGCTTGAATACCAACGGCAGCAACTAATTCTGGAACGACAGTCTTTTCACATGGATCAATTACGTTATCTTGAGCAACGTGCTAAACATGAAGCACAGTCAAAACTTGTTGCTGGCGGTAAATTTTCAGTTCATTTTCAAAGTTTTTGAAGTTCACCAATTCTCGACTCTGGGCTAATGATGGCAATGAGGGTGGAATCATTTTGATCATAGATGCTCATATGTAGTCAGCACTTCTTTTTCATTACATATGGCGCAAACATTTTATGCTTTTTTGACGTTAATTTATTTTAACCTAAGAATAATTCCAGAATTACGTATGAATTCCGAATTATTCTTATATTGAAATAAATCGACTTTTAAAATGTGCTTCAACCTAGCAATTGCAGTTGAAGGAAATCGAAATTATAGGTCAGCTATCGCCAAGCTTCTTACCACCTGGTTTTGAAGTTAGCAGTCCAACTCAGGAAGTCGAAATGTTAGGTCAGCTACCGCCAGACTTCGAAGTTAGCAGTCCACCTGAGCATATCGAAATTTTAGGTCAACTAACGCCATGCTTACCACCTGGTTTTGAAGTTAGTGGTTCACTTCAGGAACTCGAAATGTTAGGTCAGCTACCGCCAAGCTTACCACCTGGCTTCGAACTTATCTGTCTACCCCAGAAAATCGAAATTTTAGGTCAACTACCGCCAAGCTTACCACCTGGTTTTGAAGTTAGTGGTCCACCTCAACCGCAGCAGCAAGTGCAAGTACCTGCACATTCTGTGGGTGTTTCAACGTCCTCTGTGTCATCCACTTGTCCATCAGCTATAGGTCTTTCATCAGTGCAAGCACAATTGCCTCATGATAGCGGTTTGTTTTTTACTATTAATTTATTTCAATTCACCAATTTTAGTGTTTTTTCGATGATAATGCAAGAGTATAGGAGGTACTGCAGTACGTATAGATAGTTCTATCTAAATCGTTTCCATTTTTTATTTATCAAGCATTGTTTCAAATATAATTTTGCTTTAGTTATTATTCTAATATTTTGGGCTTTTAGTTCAAAAAATGGATACCTCAGAGACCGCTACTATGCCTCAAGTATCGCAGGCACTTGTTCCAGCTTCTTCTGTGGTTACACCGCAAACAAGTATTACTGCTGTACCATTGCAACCAAGCATGACTGCAGTACCATCTCAGACAGTCATGTCTGCAGTACCATCACAACCAAATATGACTACAATACCATCACAGGTGCAACAACAGCAACAAACTCAGCAACACCCACAAACCCAACAACACCCTCAAGCTCAGCAACCCCAGCAACCTACCCAGACTATACAGCAGCCACCTCAGCAGCTAAGCTCTACAACTGGTACAATGAATGTCCCTCAAGCGATGGCTGTGCAGCCACAACAGCATATGCCACCACAGCAGCAGCAACAAGCTCCGCCATCTCAGCAACAGTATCAGCAAGCTCCAGTCCCACCTCAGCAACAGCCACCACCTCAGCAGCAACCTTATCCTCCTCAGGGCGGTTATCAACCACAGCAACAATATCCACAATATGCACAGAATACTTCGCCACAGCAGTATCCTCCACAAGGTATCTTGAATTTCCTCCAATCAATTTTTAATCGGTTTTGATTTAATGTATATTCTTTTTTCCATCCTGATTCCAGGCACTTATTGTTAAAAACAAGTATCATGTTTATTTGATATACGGATGAAGTTTTAGGTTATCAAAATGCGCCATCACAAGGATATTACGGGCAACCTGGAGCTCGACCGCCTTATCCGCAGCAATACGCACAGCGACCGCCTTATCAGCAATCAATGCAGGTAGATTTAAATGTATCTGACGATATCTATTTTAGTGACGTCTTATGAGATAGTTATGTATAATGGAGTCTTGAGTTCAGGCGTATGGGCAACCAGTGCGACCAAGTTTTCCGCCGACGTCGGTAGCAGCTCCACCACCAGGTCAAAGTTATGGCTATCCTCAAGGCTACCCGCCACAAGGACCACAGGTATAAATTCGAGATAAAGGACATCTTGCAAAATATATGATCGCACTGTTGAATGTAGTTAATGAAGATTTCAGATTTTCAAAAGATTTTACATTTTGAATTTGCAGTATGCACCACCCGGTGGTTACGCGCATCCGCAAGGGCAACAAGCACCTCCGCCGACTTCAATTCCTCAATCAGTAGAGTCATCGGATGCTGCTACGCCGCCTATGCATCAGGGAACACCATCCAATCAGCAATAAAGTGGTGTTTTGAAATTTGTTTTTATGATAATTGATCACAAATTTATATGATTTTTATCAAAGGTATTTTGTGTGACGTCGTTTTGTTTGGTAAAAATCGACAAATCATATTAGAAATTTTCTTAAATTGTATCAAATGGACCATCGACAAATTTAGGCAAAAGTAGTTTCTATTTGGTGATTTGGAGCACCACTTTGTTTAGCATGCATTTTTGTGATATTGGACGGTCGAATTAACACAAATTATTTTTAGTGTTTGATCATCACTGCTATTAGATATTATTTCTTTCTTCATTTGTTGCTTTGGAATTTATTATTTTGATCTAATGATTGTTGTATTTTATTGACAGGTAGGTGCCTAACTCACTAAAGAATCTAAATAGTAGATAATGAAACAATTCTTACTTCTCTGCTAAGAAAATTTGGAAATTAGCAAGTATAGAAGATTATTAGGAGATTCTCAAGAAAATAAATAACTGCATGTTTACGCAAAAATTATCTATAATATGAATAATTTTTAATTAAATGTTTTTAGTTTGGGTTAGAGCTGGACTGTCTTTTCGTCTTGATATGTTAATGCGAACGAAGTCGCGAAAATTTTAGGATGAATCTTATAAGTCACTATTATAAGAAGAAAGGGAACGTGAAAATCACGGAGCTGAGTTTTTTTATTTGCAGTTTAAAAATTATTTTAAGCATTGTTCCTTTTCCAAGGAATTCTTCCCATTTGTATGTATTTTTCACAAATAAAATTGTTTTTTCATTTTGTTTCATAATTCTTAAACGTGTTGATTTATACGTTGCAATTCCGATCCTGTAATAGATTGAAATCTTTGTCAAAGTTTTGATTTTGCAAATCAAGTGTTTGTTATAATTAGAAGTTAATCTATTAAGATAGGGTATGCATGGGTCGCTCTGGTCGCTTCATTCTATCTTCATTTACTTGTTAAAGGTAGGAAGTTTTTTTGTTTTAAGCTGGTTATAATCGTATTTGGTTGTATCTGAAGATTAAATAAGCTAAGAACAGCAACGTGTTGTTCGTTCGGCTTAGTTGTAAGTGCTTGAGGTGTTGAAAAGTAAAATTGCATGGAAGTAAAGTGTCATGTTTCATTAAAACGAATAATACAGTTTGCCTTTTGGTAAAACCTTGATAATTCTTGCAGTGAATCTGTGCTATGTTTAAATTTTGTGAAAGCTTTAAAAGATTCAAGCTATATCCCAAAAGTTCGATGAGAATCTCCCACTTTATGAAGAATTCTACCATTTACAACCCTACATTCTTGAATTCCAAAACTATGAAGCTTGTTCTGAAGCCGAGAAAATGAGGAAACAGTTTTCAGTGGAAGAGAATGACTATGATGTTACGGTGTCATCAATAAACAAACTAAGGTCATCACCATCTGAATGGAGACAGATACAATGGAAGAAGTGGAACCTATGGAAGATAACGATGACGAGTCGATTACACCGTCTCAACTTGTCAAAGAAATTACGATTGCATGGCAAAATGAAATTTGTGCACCACGACTATTGCCACACATGTAAGTGACAGATGTGCCATGATAAAAGTAAGCTTAATTACTTGCTATGCAAGACGAGACATTTCATTTGTTTATATAATTATGGCTCATTAGACTTTATATTTATATTTGTTTATGTTGCAAAAAAAAAAATGAATGTACTAGGCTTTCTTTTCCAGGGAGACTATTGTTGATTTAATGATTGATCAATTAGAATCCATGGAAGAGAATTTCAGTAGATGCAAGGATCATACTTCGCTAAAAATTATTCTGCATAAGATGGAAGTGCAACGCTTGGCTTATATGATCAATGAATATATTAGAGTACGATTAAAAAAGGTTTGAGTTTCTTGAAATTTAAATATGAAGAAATTGTGGAAAGATTGGAACACTGACCATGTAAAGGTTAAATAGCCATGGTAGTGATTTAAGAATTTTCGAGTACTCCTGTAGGGTTTTAACTGAAAACCCTGAAAGATATTATTGATCATCGATCAGTGAGGATTCGTTTAGTGCAAAGCGATGTCGTTTGAATTGCTAAGCCTGAATTACATTTTCAACATACAGAAATGTTGATTTCAGGTTTTGGGTTTTTTCTTTGCTCCAGAAATAAAGTATTAGCAGGGAGAACATTCGCAGTGACAGTATAATGAAAAATCTGTGAATTAGAAAATGAATGAATATCACTCAAGTTAAGTAAAAAGTAGTAAAATTTTAGTTAATAAGGGAAGTATCTTTCTCAATATCTTTCTTTTGTCCATGCATAGCTAAACAAAATACTCGAAAATTTGCTATTTTCCAGATCGAAAAGGATGTTGAAGTACTGCAGAATGAGGATATTGAGCGAGAAAAAACAAATGCCCCACGTCTGCTTAGTACAGCCGAAAAAGTTTTTGCTGAACGGTATAGTTTATAAATCTTTTTTTGTTATTTCATTGGTAAGGGTAATAAAATCTTGTAATTTTCAATAATTTTCTCTATTCGTATACTTTGCAATTCATTTTGGTTTTTCTTTTTCCATTTTTTTTTTAACTGTTGGTTAGAACAGTAATATTCTAGCGAATGTCGGAATCGAAATGTTCCAGTGAAATCATATTGATTATTTCCGCTAGATCTTTCATCGGAAGAGACCTTTGTCAGGCTGGTCGTATTTAGTAGGCATTGGATGGGTTAGGTTTCTACTTTTAAATGTGGAGCATGACTAAAATTGCAGTTATGAGTTGATGAAACGCCATTTAATGGAAACGAATTTCCTGGAACGAATACCGCCTGCATTACAACGTCTTCCGACTGCTGCACTTGATATGTCCGCCGAACGGGTAATTGTCGAAGTGACCAACGATAAACAAGAACAGGCAGTGATTCCCGAAATGAGTGACTTGTTATCAGATCGAGCCATTGATCTGCCACCCGGTTCCATCCATTTTATCCCGTACCCGTCAATAGCTGATCTTCTGGAAGCTAACAAAGTTCGCTTATTGTAGTACACTACTTCTAGCCTTTCTTTTCGTAGTCCTTCTGACGTAAATCACTGCATGCTTTATTTTATATCTTCATTTATATTTCTCATATTACATCCTTTCGTTTTTGCTACTAAGCGTTTTCCAGTGAATAAGCGAATGCAGTGAAAATCACAATCAAATGTTGTATATTTCCGATGTTTCATGTCCTTTCATCACACATATTTCGTTCTTTATTACTGCATGACTCTTTGAATTTGATCTCTTCGTTATTTTAATCATCACCTTACTCATTGATATGCCAGTAGTAAAAGATAATTTGTGGTCTTTTTCAATTATAACATCTTAATTCCATTCGATTTCATTAAATTTCTAAATCATATATCGTCATATCAATGAAAGAAATTTCTGTTGGGATCTCGAGACGTTTTAAAAAATTACCAGTAATGGAGACAACCAAAAATCATACAAGCAATTTTGATAAATGATATTGCATTGAATCTCGTATATATCTGATGAGTGATAAAGGAATGAATGTGAGACAGAATAGGAAATAACCAAAGCAATAATGAATTAAAAGGTTTTTTATAGCTGTTATCATAATATCATTTTTTTCTCAAGATAATAGATACTACCAATATCTCCAAATCTTTTACGGAATTGGTAGTTGTCCAACAGATTTTCCAATAACTTCGGATATTGGAAATTTTGCAGAAACTGGTTAAAACTAGGCTGAGATTCTTCACTGTTCAGCATTAAACTGTCTCACAGAATGTGTATATGATTGATCGCCTAACCATTTCATAACTAGTTAAACAAACCATTGGTTAAATGGCGCATGGAAATACAGATGTAAAGGATTATGTGTATGTGTGTGTGTGTGTATGTGTGAATATGGTAATAAAAAGTAATTTAAAGTGAAATGCAAGTAAGTACTTCTTCACACATGATAATTTTTAAATATCTTCCAGTTTTCGCTTTTTGAAATTCATATCTTTCGGAAACGTATATTATGGGAAAAGGAACTGGAAGTTCTTCAAAAAAGCAGGGTTTCATTTTTAATCGAGCATCTTGGAATTTTGTGTGTATATGGAATAAAATGAAAGACAACTGAGAAATCGGGTCGGTTGGACCCACCATGTGTCGTAATCTTTTCAAGAGTGCTTCGCGGTTACTTTTATGAAACTCCATACAATATGATATAGGGGGTTATTCTAACATCGTAACGATGATTTTGAAGAAAGGAAGATGAAATTTCATAGGAGCAACTTATCAAAGTTCTTATGATATATAGAAAAACTAGACTTCTTAAAGTTGGTAAGTTACAATTACCAATCGATCGCCAGATTTGCATACTTCTGTTTAATCTGGAATGATAAGGTATTGCTTGCTTCGGCAACCTCTTTGATTGCATCCAATACATAATTGAGCATTTCCTTGGAATGAGCAGCACTAAGGCAAATTCTTACTCGACTTTCAGTCATATGTGTTGCTGGGAACGAAACAACTACAACTCCTACATGACGATTTAGCATTTCGCGACCCCAAAACCTAAAAAATGCATGTCTCAGAATAAGAATATTTTTTCATACAAAAACTTGCAGGGAAATAAACATTTTAAAACATCATATATTGAAAAATAGTGAACATATTTTTAATAGTAGAACAAGCGGAAGTAAATGAATTCGTCTATAAATATTTCTATTTGAAAATAACATTCGAAAAATCTCACGTTTCAGGAACTATCCAGAAATAATAAAATAGGTATTTATATCTTTTTCAACAGTGCATGAATCTTTTCAAATTTTCTTTCATATTTGATTGAAATTTAATTCCTAACCCGCATTTCGTAGGATAATAAAGCATAATTGGAACAATGGGACTGTCATCAGATCCACACACAATGCAACCCATACGTTTTAGATGTTTACGAAAATAACGTGTATTGTGCCGCAAACGCTGCCTTCGCATTTCACCTGGAATAAATCAAAGATTTGACTTTCTGGAGAATTTAGATTTGTTATGATTGAAAGATAATAATTCACTCATAACGGTTTGAAAACTATCAGCGGTGATGATTTTCGTCTAACAATATATGCAAAACCTTTCTTCACAACTTGACACATTAGGCTTTATACTACTGGAAAGTTTAGTATTTTACGTCAATAGGGTAGATTTGGAATCCAGCAAAGAAGCTTATCACTGAAAGTATCAATAAATTTTTTTACAACTAGTTTAAAAAAAATTAAATGATTTATTGCTACATACAAGTAACTATTCATAAAAGAATGTATATACTTCACAAATTTCACATAATTTACGTACTAAGCAAAGAAGTATTGTATCCACGTAATGCTTACCATCATTAGAACCATCCAGACCCATCATAATTTTCATTGAAGATGTGATTTGCTGCGCAATGGGAGGTGACATCGGAAGTGCATAGATAGTTGCGGCCGAATTTGTTCGTATATAATTTATAATTCGCTGAAAAAAACTACTTTTACAACCTCTTGCAGTGGTTTTCAGTTGAGACAATTAATATATTTATCGCTTATAAAAATGACGAAATTTACAAAAATAAAATGAATTTCAAATACAATCATGGGTTTTTTCGTACCGAAGCTATAGTAATTGATTGATCTACTCCTTTCGAAATGCAAATAAATTATCAAAACGCCATAAAGCAAAAAAAATAAAATGCTCTAAGCAGGACTAATACACCAATAATGTATACTTACTTTGCTACCTGCAATATAACCGCCAGCTGCACTAAAACTTTTGGTGAATGTTCCCATAAGAATATCAACATCATGTGGATCACAACCCCAATAATCGACAATCCCACGTCCACGTGGACCCATTGCTCCTGTATAGATTAAAATACATAAATAAAACGCAACAAAAGATTTAGAAATTTCAGACACGCAAAAGTGATACATACAAAAAAAGAAACTATAGGAGATATGTTGCAATTTCAAACTAAGTTAATAAAATTATTTAAAAGGAAAATCGAAGTAAATCTATTCTGGCTAATCTTGTTTCGAGAAAAAAATCAAAAAAACAATTCACATTTGGCTTAATTAAAAACAAAATTTATTGTAAATAAAATAAGCAAAATTTACCGATAGAATGCGCCTCATCAAGATATATATAGGCACCGTATTTCTTCTTTAGCGCAATAATAGCCGGCAAATTACATATTGAACCCTCCATGGAATATATTCCTTCCACAATGATTAAAATCTTAGTGAACGGTTTCTTTGTTTTCGGATTACCATACACAATTGCATTACGAATAATTTCCTCCAAATTTGCCATATCTTCAATTTAAAAAAATCCATAAATTAATACACTAATGGCAATTATTTGTTATCAAACCAAAAAATTTTTTAGAGAACTAATAATCTTTGGTATAAAGATAATTAATAGGAAACTAAAATTATAATTAAATCGACTATAAATTTATATGGAATAACTGATGTTTAATTTGTTTCCCTCATATTTGTTCGCTCCGAAAATCATAAATGAAAATTCATTACAGAGCATTTCTTCCCTATTATTACTATTATTGAATTCCAAAAATGTCTGTATGAAATTTCCTGAAATTTAGTAAGGATGTGATTCCAGACATAAAAGCAGATGAACTGTATGTAACACATTATTTTCCTGATTTTAGAATTTGTAGATACAAGTGTTCAACTTCTTCATTACGAAAAACTACCGCCGTGTTTGAAGATACGAACTGTTGCTCCAGACATTCGACTGCCAAGAATAAGTGACGCATGGTTGAACTGGTCACTAATTATGATTGAATTCTGTAATTTATGATTGAATTCTAATTCTATAACATTATTAATAAAAAAAAATCCAGCTTCGAGTTTTATTACTTGATTACACCACATTACATGAAGAGCTAAATAAAGTTACAGTTAAGCAGATGAAATAACCCAATATAAAAAAAATACAATTACTTCATCAGCTAAACATGGTGTATTCAGAGAATTAGTAGCAAAACCCATACTGAAACATATAGCATCATCAACACCTATAAATTCTGCTACCAGCTTTTCCAGATCACGTTGTGCCTTTGAAAATCCTAAATATATTTGCATTTATTATTTCTAACATTACAACACTATTATTAAAATACGATCTAGCAGCTATAACGTTCCCTATTGGGATCATTCAGATACTAATTACAATAACGAGTCCTTAAAATTAAACTAGCTTAAGTTTTAAGTGAAAGATACATTTTACAAATATGATATTAAATGTTGCACTGGAAGTTCATGAATACTTCTATGAAATAAATTTGCTTATTAAACGTTTTAAAGCAGTTTTGTGCAAGAATCAAAGATGAAACATTTTAGAATAAACAGTGTTACTACATAATAATTAATCTTGAATTTCAAAATTGTAGTGCATGGAGTATAACCATATGAAAAAAATATTACGAGTAGATTACACAATAAAGTACTTAGGTTATCACATCGAAGTATTTGAACAGTAATTAAAGAAAAAATATTAAACTGCAGACATAATAAACATATACAGATATTACCTAACTGTTGGATGGAGCAACATGTAGACAATCCCTGCTCATCTATAACTGCTGCTACTTCTTTTTCGCATGAACCGCCGGTTTCAGCAAATCCCATATAGTTATATGATCCAACATTGATCACTTCTGTTTCAGTTCCTGCGTATCTAATAAATTTGAAACGTTAATTAAATGATTAATTAATTCATACTTCAATTTTGTCCGAAAATATAATTTATTCCACCATATACCCTTCGGTTTTTTTGAAAGTATATCAATACAATAGATTCTGAGGCGAAAATCAATAAATATCTCCCTACCAAAAAAAAGCATAATAACTTACTTATAAGTCCAGTTGTAATCATCCGAACTGCGATCCAAAAGTTTTACAGTTGCCCCCGGAACACTACTAATTGGTCGTTCAAAAACATCCCGTACACGCATGTAGCAATTTCGTTCATAAATGGCTTCGAATTCTGAGAAAAGTGGCACAAAATCCTAAAAATGATAGAGAAATCTGAAAAGAAATAATACAAATGGAAGAGAAAAAATCCTTCGTTTAACTTTCCATTTTCCTAAAGCAAACAAATTCTAAAACTAAGCCACTAACTTTCTGTTCTGGTCTTTCAACAGCTGCAAAATTCTTCTCGATGCCATGCTTTCGAAGTAATTCTCGAAAGAATGCGAAAATCATCAAAATAGTCCAACAGAAATACACAGAAACTGAGGTCAAGAAGTTTTTCTGGAAAAAAGCGTATTTGGCTTCGAAATCTCAAAAATATCACTAAATTTCCAAGCTGACATATTACTGCAGCATTAAAATCAAAATGCAAACGAACTATTACGATCAGTTCATCATCAAATGTTAGGGCCAAAATATCACTGTAATAATCATAAATGAAGACACTGGTTAGAATTAGCGTTACTGAAATGTGTAAAACTATCTCTAAATGTATTTTTAAGAAGAATATTTCTACAATTAATAAAGCTCATTCCAAATATTTCGAATCTAACACAAACAGTGCGGAATGGAAGGTTTATTGAATTTCGTAATTTGATAAGGATCAGCATTAATTTATCATTTTTTATATCATTTAACAAAAGTATTTGGATAAGAAGTGCACTTTTATCAGCTAAAGCTAGCAACTATGATGAATTCAAGGTTAAAATTAAAAAAATTCATATTCCTTCCTCGTAAGTAGTCCTATATATTCAGTGCCTAACCAAAATCGCGCTTAGCAACATTTTACAAGTTACAATAATGATGAAATATACCTGTTCAAATTCATTTCTGCTATATCTTTCAAATCTTTCCTCAAACTTCGTTTTAATAAATCCATTCTGAAATTCTCTTTCAAAAATTTTGTTATATATTTGATAATTATAAGAGATATTAGTGTTACCGATAACATATACATAATAGGACACGACAGTTATTGAATATTGATCCTAAAGGAAGACAGAAGTTCACGATGATTGCTACTGAAATAAATTTAACAATTAATTGAACCACCCCTTTGTTTTTCGGTTACCAGTCAATAATTATGTCGGAACAAAAAAATATGCTTCCTCGTCTTTCGGATGAGATGAGAAGTCCTTCCTATGATGAGTTCTTGATTACAAATAAATTAACAACATTTTTCAAAAGAGTAACATTTTTGAATTTGAGTTAATTTTTAAAACTGTATCCCTTTAATGATTTAACTGCAAAAATACACCTGTTGTGGTGCTCCAGCTAATACACTGCAGTTAGATTCCTCTACACATCCGTTTATATTCGATGAGCATTCTACGATATCATTAAGCGTTTGATGACACCTGCACATATGCACATGATAAAAATTATTTCATCCCAAAACACACGGATAAAATAATGCAGTAATTAGCAATTAGTAACTAAGTGGCAATCATTACTTGATAAAATGATAAGAATAAATTTAGGAAAAAAAACGTTCAATTTTTTTCCGCTGAAATGTTCAATTTTTTCAAAAAAAATCAAAAACACTGTATAATAGTTAACAATAAAATTGAATGGAAGATGGTTGCCATTACTATTATTATTGACAACGATAATAATGATATGATAATAATGATGTTAATAATAATAATGATATTAAAATAATTACCAATGCGCATAAAAACAGAGAAGAGAGGTAGAGAAATAAGAATCTTTAAAAGAGAAAAATCTCAGTTCTAATTTCTTTTTGCTATTGCTTCGTTTTTCAAAATGTTGCAAGAGTAGCAATGAAAATGCAGGAATTCTTTATATAATTTAATGATGGAAAAATATCTACTTTTCAGAGGACGATTTCATAAAGATATTCGTATTCGAACTCTGAGGAGCCAAGTTTGAAGATTGTAATGCCAATGGACAAACGTCATAAGGTATCTTCTGTAGTGATTCCGATAAATTCGAACATTCCTGACCATTTATCGGTAATGAATCTAACGCTACCGTTTCATCCATTCAAATCCAATTGGCCTTCTGAAATGCATACATAAAGTTAGTATTTTAAATTAGTGTATTGTGATAATTCTAGCAAGCGCATAAAATGAACACTATTCAAAAATTCACTCAATGCAGTCAATGATTAGAAAAGACTTTCAAATCATTCATAATGATATCATCCAGAAATGTATGAGAGTATAGTGCAGCAATCAGGAAGATGTCACATCATTGAGATATTCGGGAATCTAAAACCGTTGGACGATCAAGTCAAAAATTCGGAATGAGATGATAATAGTAGGAAAATCCGGAAGCACGGAAATATATGAGAAAGAGAAATGAAATAAAAATATTGAATAAAAAAAGAGAGAAATATAGAAGAGTAAGAATTTTTCCTTTTATATCTCAATAACTCTTTGGCTTTTTTCTAATGAGTCATTACTGATTTCCCTATCTTATCTTTATCACTAAATTTCAAATAATTTCGAAATAAAAAAATAGAATTATCAATGTACACTTCATAACGTAAGGCGCACATCAGCTGGAATGTAAATATTTAAGCAAATAAAGAACAGAGAACATCGTTTGATAACTAATCGAATACATGTATACATAAAATAGTATACTATGGCAATGTCCGAAGATCATGAAAACGCTTCAGTATTTCAAATTCCAATTTTGTGTAATAGCAGATGTGCACATGCAGACAGACATATAAACAGACATACATATGTGTATAATTATAGGGAACATATGGAGACAGTAATACACTCGTATGGATAGTATAGAAATGCATATGCTATAGAGATGTACTACAAAAGTAGAGAAGTGACATGGATATTTTTTGCGCTAAGAAGTGGTATCAATCTCAAATGTTCATCTTTGACCTTTGAGCTGAAAATTTTGAGAAGGAAGAGGAAGAGAGAGCGAGAGAGAGCTGTGTCTTCAACTACATTATCAGTGATTCATTATGTCCACCAAAGCATGGAAAACAAAAATGCACAACCATCCGATTATCCTGCAAAAATATTACCTGTATCACGTTTAACACCCACTTATTCAATGATACGTCCACGCACGCATAAAAACATAAGAGCGATTTGCTGATGAATTGAATAAGAAGACAAAGAGGAAGAGAGAGAGAGCAAGAGAAAAGTGCAACAATGATGATTATTACGAAAGGTCGATGATACTTCCAACTCTGTTCTTTCAATCTTTTTTTCACGATCAACTAGTTGAAGAGGTTAGTTGGAAGGATATGAGATGGGGTGATTAATAGAAGGATGCGTCAAAGAACGATTCGTCCAGTGGTTACTCGATGATGTCACTTCCGAGAAAGCTATGAGATATCTATCTATTCCGATTTCACATTCTTTATCCAACCGATAAATTGAAGTTCTTTGTACTCGAACAATAAAATTCCTCGATATATTATGATATAGTAAGTCAAGAAAAGTAAAGGTTGCAGCATTACAGAATGTTAAGAATGTTTTATGGCCGTAACAATAAGATGAACGCTTTACGATTGTCAGCATTGAAAGTTTTCAATTAACCCGAGTTTGACTCTTCTTCTCTCCGATATTTCGATAAATATAACGTGACAACGGACGCATTAAAATTTAGAAATCTAAGTTATAATATGAAATCTATCCGGATGAAATCCGTTTCAATTTTCAACATAATTCCATTAGACTGTTAATATAACAGCTTAATTCCTTCCGGTAATAATGCTAATGACAACGGACCATTTAATCCACCACTAGTAACATTGGAACTTTCAAGATGTTTGTCTAATAATATTCTTCATATAATCACCATCAAATATGCGGTAGTTACATTTGGATCATATGATCACAATCTTTGTAGCAAGCAATGAGACATTTCCGCTTATATGTGACAATAGCTTCTCAACTTATAATGGAAATCGAATTGATATCGAATTATGAATATAAAATTTAAACTTGAATTAGCCATACGAAGAGAATGATAGACATGATATGCATAATATATAAAAGATCTTTGGTGCTGATAAAAGAGATGTACAATCAACATATAATGAATGATCGGTATGAGAGACACTGATAAAAGTGGACAAAACCATCACCCTGTACTATTGACATCGTGTTTGATAAGATAAACAATAACGAATATATTGTGAAATGGATGATTATGATGTAATGAAACGGATACGTAATATCTGAAAAGGGATTTGGTTGAAATCAAATGTAATAAATAAAACAGATTAAATTTTATGGCTATAATTGCCTTAGTTAATAGGCTAAATGAGTTTTAACTTATGAGAATGTGGCGTCAACATTAAATTTAAATATATTATTACATGAATAATTCGATAATTAGACTAATTAATGAAGTTTTGGTATGTTAAACCTATCGTCTCTATCACTACGTGAAATCTAAGTAAATCTGTTCTGCTTGTAATTGTGAAGAATAAAGGAATATTTCAATTTTACTTTATCAAAATATTTGATATCAATAATTATTTCTTTGTGATCTGTTGTCTGTTGAAAAATTTCAACGTGAGTATTTCCTTCAAGTGAATTCATACTAAATTACGTGATTTATTTTTTGTCTTCTGTGCAATAGCAATTCACTGATTTATTTCTGATTAATAGAAAATCAAATATATCACAACATTGGAAAGGTTAAACGATACCAAAAGTCAACAATAAAAATGACAAAACATTGAAAATTCTTCGTCACATTTCACTAATTAAAATACAAAGCCAAATGAGTGGGTGGGTATATAATTGAATGAAAAATCCTTCAAAGCGCTTAATTGATTGAAAAAAATGTTAAAATTTAATTTTGATGAAATCGTTTATTTTCCACTTACAACATTTTATTTCTTCCATTTTTCACTTACAACATTTCATTTCCTTCATAGTTGTGATTTCCACCGCATTAAATTCAAAATTCGAAAAACTATCTTTCTTTATTACAAATGAAATTTTGCATGGTAACAAAGAAGTAAGTCGAATTTAAAATAAAATTTCAACAGTTAGAAAGAAGTTATGCAAAAAGACATGAAATGAAAAAATCATTGATTAAGGCAAAAAAAGTTTTAAGAAAATTAAAGCAGATATGAAATTCAAAATCAAAGGTTTAAAATATGAAAATTAATATCGGCAAAAAAAAGAGAAGCTCTACTGGTAGTAAATCCACGATTGGAAGTTGACATTTTTTTGCTTGTTGTTAACCTTAGTCTCAAAAACAAATTAAAATTGTAATTTGTACTGAAATTTGTTGATATGATATTGGTGTTATTTCAAGCGATAATAAGTGATATAAATGATAAGAAAAGTTGGCCACTTAATTGCAACCCAAAAGAGTAGATTTGTCTCTACAAAATTCACATGATATGATATGATACATAGAGCTATCTGTAAAAGATATTTGTACTTATATTTAATTGAAATGATTTTATGCTATCGTAAAGTTTGGAAAATCATAACAAAAAACAAAAATTATGTAAACGAAAATTTTTTGCTTTACAAAGATTATTGAGATTTCAATTGTTTGTAGAATTTTCAACAATGTTAATAATATTCATTGTAAAAGATTAGAATCTATTTTTCTTCCTAACTTATGAAACTAAATATTTAATGAAAGAAAAAAGGCTAAACCAATCATCAAAATTCGAATGTTTCAATTCAAATTATGAATTCATCCGATTTTACAATGATACAATTTATAAGTGAAAAGAATAGATCATTGATAACAATAATAATAATAATAATAATAATAATAATAATAATAATAATAATAATAGTATATCACAATTCTAATATCAATTTATACATTTTCAGCTCCTTGATTCGGTTGACTTTCTATCATCAATGGATATAACATTAAATCCGGTTCAATATCAACTTTCATTTCTTTACCTGGTTTCCGTAAACGAATAGATTTCTCTTTTACGGTTATATCGTTGGGTAAGGAATCAGCTCGAAATAAATTATTAGCATTCTCTTTATAATCATCCATTGACCGACGACCTTCAGAAAGCTAAATAATTTTAATTAGTAAAAATTAAAAATCTGAAATCTTTCCATGCGCATAGTGTAAACCTAATCACATATTCTTATTTACATTTTTTTTCCGGTTTTTTTTTTCAATTAAAAAAATGATTTCAGAAAATTTTGTTGAAGTATACAAATATGGAAAAATTCATAATTAGAGAGAGAGAGAGAGAGAAGAAGAGAAGAAGAAAAGAGAATTTCGAAAATGTTGAATGAAGAAGGAAGAGATATACCTTTTCTTCAACTTCATAGAAAGCATTCCAAAGTGATTGTATCAGATCAGTACCGAATAGTATACCGGCATGAATTTCAACCATTCGTAACACAAACAAACCATCACATCGTAGATAACTTCTCACAAATCGATCCACTTCTTTTGCTTTAGCTAAAATTTACTTTGAAAAAAATGAAACATAACAACAATCATTATAATTATTCATTAATTAATTAAATTTAAACATGCATTTTGATAAAAACCATACTTGTATTCTTCTGATATCAAATGAATCATTTTGATGAAAATAATCCGATCATTTTAACAAATTAAATCTGCTTCGGATTATTTTAAATCCGAGAGAAATTTAATTTATAAATAATTTTTAGGTATATTATGAAATTTCAGCAGTTTAATTAATTTTTTAGCTTGCAGAAAATGAGAAGGGATCGTTTTACATTTACATATGTTTTAAAAAATAATCCATTCATTATTTTCTTTAAACCTTAAGTCTATTTTCTTTAAACCTTATCAAAAGTGATAATAAATTAACATTTATAATTAGTTTTTTATTTATCAAATAATATTAAAGTTTGAGAAGAAAAATAATACAATGATATTTCTAATCATTGAAATAATTTATTACTTTATTCTACTATTAGGATCAAATTTCGACACTTACTATCCGGATCAAATTTCATTTCAGATAATTCCAAACTTCGTGAAATGAACCAACGTCCAAAACATGGACATGTAAGAACGATAAGCCAATAAAATAATGATAAAACAGTGCAAAGGACAAGGAATAGATACCAGAACCAAAGAAAAACAAATATTTTCTCATTAAACATATTGATAATTAAAACACATTGAACGGAATATCGTTGAATATTACCCATTTGTCGAACCTTAAAAAAAATTATTCGAATTTTGATTAAATTTTAAAATAAACTTCATTTTTGTTGAATTTTTAAAATTTCTTCATATCTTTCCTTCTCTTGCTTAATAAAATGAAAAAGTAAAATTAAGAAATCTCTAAATCATAGCTAATGTTACAATTATCAATGATTCATATATATGTATATGAAAGAAATTTCTAAATGATAAGGATGTTAATTAGTTATCAATGATTCATATATATGTATATGCAAGAAATCTCTAAATGATAGGAATGTTAATCAGTTATCAATGATTCATATATATATATATATATATATATATATGCAAGAAATCTCTAAATGTTAATCAGTTATCATCGATTCATATATATGTGTGCACTAACCATGAAATCACAAACTGAAACACGAGGAAAATAACCGGATGTTGTCCATTCGGTACCATTTATAATATCTCTAATTACATCATAACCATACCAACGATTTGCATCTGTCCGTAAAAATCTAAAATTGATCAAATTTTTGATAGTTGAAAAAAAGGTTTTTTTTTTTTGAATTCATTAAAATATAATTAAATATTCAACTAAATCATTGCAAAAGATAAATTTATGTAATATTACTTAATAATATCGGATTAAGTAAAATTCCATTTTTTTGAATATCAAATTATGTTTAGGCCAGCCAATAAGAAAGTAAAACTTCCTTTGGCCAAGAAAAAGAAGAAAGGAAAAACTATTTTACTTATTAAGTATGCAAAGTTGTAGAGCTGCATTGGCAAGATATAATGTTTTGGTTATCAAATACATCAGTGATATAAAAAATGCCGTATAGCGAACATTTAAAAATTTCAATTGTTTATGAACTTCAATTTTTCGCCTGCAAAAAAAAATTTGCTGTTTCTATCAAAAACAATGAAATTACTGAAATGGAAATAGTCTAAGTCAAAAGAAGGTCAAATGTTAACAGAACTTCGAAATTCTTCGATGAAATTTCAGAGCATTTTGCATGTGATGTGTCAAAGTTTCAATATTTTGACTTCTGATATTTTCATCAATATTTGATGGATCCATTGCTTTTTCGACTATTTCATGAATTCGTATTCCTAAAAGCAAATGATCTCTTAGATAAACAAAAAATTATTATTTTCATTCAGAAAAAAATCAGTAAATTATATCAATTATTATTACTATAAAATCAGTTGTATCATTTATTATTATAGAAAATGGATATAAATTTTTCCAAAAAACAAGACCATTAGTTACCTGAACTAAATGATAAGTAATTCCAGAATATACTCGGCATTCGAAAGCATGCAGCTTGTAGAAGTAAAAAGAATGGTACCCATTTGTAATAAGATAATTGCCGTTCAGGTGTATATCTTTCGTCTTCCTTTAATGCTGCCACGTGAACATCCGGTTGCACGTAATATGTATCACGTGACCAACAATAATTTTCTGCGTACTGAATTAAAAATTAGTATAGTACGAATTCTTTAACGTAAAAAATTTTAATATTTAGAGAATTCTAATTCGCTAAGTTAAATTGTTAAATTTAATAGATTGGAGCAACAACTAATTAGCAAACATTATCAGTGTAGCTAAGAGATGTACTGCACTGAATGAACGTATCAATTCGCTATTTCGAATCCATTCGTAGGATAATTTTCAACAATTTCATTTATCATTTTACCATTATTAATTGCTCTCTTTCTCTACTAACACTGTAAAATTTTGAAAATTTTAAAATGCATTTTTGTAAATTCCAAAAAAAAAGCACTTGTTCCCATGATCCAGGAAATTTGCTAGGAAACATGCATTCCAACGGTCGACCACCAAATTGTTTGAAACTTATCAATACAGCAAATGCAAGTAGAATATTACTGGTATAAAGGTAATGTAATCGATCGGTAGCATCATCATCCTCTTTCGGTGATAAATACCGAACCATAGAAATCAATGATTCAATCATCATTCTCTACTACAAATCTGTCGTCTTATTTACTAATGGTATCACAAAATTTTAAAACGTTAACGATCTCAATTTTAATTTTTGAAAAAGAAAAAGACAATAATATTTTGATGGATTAACAAATAAATATAAAATAAATATATAAATGTGATAAAGTTAAATTAATTTAAAAATAAATTGAAAAGTTTGCAAAATTTTCAGATATTATTTTTAATGATTTTTCAATTCTTTTCCATATTTTCATTTAAAGCGTAAAATATTAGAGAAATTATAAATTGCAATTATTTTCGAATATTTATGAAAGAAACAAAAATATCAGAATATTTTATTTTCTATTTAAAAAATAAATAAGAATAGCAAAAATTCCGAAATACAAAAAATAATAATATTTTTAAAAAAGTAATGAAAAATTAATTGATTTCGTATATGTAATAATTAATCATTGAATATTATGCGATAATTAGTGTCGAATAATAATTAGTATCGAATAAAGTATAATAGTATCGGATAAAGTATAACTTAATAATAGTATCGAATAAAATAACTTACTACTCAATACTTTATTCGAGATTGATAATAATTAATAACTTACTACTCAATACTTTATTCGAGATTGTATCGAATAAAGTATAACTTAATAATAGTTAGTATCGAATAAAATAACTTAACTGCTCAATATTTCATTCGAGATTGATAATAATTAGTATCGAATAAAGTATAACTTAATAATAGTTAGTATCGAATAAAATAACTTACTGCTCAATACTTCATTCGAGATTGATAATAATTAGTATCGAATAAAGTATAATATATTAAGTAGTAAATTATTTTTTCTTCTGAATAAAATTATGTTGAAAATAATTTCTACCTTTTTAATTGATTAGAACAAAAATTGGTTAAATTTAAAATAATCGATATGATCGTTATAAGAGGAATAAAAATTCCATTACCATTACTTTCCATTACTCGAAATGCAAATATACATTACAAATAGTCACAGTTATTAATATTTTCTTTTATCTTTGTTAATTACAATCGCTGTTATGTAAGAATTGAAATTTAAATTAATATTAAGTGACAATTTGGTGACATCGTATTCATCATAACCATAAGATACAGAAAAAGAGAGAGAAAGAGAGAGATGGTAAATGATGGGATTATCCATCTTACATAGATACAACTGGTAGATATTGTTTGTTTTGGTAAACAATACATAGAAGTTCCGGAAGATTATATGTACACACATTCTGAAAATAAGGAATTGGAAATCGGAATAGAAGTCTTGGAAGATAAAACTTATGTTAGGCAATTTCAATAATCAAATTTCATATCAACAAATTAAATTGTTTTCTTATCAAATTTTTAATTAGAGCGAAGGAAAAATTATTCGTTATAATTTTGCAGAATTTATGAAACATTACATTCTTGAAATGAGAATTTTTAGAAATATTAACTTTTAAAAAAATCTTGACATCAAAAATATTATGCCGCAATCATTATCAATGTTAGGATAATGCTTAGGCATAACAATAATGATAAAATCAAACATAGAATTATCATCATCTAAAGGTTATCAGATTCATAGAGTAGAACTTTTCCGTTTCTTTTTTAAGAGATAAGAGATCACGACAGAAAATTCCTCGAAAACTTTTTAGAAGATAAGAGGATACAATTTTAGGAGATAAAAGAGAGAGAGAGAGACCATTTTTAGGATACAATCTTAGGAGATAAGAGATCATAAGAGAAAATTCTTCGAAAACTAAATCAGTTCTATTTAGATAAGTTCACAAAATTCTAAGTGTTATCACCAAACCTTATCACTTCAATTTAAATGACTTACAATTAAGAACAAAAAAGTATACTGAAAAAATGGATTATACAAAAATGTAGGCAACTGTTTTACGATAATTTAATAAATCATATCCTTCAATTATTTGGCATATAAGATATCGATCGTACTGCAGTAGAAAAAAAAGAATCAATATTATAGTGACCACACGATAGGTTAATTAATGTCCACTATAAAGTATATTCACTATGAAGTATATTATGAAGTATATTCACTATCTTTGAAAAACTTTTCTTTGCGAGATAGGATTTTGAAGATAAAATTTTATATTTAATACAATGTGTTAGAAACATTTATAATAGTCTATTTAATATAGTGAATTGATTGATATGATCATATTGATAATATCTATTAACGAGTTTTTTTTTAAAGTCAAAAAATTTAATCGTTTTAAAAAAATGATGTCATCATATAATTAAGATAGTATAAATTTTCCTTTTAGAAAAATGACAATAAATCAAATTTGTGAATTAATAATTTTGTTGTTGTTGTTGTTGTTGAAAAGAATTGGAGAAATGAGGAAGAAAAATATAAGGAATTAAATTCTGATGATCGATAAATTCTGATGATATATTATAATGAGAAATTATTTCAAAATTTCGATGGTATAAAATTTGAGAAGCATAAATAAATAGGTACAGCGATGAGTAATCGTTTTGTATCAATTCATTTAACTTTAAAATTAAAAAGTTAATTTTAAAAATGAGACAAAAGGGAAAAGAGAAGAGGAAAAATTAAGATTGTAAGAAAGAGAAGAAGATATAGTAAATTCAAATATATACCAAAGAAACAGTTTGAATAATTAAGATTGGAACATTTATTGTTTTTTCAAAAATGAATAAATTAGAAATTTTGAAATTTTAAAATTTAATTGAGGTATGTATTAAATGATAGGATAGGATGAAATTAAAGCTGAAGAAATTATTGCATTGAGACATAGCTTAATTAAATTGTAAATTTTTATTTCAGTAATAAATTGATTAAATGGAATGATTTGAATAATCATATCATTTTCATTAAGAGATTAACAATATTTCGAACGGTTTTGTAACGGAAAAGAATTCCGGTATGATACTAATAAAGAAAGGAGAAAGAGGATGTATAATAAAAGGGGATGAGTGAATTAGAGAAAGAACACCACATATCATTTTTAGCTGTTCTGGCAAATTGACAGTTCACCGTTTCAACAATCATTGAGGCAAGCAGCGAAAGAGAAAGTTTTGAAATAGTGTAACACAGATTGTTCTTTTTTTCTATTCCACTCTATTCTATTCTATTCTATTCTATTTCATTCTATTCTATTCTATTCTATTTCAAAATAACAATTTGAAATATACATGAGCTATCTTTTTTACTTCCAGATTTCATCTTATGATAATAATTGAAGAATACGATAAATTAATAAATTTGATAAACATAAATTTTCCTCTCTCTCTCTCTCTCTCACTCCGTCAAGATCAATAAATTTGTTAAAACATTAAAATTTTTCAATTTTTTTCTCTCACTTCCTCTCTCTCTCTCTCTTTTCTTCTCTTACTAATTATTTAATAAATTAAAAATAATAAAATTACACGATAATAACTAATTATTTGAAGTTAACTATAATTTTTTCTTAAATATATATTATGCTATATTAAAATTTAAAATTTCAATTTTGTCATAATCCAATTTTAAATGAAATAAAAAATTGTTAATATGTAGGAAAATTGAAGAATATCTGACAAAAAGTAAAGAGGAAAATCATTTGTTTTCTTTCCTTCGACATTGTTTACTAATTAACTTATCGTTTATGAAATTATATTTACCCCCCACTAATCGAAATAATAATAATCTTAGAGGACATTACAATAATGACAATTTAATTTCACAATGACAGTGATATGATAGGAAGAATAATGACAGCTGTCAACTAAATATGAATAATGTACGATGAAGAAATAAATGGGAATAATGCAATCAATACCAGCCATTATGTATGTATCAAACAGTATGCGAAATTTGATTAGTCATTCAAATAGTGTAAAGGTTGGAATGAATGATTATTGATTGATAATGGTTATGTTTGTAATAGTAAGGTCATCAGTATACTACCCTTAAATTCTCTTTGCACAAATGCATATCGATACACTGTCAATTATCCAGTTAGTTTATTGATCAGTACAGAAAATGAATAATCAATACAGTGTTATAAAGATAAAAGGTGCTTAATTAGTACTAATTTATTGATTTTCTGATTATTAGTAGTAAGGTGTGTTTTTTAAAAGAAAAAAGGAAATGATTGGATATGATTAGAACGTTTTAACGGAATACGTAAATTTAAATCAAACGTGAATGATTAAATGATAATTATAAGATTAGATCAGATTAGATTTTTCGTTTTATTGATTGATTGATATAGTGATAATAAATTATCGCAATATTTTTTTATAATTGATAGACTATTTATTGATTAAAGAATAATTTAGATTGAATAATAATTGTAAGATAAGATTAGATCAGATTTTTCGTTCTATTGATTAATTGAATATAGTGATAATAAATTATCGCAATATTTTTTATAATTGATAGATTATTTATTGATTAAAGAATTGTTTAGTACGATGAATTATTTCATATTTGAAATTCATATATCTCGATACAAATATGAAATAAACAAATGAACAATTGATTAATTAATTAATTAATTAATATGCTAAAGACAGGAGAACCAGTGCAGTACATTTCTCACTACTAATTAATTATCAATTAGATTTTCCAATTTCAAAATTATTCTTTCAATTTCAACTTTTTTTTGAAAGAGAAGAAGCAAAAAGAAAAATGACCAACCGTAGCCCATGAATTAGGGAAATTTGTTGGTGACAAACATTCAATTACATCACCTTCGAACATTTTCCAGGCAGCTATGATACTTGCTGTTACAAGCAAATTTATAGTTAGAAAGTAATGCAAACGATCGATATTATCTCCACCATATTTTAGGCTAACTATTTTCAATGATTTTAACAATTGTTCAATTTCCATTCGTAATTAATACACTGAAAGGTTGTCGAAGAAGAACGGTTCCACTTTTACATTTTGATAATTGATAATAATTAATTAACAATCAATTGAATCCATTCGCAATTACAACAAATAAATAATATAATAAGTCTAA